GTAGTCTATAAATGAGATCTTATATTTAACACTGGAGGTAGTATATCACTTAAATTCTCTGAGGCCTAGAATAACTTAAGGCTTTCATTTGACAGGACCAACTTCGTTTGCCCCTATTATTGAAATGGCTACGACTATAGTTGAGCAAAGCAATGGCCAATATCATGTTTTGCTCATAATTGCTGATGGACAGGTAAGTAAATCTGATTCTGATTTCGAACTTTTGAGAAATACGCTTTTGCACAGACTATCTCTGCATCAGCCATCAAAAGTATCACACGCTATCAGCATGCAAGCTAGTAAATGGCTAAATGTGAATCCAAACATCTTTTGTGAAGAAACTACAATGTTTTCGTTGTATTCTGACCTCGGAATTTCATCTGTTTTGCTTTGGTGATGCTGTCATTTGGTGCAGTTCATTGTATTACACATACACATCTATCACATGTATCTTGTAGAAAAGAAAAAACCTACCATCGATTGTGAGATGTGCAACACTGCACTAATCTCTGCACTAAGTGCATGGCCCCTTTTTCTGTTATGCTGGGACTTTGAAAATTGATATTCAGAATATTACCACAGGTGACCAGAAGCGTTGACACACAGCATGGCCAATTAAGTCCACAGGAACAAAAAACAATTGATGCAATTGTAAAAGCAAGGTAAGTCTTTGGTTATCTCTCCTCAGGAATACCGCTCTGTATTCTTATGTTCTTCATCAAATTGCAGTGAATATCCCCTATCAATAGTTTTGGTGGGAGTGGGAGATGGACCGTGGGATATGATGAAGGAATTTGACGACAACATTCCTGCTCGGACCTTCGATAATTTTCAGGTAATCAATATATGTTGTAATTCACTTTTGCTTTATTTCCTTGATGTGAATATATGTTGTAATTTTGACACATTCTTTTTGAATTAAAGTTCTGAACTGTGAATATCTCCTTGCTGCATGTAGTTTGTGAATTTCACTGAAATAATGTCAAGGAATGTGAGTTCAGCCAGAAAAGAGACAGATTTTGCTCTTTCAGCTTTGATGGAGATACCTTCTCAGTACAAGGCAACCTTAGAGCTGGGCTTACTTGGGTAATAAATGAATGTCCATTAAGACGAACATGAATGATACCTATTGCCTGTTATTATGGAATACTGAGGCGACAACTGAACCAACAAATCTCTCATGTCTTCATCAATAATGTAGGGCACGAAGAGGACACTCACCAGACAGGGTTCCTCTACCCCCACCTCTTTATGACAGGACTTCTTCTAACAGCAGTACTAAATCTTATCGCTCAAGTAGTTTTCAGCAGAGAACGCCTCAATATACTGGATATGATACTGGAGTTAGCGGAGAATCATCCTCAAACTCTTTGTATGATAATAAGGTATTAAGACCATATTCTCCAACCTAAGGGACTTCTTTCACATTTTTCCAAGACGTATTATCCTTGATATTATGATCATGACCATATTCTGAGTCATTTTAAGCGATATCTTTTGGGAAACATTATTAACTGCAGGTTTGTCCAATTTGTCTCACCAGCCCGAAAGATATGGCATTTGGTTGTGGGCATCAGGTAATTACATGCTTATAGATTATCAAATTCAGGGCTGTGCTAAGAGGAGGACTAACATATTAATCTTCCCTAATTTCCATTGTATTTCTTGACACGGCAGACTTGTTGTGAATGTGGAGAAGACCTTGAACTCTGCCCCATTTGCCGGAGCACAATTCAAACCAGAATAAGGCTTTTCTAGTTTGCGTTACTGCAAACCTACTCTTTCAGCGGCAGTAGCCTTTGCATCCTTGGCAAGTGAAGTGGCCCTGAACTATTGAGTTAGCTATGAAACTTTATGATCAGATAACCTGTGTTGTGTCCGCACAATAATTTAGGCCATAAAGTGATTCTCGAGGCGGCCTGGAGAAGCAAAGAGATCTGAGTTGGTCTTTAACTTGATGGATATGGTTCTTGCTCGAAACGCAAAACTGAATTTACAATTTTGAAGCACGAAGAGTGTATTATTATCTATGCCTGATGCTGGCGGGCCATGTCCACTGTATATGTGTTAGTCGTTTCGACCTCATGGAGTCTGCTTTTGTAAAATCGTTTGGATTAGAGTTTGAATTGTTGCATCAAAAACTAGATCCGTGTGCTGTAAATTCAATTCGATTTTAATCGGTTGTACATAATTTCTGAGTTCTCGCATGACCAAATTAAAACCAGACATGTCAGGATCTAGTAGAAGAACACATGCCACCAATTTCACTATTCAAGATTGGACTTTCATATTAATTTTCTCCTGAACTGAACAGATACTGAAACGTAGGAAAAAGTTGCATTCTTGAACCTTGATGGACGTGAATTCTATGTAGATTGAAAAGACAAATGGTAAGTGCAACAAACTGCGAAAGGGATTTTGTCGTTTTGGTGTCAGTCTTCGTCTTCGCATGCATCACCTAGTCACAGGCTTATCGGCCGCATCGCTCAATCCGTTTATGTCAAAGTTAAATCCCTATCATGTTGGTCCCATTACTCTTTCTGTTTTGAAATGGGATAATTGTCCCACGTATTATTTGAAACATGATTTTTGTTTCAATTTATTTTGAAATTTTTCAATGCTAATAGGTTAAAAAAAATTTTTTTTTGGTAATGTCGTCAAGTACCCGCTTGAATTAGCAATGAACTATCATAATTTTAAGTCATCATGAATTTTATAAGTGATACCGGCTATAAATAATGCTGGTTAATTATGATTTCTGTTTAGATGTTTTTTTTTATAAGTGACTTTAAGAATTGTAATTACGTTTGGTTTTCATTTATTAAAATCACTTATGGATATATAATTACAAAAAATGCATGAATTTAATAAAAATTATTAAATATAATCATTTGATGAGAGATTTTCAGAAGAGTGTGAGAGGGTAGATTGGAAAAAATTTAGTTGATAAAGATTGATCGGCATTCTTTAAACGCATAAGCTACTCCTTGGTGTTTATCTTAAGAGTACAGTGAAAAAGTAAAATCACAATTTATTATGATTTTATAAAAATTACTCAAACAGGATAAACATGCTTTATAATTACTTATTTAAATTTAAATGAGCTTATTTGAACTCTCACCACTTAACCAAACAGCTATCATGTGACTCACCAAAACCCCAATATGATTCTAGGCTTGGAGTTTACAAAGGCCTTTATAAAGCGCGTCATCACATGGGTAATGAGATCAAAGCTCACAATGAATCCTAAAACAACTCCGAACCAAACGAGTCATTTTTTTATTGGGGTAGTAATTTTATTTGAGATAAAGAAAGGAAGAAACCCGTAAAAAATTTAAAATTACTAAATTTTAAATAATTTTTTTAATAAAAATATGTTGTTATTTGTAAATTTAGTGTTGTCAAAACCTATTAAAATATTGTCACTAAAACTGACTTAAAATTTAGTAATTTTAAACTTTTTTTTTTATGGAGATTCTGAAGAAGTATTGTTACTTAAATAGCCAACAAAAAAATGTCAATCATTATCTGGAGGAAAAGTGTTTTAGCTTGAGAATGGCATTTGCGTGTGGTAGTACTAGTTAGCGGGCGCTCTACACATGACAGCCTAATTAAGAGCGAACGCGGGACGGATGGGAACAATGTTATCAAAATTTGTGATTTCACTTGGACAACTGCATGCTTTTCGTTATTATACGTTGGTTTTTGGTACGTTCATCTTGCTTGACGAATCGGTGAATTTGTATCTACTTAATAATATAATGGTTAAGTAATCACAGCCGGGTATGCCAGTAAAAGCCATATCTGTTATCAGGAGCCTGTCTTCTTCAAGTATTGTTTCAATTTTCATCATTCGACTTTTCTATGGCTAGAATGTGGCTTTGTGATATGACGCTTTCTTTATTTCTTTGTTTTTTTTGCCCCCTTTTTATACTTTTTAAATTTCATTGATTTGGATTCTTTTAACAACATTCAATATGTAATTATTGTACTAATAAGCAATAAATATCTTTAATTTTAAGTATCAAAATATTTTAGTTTACTTATTTAAATATAGTGACGCGTACTTTTATAAAATCATTTTATCAACAGATTTTAGTAAGTGAATACTACCTCACTTCTTAGATATAAAAGCTAATTAACTAATTTGAATAGACTAAAAAAATAAGTTAAATTAGTTATTTGTAATAAATATATATTGTCTTTTCTAAAATATTCTTATTAATCAAGTTTATTGGTTAGAACTACTATTATTAGAAGGACTATTTTGAAAAAATATAGATAAATATGAGACATAAAATGGATTTCAATATTATATTTAGGACTAAAATAAAAATCAAACAAGATCTTATATTAAGGACCAAAGATACTATTAAATTTATTTTAATAGTTTTCGATCATTTGCTAGATGTTAGTTCCGCATTTTAGTTGTTAATAACACACTCTCAATAAACACTAGCTCCCTCCGTTTTTACATAAGCAGCTTTTGGAACATGATTACATTTTTCTTATTATATTAAGAAAAGCAATAAAATTTGGGAAGCATTTAAGACATATTTTTAAAAATATTGCTTATATTGAAAAAGGGAGAGAGTACAATTTTGTTTTCCGATTTTTTGGTAGACTTTACCATCTTTGTACGAGTTTGTGTCGTATCTTTGTACGCGTTTGTGCCGTAAGTTTGACGAGTTTGTGTGAGATGCAACACAAAAAGCAAACAGTGTTACCCAAATACTGAAAAAGAAAATGAGATAAAGTACCGCAATTGATAATAAGGAAGAAAATCTAGATGGCCCAAAGCTAAAAGGAAGAAAATACTAAAAAGTGACAAGAGTGCAGCAATGATGAGCGAGTCAAGTAAAAGACAGCCTTTAAGTGAGCTCAGCAGAAAGCACAACACCACGTCAATGATCTCTGATCTGTGATCTCTCTTTACTATAAAATGCCACTCACGGGCTCATTCTTCATTAATCTCTCACATAGCTAGCGAGCGAGAGCCCAGCGATGGGGAGTTTATCCTCTTTCGTCTTCGTTTTCTTTTTCATTATTGTGTTGGCATTCCCAATGAAGCCCGTGAGCGGTGAAGCACTGTACACAGAATCGAGGTGGGTGGTGAAGGAGGGTGGAGGGAGAGTGAAGCTTGCGTGTGTGAACTGGGTGTCTCATTTGGACACTGTGGTGGCCGAGGGACTCCATAAACAGCCTCTTGATGTTATCTCCAAGAAGATCAAGTCCATGGGATTCAACTGCGTTAGGCTCACTTGGCCAATTTATTTAGTCACAAATGAGTCTCTGGGTTCTCTCACTGTGAGACGTTCGTTTCAGAACCTTGGCCTGCTCGGTGCCATTGCCGGTGTTCAAGCCAAAAACCCAGACATCATCGATCTTCCCCTCATTAAAGCTTTCCAGGTAAATCGTCACCAACCACCCACCTATTTATTGGACGTTTCCGCGGCTTTTCTTTATGGTTCGAACGTAGTCAAACTACATTGGAAAAATGGCCCAGGTGGCATCTTTTCCGAACACTTTCAATCTAGATATCGTATTGAATATATGTCTGACTGGCATTGACAAGATACTATATATTTGCCTGGATACATTTCATCACCTAACCAACTAACAAAAGCTGTTTCGCATGACCTTGAAGATTATTACTTTTTTTTATTTAGCTGTAAATACAGTAGAACCTGCAGGAATTTTGTTTAGAAAAAAAGAAAGAAACTAAGAAAGATATATATCTGTGTGTTGATATATATTATGTGGTGTCGGTGTAAACGTCCAAATTTTAGTGGAAACACAGTGCCTAATTTGAAAGTGATGCATGTGGTGCGTATACGCCACCCTAAACATCAATATGAGTGTGAGCTGTGAAATATGAAGTAGTTTTGTATGAGCATTAAATAATTGGAGGAAAATGAATTGTGGGGGGACATTTTTTTCCTGAAAACTCTTTGATATAGTGGATTGCCCTGATGGACTGCAATTGTGGGAGAGTAATACTGATGGCGACAAGTGTTACATTGACGAGGAGTGTAACATGAACATAGCGGCGAACAATGGGAATGATAATGTCTGTGCGTGTGGTCTCAGGCGGTGGTGAAAAACCTCGGGGACAACGACGTGATGGTGATTCTGGACAATCACAGGACCGACCCAGGGTGGTGCTGCGGCAGCACAGATGGGAATGGCTTCTTCGGCGACGAGCATTTCGACCCTGACCTCTGGGTGCAGGGGCTCACCAAGATGGCCACCTTATTCCGTGGAGTTCCTCATGTAGTTGCCATGAGCTTGAGAAATGAGCTTCGAGGCCCCAGACAAAACGTTCCCGATTGGTTCAAGTAATCCCCATTAAGAATTAACCTGGCTACCTCCTTATTCTTATTCATTGTCATGCCTGTTCTGATAACAATGGCGACGACAGGTACATGCAAAGAGGAGCAGAGGCGGTGCATTCGGCAAACCCTGATGTTTTGGTGATTCTGTCAGGGTTAAGTTTTGATACCGACTTGTCGTTCCTTGGGGGTCGAAAACCGACTCTGACATTCAGCAAGAAACTAGTGTACGAGGCTCACTGGTACGGCTTCACAAATGGTAAGGTTTGGGTATCAACAAACCTAAACCAAGCATGTGCACAAATAACCGGAAATGTGATGAGCCATTCAGGGTTCTTGCTGGGCCAAGGATTCCCACTGTTTTTCAGTGAGTTCGGGATGGACCTGACAGGTTCCAACCTGAACGACATAAGGTACTTTCACTGCTTCATGGCTCTCGCCGCTGAGCTTGACTTCGACTGGGCCCTGTGGTCTCTGGTTGGCAGCTACTACTACAGAGAAGGAGTCCCGGGAACCACCGAGAATTATGGAGTTCTTGACGCAGAGTGGGCCCAGGTTAAGAATCCAGGTTTCTTGCGGAGGATCTCTTCTCTTCAGGTTCCTTTCCGAGGTCATATTCAAGTCTCCTCCTTTTTTATTCTATAAATTGCAGAAGGTCAATAAGTTTTATTTCTATAATGATTATGAGATAATAAATGCAGGGCCTGGAGTTTCAGGAGGTAGTCCACATCAAGTGATTTTCCATCCACTGACGGGTCTATGCGTTTCAAGAAAGTCTGGTGGGCTTGAACCATTAGCGTTGGGGGCTTGCTCAGATTCTGAAGGTTGGAATTACACAAACCAGCGGATTGTGCCAGTGAAGGGAAGAAACTTGTGCTTGCAAGCAGGGCAATTGGGGAAGGCAGTAAAAGTGGCAGGAACATGCTCTGATTCGGACTCTCGGTGGGAAATGATATCAGATTCTAAGATGCATCTGTCATCAAAAGTCAGCGACAATTCCACCGTTTGTCTGGACGTGGATTCCAACAACATCGTTGTCACCAGTGCTTGCAAATGTTTGAGCACCGACTCAACATGTGACCCTACCAGTCAATGGTTCAAATTCGTGGACAGCACAAGGGGTTAAACCCCATAATTAATAGCAGTATAATGTAATCTTAATAATATCTTCAAATATCTGCTCTTTCTTTGTCCCGTACCAATGATTTATATGGCATGACCATAACAAGGTCAGATCATTTGTTAAGTTGCCTTGCTCGCTCAATTCTCTGTTGCGCTCTCTGTCGCTATCTTCTCGAAACCATGAACGGTTTGTATGACCTCCTTGAGGTGCTTCTCCTATTCTAAACCCAATCTCAAAGGCTTCAATGCAAGAGATGGCACCTTAAATCTAAAAACGCTCAGTTCAGTGGCTTCTTCAAATCTTGTGAGCATGGAATCCAGACACCCTTGAACTTGGTTTGAAAATACTTATATGGAAGAACAAGATAAGGTCCGATCAACGACGCTGGCTTTAATAGTGGGCCTTTGCTATTGAGCTTCTGAAATAGACGAGCTTTGATGAATAGTCCTAGAGCGGCTATGGATATGTTGGAACAATGGGGATGGGCGCAACTTACGAAAGTTCTATTTAGGGCCTTTGACGCACATTTTCTGACCCAAAAAATAAAGCTCCATTTAGGTCACCGGAGTTGAATTAGTAGGGCCGGGGTGGCTAATTACTTGATTTGCAATTTGGTTCCGTTTTTTAAAGCGGGGTGAGGACATTCAGAGATCTCAACAAGGGAAAAGAAGATAACAAGACCTACTAGTGCTCCAAGAGCAGAGGAGAAGCGAAGTTACATTCTCTTCTAAGGGTGCTGATATTCACTCTTCTGAGAAAACCTATATGTAATGGGACTAGTTTTTTTTTTTTTAATAACCATTTTTATTGGAGACAATCCTATTCATTGTCTGACACTAAATATGGTCACTTTTTCCAACAAAAATTTGAATATTGATTTACTGCGTTATAAGAAACTAAATCCGTACCAGACTAATTATTTAAGAATCTAAGAAATAAACAGTATGTCCAACAAGATCTGCAAAAAAGTGTAAGGTGGGCAAAAACGTGTATGGAGGCCAGATGTAGGATGAAGATGACTTTCGTTAGTATAAAAATTTATAAATTTAATCAAATATAATTCATAATTTATACCCATTTAACTATAGAAATATACACTCATCGCTGTCTACTTTTTCTCAACTACTAACTTACATCTCAACTGTGTCTGTGCCCTTTCCTTTATCAGCCCTCAATAGGAAATTGAAAATAACAACTAAAGGAATTATGGGACCTAAGAATAATCATGTTTCGCGCTTTATCACGGCGCATGGTAGTCCAAGGGGGAGAAAATATGCAGGAGCAGACAGACCGACCAATAGTCTTTTTTGACCGATTAGCATTCTAAATTAATGGACCTGAGTTAGGTTGAATTGAAATGGTAATCTCTCTGCGATGGAAAAACATCTTGCGCACCAATTCCTCTACTCATTCTTTTAGTTTTGCGGTGAAAAAGGGGCAAAAGAAATTGGTATGTTTAGGGAATCAGGTGATCTAGAAGATTTTGTTCTTGATTTATAAGTATCTCGAAAGTACGATTTTCAAGACTATATGAACCCCACTTTACCCGGACTGACACACACTTTAAGGGATTCTTTCAAATAGAATGTTTTATACTTTTCTTTTGCGCACTGTGCTTGTTCTTCATAGACTCTTTTGCCTCTCTCAGATGGTTACTGATCAGCATGGTTTTACTTTTATTACCAAACAATCTCTCTCAGTTTCAGCCATAAATTAGAACTATTACAATTACAACTGATGAAGCAAGAATCTGATGTAAAATATGCAGAGTAAGAAAACGGAGAGTGTTTCTTTTCACCACGTGCACAGTTAAAGTTCGTTATTTATTAGAACGAAGGTTTGACTTAGCTACAAGCCGATGTATTTGTAAACATATATAGTAAATTATTCAATGATTAGCATATCCCCACAAAAAAAAAAAAAAATCAATGACAAAAGTAACGCTTTCATCCTCTTCATCTTCGATATTCCTTTCACCAATCTTATTTTACTCTTAACCTGAAAATGCCCAAATTTAATAGGTTACTTCCTTAGGTCGAAATTCTTTAATTAGTGATCACTTGTATGGGTGGACCCAAAGGAACCTGAAGTCCAAGAATAAAAAAAGGGAGGAAGGAAAAAGCAAAAGCTTAGATCAGAAACATTCGCCTTTATTTTACCCTCATCAGTAAGAGCGATGACTGAGACTGATATAGCACAGACAAAGAATGATGGTCCCCAGTCAGCACCATAACCTGTTAAAGCAAAAAAGAAGAAATATCAGCCTGCTTGACCTTCACGTAAGCATATAATATAACAGGAGGATGTCTACGAGTAGAACATTCAAGCAATTCGTTAAACCATGTTTCTGTGATATAGTTCTCCGTTGTTTTGACCATGGATCTCCTTAAAAGCCAATCTCTCTGCTTGCTTTCAAATTCAACCATACAGGATGATATTTTGATGAAAAGGCTCCTCCTTACACATGATCCAGATGGTCGTTGGCTGGATTCTGAGACAATGCTTCATGCAGTGGGTAACATCATGTTTCATGCTTCTTCGACACAAGTATAGCGTTATAAGCCCTCTCATATACAAGAATATACTTAAGTTCTCAAGTTTCGATCTTAAGTGGCTTCTTTTCTTGTTTCAGGGGATTCCGGGTTTACATTTTACCTCCATTTCAAAGGATGATATATGCGAAATTGAACTACTTGGTTGTACTGAACCAGTGGGAAGCATTATCAGAAAAGTTTCATGCCTGGTATCAGCTATATTGACGTATATATGCAGCTCCAGCAAAACAAATAATAACTTTTTCTTTCAATTTGATTTGCAGATAACGTCCAAATGCTCTGTGGAAGGTGACATCAATTCAAAAACCATGGGTTTGTTTGATTTGTTAGAGAACTACAGATGGGATGCTAAAGTAGTTCTAGTTATTGCTGCTTTTGCTGCAAAATATGGTGAATTTTGTGGACTTGTGCAGTTATACCAATCCAATGCATTGGCGGTCTCAGTTACAAGGCTCAAGCAGCTACCCATGGACCTAAGGTCACTGAAACCTCGATTTAAGGCATTGAGCTTGTTGGTTAAGACCATGATGGACGTGGCCAAGTGCATCATCAAGTTTGAGTCTCTCCCAATTCTTTATGCAAAGCAGGACAGCGACATTCTCCATGTAACAGAGTTTCATATTTACATAGCTGTGTACTGGATCACCAGAAGCATTTTTACTTGCTTTTCTCAAGTCACGGAGTTCACAACCAAGAAACATGAGCAAGTGCATGTTCTACTTCTATCCCTGCAATTGACTTTTACATCAATTATGTTAAACATAGAAAATGCTGTTAGTTGCATAATTTCATCAGGTTTATTTGATAATCAAAATTAACAGATTAGGTTGAACTAGGAATGCTGTTTTGATGTATTTAGTTGTTTCAGGTATTCAGATTCAACAATACTTGCGGCTTGGGAGCTTTCAAGTTTGGCGTATAGGTTAAGCAACATATACAATGTTCTCAAAGGGGAGGTGGATTTGTGTCACCAAGAAATAGGTTACTTTTCAACTTCACAAGACCTCTTATGATGGGGGCATTTATTTATCAAGCCTGCTATGTTCGCTAATATCAGCACTGTGGCTTGAATTTTTAGGTGGAAACTTGCATAACAGGCTACTGAGTCTCACTGATGAGATCCAAAATGATAATCAAGAATTTCTCACTTTATTATTTCCAATGAAGGACTACCTGCCACTAAAGGATTGCTCAACACAAGAAAAAGTACTTTGTTCTTTCATACTCATTTGTCTCCTCAGATTTTTTTAAAATATTTTTTTAAACAAAGAAAAGCAACTTTGCTCAGGAACTAATACTTCCTAATTTTGAATCTCTCTTCAACAACAGATTGGTGTGTCTGAGCTTAAAAAAAAGATTGTTGTGTTGCTGATCTCAAAACCAGAGCAGCTCACACTGGAGCAATCACTCTTGCTGGTTCAACAAACATGTGATCATCCTTTGAATGAGGAGTTGAGGGACAGCTATAAGATCATCTGGATCCCCCTTCCATCTTCTGATGGATGGATTGATACTGAAGAAACCAGTTTTGAAATTCTATCAGAATTCTTGCCTTGGTATGCTATTCGAAAGCCAAGGCTACTCAGTTCAGCAGTGGTGAAGTATATCAAAGAAGAATGGAACTACAAGGAAGAGCCCCAAATGGTAGTCCTAGATTCAAATGGCAAGGTTATAAACTCTAATGCAATTGATATGATCAAAATATGGGGACCTCGAGCTTATCCCTTTTCAGCATCGAAAGAGGCAGAGCTCTGGCAAGATGAGAATTTAACAATGAAGCTACTGATAGATGATATAAACCCTTTGCTTGCTTATTGGGTATGACATGAATCTGATTCAGACCTAATTCTAACTAAATGAAAGGCACTAACATTTTGCATTGTATCAGGTTAAAGAAGGCAAAGATCTCTGCCTCTATGGAAGTGACAACTTGGGGTGGATTCGACAATTCAATGATAAAATAGAGGAGCTCAAACGACAAGGTCTGCAGCTGGAAACCATATATGTTGGAACGAACCAGTCAGGTGAGCGTGTAAAAGAAATAATGAAAACACTTGCCACTGAATATAATCCCGGCAATTCACTTCTCTTCACGAAATCACAATTCTTTTGGCTTCGACTGGAGAGCATGAGAAGGTCCAAAGTCAGACAGACAAGTTCTGATCAAGTGCTAGCAGACCTGTCTGCATTGCTAGACATGAATGAGAGAAATGAAGGTTGGGTGATGATCGGCAGAGGGAGTTCAAGTGATATTATAAGGCTTCAAGGAAGGCAGATAATGGAATGCTTGGACAAATATGCAGAGTGGGGAGATAATGTGGAGACATTGGGACTGGTGGATGCGATAAGGAATTTCCTACAACCTCCAAGTGTCGAAGGGCCTTGTAGTCACTCTTACTTGGTTCATTCCTCTCGAGCACAGATTGAAGGAACTGTTGTTTGCGATGTCTGCAAGCGTCCAATGAAGAAGTATGCTGTGTACGCGTGAAAACTGAAAGGAACTCTGAACGGGCCTGCCATTTGTTGGATTGAAAGTCAATATATGCATGTCTTTTTTGTCTTGTTGTATTTTTTTTAGGTTGGCCACCCAGTTCATCGAAACTTTGCTCCGACTACATCTAAATCCGACCTGGGTCGCGTATCTGGCTGCGGTGGATGAGTCTCCCAACAAAAATTTCTATATACGCTGAGGCTCAAACTTAAAACCTCGCTTAAACGGTACCAAACCGCTTACCACTTGGACCAACCTTTATTGGTTTTTGCCTTGATGTATTTATTAGTAACAGAAAACAAATTCAAAACTTTTATATTTAAATTTAAATCTCTTTATATAGCTTTAATTTTCAAAACATCATTATATATCTTATAATGCAATCCCCTGAACCCTATATTTGCTTGTGTTTTTGTGGTTTAGTGTTGATCCTGAATCCGTCCAAGCCTGGACTTCCAATTGAAGTAGAGAAGAGGAACATGTCACCAAGAACGTGCTTTTGATTTTGCTTGCATTTATGAAATTTTGATGATCGCATGTGTTACCCTTTGCCTGAACATGTTAGATTCGGACAAATTTGTAAACTTCCTTTCGAAACATAAAAATTTATTAGCTAATTATACATTAGCGAATAACATCTTAATTCAGATTTGGTGGGAGTTGTTACTCATTTTCAGAGATGCTAGATCAAGAAAACCAGATATGAGAAAGGGCATTTAATTTGATTTAGTGATTCGTGCAGACCTAATCCAGATGCCTCATCCATCGATCTTTCGCTTCATTTTGCAATTTGAATAAAATGTACGCATGGATGGGTTTATATGATAACGCACTAGATTTTGGACGCCTTTCCTGCATCTAATCAGAAACTTAATCAATGTGTTATGCATCAAGTTCGCAATTTATATGGGAATGCACCAGATTTGGACGTCTTTACCACACGGGGGATTAAAATACCGCGATTATATAAACAAGAATGTACCAGGAGACAGGTAGCATGGTGCAGCTAAAGAGAATTGCCCCAAGCTGTTTAAAACTGGCAACACTGTTAATCTATGCTTCGGAAACATGAACATCTCCCACTGTTTTGTGGGGAGAGTTCACCAGTAAGAAGCAACAATCCAAAAACTACTACCCAAAAAACAGAATGGCACAGCACGACCATATCATAAACTACGAGCGTTAATCACTTCGTAGTTGCTTTAAGAATGAGGCCGCTGTTGGGTTTGATTTACGCTTTCGTTGACGCGTCCTTCTGCAATTGCAAAACAAACAGAAGAACGCAACGCCTATCGAAAGCAATCGTTCAATTAAAAATTAAAAAAAAAAAAAACTACGTTAAATTTACCAGGAGCTCAAGGGGCTCCAGAGCTCGAAACCCTACCCCCATCCCATTCACACATACCAGGCTACCATCCCCCGGCTTAGGGTTTTCTTATGGGGGTACTCGGCTCACTTTATAGAGAGCGCAAAACAAGCCCAGCTCGAGATTAGCCTCTATTTGTTGTCATATTAACGATAATGCCATTTAGTATAACCTTTTTTGGGCCATGGGTCCATGCCCCATGGTCCACGGACTCGGGTAAATGTTTGGGATGACCCTATCCACATCGATGCCGTGTTCTTGTCCCCCGATTTCTTCTGGTTTTTTCGATTGAGTTTTAGCCATTGACAATCTGAAGCCCTGCGGTGGTGCGAAAGAGGGGAAACCGATCAAAGCAGAGAAAGATGGTGAAGGTTTCAACGTACTTCGCAATGTCGCTGGGAGCTTTCTTATTCTGGCAGTCTATGGATAAGGTCCATGTCTGGATCGCTCTTCGACAGGACGAAAAGGTTTGTCTTTTTGCTTGACCCTTTCTTTGCCTCTCTAATAAATGCATCTCCTCTTTTAACTCGTTCGAGTTTTCATATTTCCAGCTCTTATTTGATACTCTCCGATTGATTGTCCCCTTCGGAAAACCCTAGAAATCGTGCCGTTTTCATTTGTTCTTCTTTGCATTTGGGCATCTTGTATGTTATTAATCCGTGACATCCGTAATTCCGGATTAGTTTCCACTTATTTGATGCGCAAGTTAAAATTAGATCGAATGAACTTGTTTTCCTCGAAATCATGTGAACTACGGATATTGACATTCTCAATTATTCTAATTGCCTTTTCTATGGTGCTTCGTTATCTTAGCTTTTCCATATGTTTGAAAAATTACGTTCAAATTTTCGAACTCGACCTTTGAGTATGGGGAAAGTAACCTTTATAGAGCCAAGTTTTGATCTGCCCATTTGTGTCAAATTATTGCATTTCACTTAAAGTTTCTATATATATCTCATCATTTACTCTGTTTACAGTAGTTCAGAAAGATGTGCGACAATCTTTACGGCTGTGCTTGTGAGATTAAATTCTTTTGATCCCTCAAAAGTTGCCTCTGTATTTTCTTTTGTAGAAAGAAAGGTTGGAGAAGGAAGCGGAGATCAGAAGAGTGAGAGAAGAATTGTTGCGGGAGCAGGCCAGCAAGGACTCCCTTGCATGAATATGATGTGATTTTGTTGGCATTTTCTCTGTATTTTCCCTTGCTCTGTGCTTTTCCAATGCAATGTTATGCTCAAATACAATTCCTTGCTTATAACCACATCAACTCTATTCTGGTGGTGGCTGTCCATCATTGTCATTGACACAAGACCCCATTTCATAAAATACTGCTCGTCATCATCACTCATTGGAATATATGGCCGCGTGTTGCATTTCATTTCCTTTCAGCTGTGAGTACGATATGTGTGGGTGATAAAGCCTCTTTCAACAAAAATTTTTTAGTTGTGATGGTAATTTCCTGTATAGAGTCTATTCATCGAAGTTTGGCTTGGCAGCAGATCATGTATTGAATTGTCTGAAAGGCAAGTGTCTTCATTCTACTGGCTGTTAAGAAAATGTTTGACGTGCTGGGTTTTTCTTATGGCGATGACATTAATGCAGCCATATGTTTGAGTGCTCGCAGAAGAATTTATTGGTGGTATTTGTGATTTGTGATTCTTAAATGTAGTTGTTCGCCTAGTTAAATTTTGTTATGTCAGGGTAACTAGGCTAGGAACTCTCACGGCTGTGCCGAGGTATTGTTGGTCAGAACTGGACTGGCCGGTTCGACCAAAAACGGGCCTTTGGTCCATTCCAAACATCTATCAGAACTAGGGAAAAATTGACCTGGTCAAAAACTGGCGAGAAATAGAGGAAAACCAGGCAGAACTGGTTTTTATCTTCTTTTCCCCCGCCCCTCAATAACTCAAAACTATGTTATTAACTTATTATGTGTTTTCATTTGTGTTTTGGTTGGTTTTTATTATATATTTGATGATTTATTGGTAGTTCTGACTAATCATGAAAGCTCGTTCTAGTTTAGTTGGACAGTCAATCTAACATATTTGATAATTTTGGTGATTTGTGATAGCCAATATCTGGTATTTAAGTTGAGCATGTATAAAATTATGGTAGTTTAGTATGTATGGGGCAGATGCGAACAAATATTACAAGATATAGTTGGGCATGTATGAGTATCTATGAATAAATCTTGTCTAATTTTTCCCATATGGATTGTTTAAAGAATATTATTTTAATTGAGATTAGTCCGACCACAATCCGGTTATATCCTTATTATTGATTTTTTTTTATTATTGTTCAATAAAATTTAATATTATAGATAGAATCTTTAAAAATGCTGGGGTTTCTTTATTTTCAATTAAAAATTTGAGGATAAATATTTAAATAATGTCACTATCTAATGGTAGGAATCAGTTTTAGTACTCATTATTATGATAAGCATCTTAAGCTTATTATATTACCGTTCATATTTTATTTAAATGATCTGAATTTGATTTTGTTTTTATTTTTATATATTCAAAATAATTATTTTAATATGTATAAAATTTAAAATAGAGATAATATCTCAAATATCATTCTTTTAAAAAATAATTAATTAAAAATTTTAAATTTGAACTATTCAAATTAGATATAAATAGTCATTACTGGGATGTTAATTTTATTGTTGTAGCGAGGATCATTTTAAAGTGGAGGAATGGAACGCCTGCAAGTGGCTTGTGATCCTGTAAATCATATCTTAATTATCCCCATAAATGGTTTCATGAGCTATCTATTGTGAATCTCCGCAGAGATACTTTGGTCAAATCAGGTCATTTAAATTTGGAGAATTGAGATTAAGGCCCCATTTGGGTGACACCCCAAACCATGGTTTGGAGACCCAAACCATAGTTTGAGTGATAAGTCACCCAAACACCCACTGGTTTTGGGCAAACCGTGGTTTTGGCTTCAAAACCGTGATTTTGGAAAAAACAGAAATTTTTTGCTTTTGGAGAAAAAAGGGAGAGTGTGAGAGCTTATAGGATATGTATCTTGTTATTTTTTTTATAAACATATTTTTTTATAATCATATTTAATCTTATATTTTAAAAATATATATACATATTAATTATTTATTAATTATATTATCTTATGTATTATTAATTATGTTAATAAAAAATATATTATTAACAATTTTATTCCTTCAAATTAAAATATATCATAAAATCTATTTTTTTTGTAATTATCATATTAACTTATATCTTTTTTTAGTAATTTGTATATATAAAAAGTGCTTCTGATAACAACTATCCAAACACTCTCACTTCTCAAAATCACTTTTTCATAACATCAGAATCTATTTTTCCCAAAATCTATTCTCCATAATCACTTTTCCAAACCACGGTTTGGTTTCATCCAAACACACCCTAATTCAATAATAAGGGGTGCTAAACCAGAGAACATGCGGATATGATAGCCGCAGGCAGACCAGTAAAGCAACGTTTGCCAAGTGCCAGTTTCTCAGCACACTAGCCAGTAGCCATGAAGAAATATGCAGAGCTCGGATTTCCTCGCAAAACGTGGTCGGTTAAAACCCATATAACTATAGACGTGACGAACGACTCAGCATACATTACATCACAATACGGAGTTTATGGAAATGTTGCAGCAGAATTAGACTGAGCAGCAAAGTCAATGGTGGGCAACGGGATTTGTGGTCCTGTTTGGAATGCAATATATATATAGATATATATGGCGTGACGTTGCTATGCATATAGTAGTATTGATTATTGCGTGGAGGACACTGGGCCAGCTATTGCTGGCAACATCCCAACGTAGCATAGTGCGAACTTCAGTTACCGTACGAGGAACCGCAAACGCGAGAATCATATACTTCCGTATGATGTGATCAGTGGAAGTGCTGGAAAAAGCACTGAACCACAGACGGAATGGTTTTCTATTCCCTACACTTCAAATTAATCGGAGCATGCATATCCAGTATTAACAACCACCCTATTCTAGTGCAGAGGAAGAAAACGGGTTTCTGTCTAATCTCCAACTTCCCCCTCCCTATTTTCAGAAATTCGACCAGGGCTCCAACGATTAGTGGATCTAATTAAACGCATAAAGCCCCCTTTCTTGTTTTTGTCCTTTTGGCCTATTTTAATTTGGGTCATATGCTGTTGACATCTAATTTAATGAATATTTATGCAACTCTGACGGAATAACAACCAAAGCAAATCCAGATTCAATTGATACCAAGTTCTTAATTAGATTCTCCCTTTAAAAGCTGAGATCCAACTCATCATGATAGCTGTCTGCCAAACTCGGAAGAACCTTGCAGAATGAATGCATATTCTTGAATAAAAAAAATCAGGATGGCAGCAGGTAAAAAATCCCAGAATTGATCATCACAGCAAGGAATATAGGGTACAGGATATATTAAATTAAGCAGTAACAATCAGACACAAAGAAAATTGAACTTCATAACTAATTTAACAGAAAATATTTCAAGATTGGAAGCATGTATTCAGAGACCAGAGAGACCAGAGAAGAAGCTAAACAAAGAAAACGTCTGTTGTCCACTAACTGAGATGAGGCTAATCAGACTAGAAAATTATTACATTCCCTCTCAGTCACTACTTACTGCTTGTCTCCGACACATACAGCTTCGTTGAACATAATTGATTTTAAGTAGTACACAACTATCATTGCCTGATTCCTGTGGAGGGAGTGTGAAAGAGGTCATCCCTGTCGTGAGGGCTATTTCCCCTCTCATGATTAGCTCTGTCAGCCTCTAACTCTCTAAATCTGTGCAGATACCTCCTCAGTGGCTCAGCGTAGTCATCAAAACCAAGCGTGCCCAAGGCCCAGCATATGTCATCCCCATTCACCGTCTTCCTCCTCTCCTTCCGGCACTTCTCCGACGCCTCGCTTGTCACGAAGCTTATGAATTCCGACACGCATTCTTGCATGGTCTCCTTTGCTTCCTTGGATATCTTGGCGTTCTGAGGCAGTATCTGCTTCATGATCCGACCAACATTCGCTATCGGCAACAACCTGTCTTGCTCCTTGATTCCGCTGTTGTCGTTATTTGAAGACGAACCTCCACCAACGTTCTCCATCGGCTCCCAACTTTCCCAGGATCAAACTAAGTGACTTGCCAGACGGGTATGTACATGTATATATACATAACAAACAGAAGACGCACACATACTCAAGTAATTATTATCATATGTGATAGGTGACTCTTCCTTTTGATTGACCAAAGATGGGGACGTGGTCGGCTTAAATAATGGTGGGATCTGATGGTGCAACAGAGTCCACTGGAGAAAAACCAGTGGTGATTGGAGGGTGAGAGAGCTTTTGGGATGGTTGAAGAGAGAGGGAAGGAATTAAAGAGGTAGCCCTTAAGAGAGGTGTGGGATGCAACAAGGCAAGGTGAGTGTATCAATGGATGTACTGTTAACCCACAAGTCCACCAATGAGGTCGCTCTTAGCTGTTCTTAACATATTATTTGATTACCAGTTCTGCGGCCAGCATCCTCATCAACATATTGAAAAGACGATTCTTTACGGTACTCCATTCTTTAATCTTTACAGTTCAACAAATTTTGTGTGTTATGTACATCAATATGTGCGCGCGCGCGCGCGCTCTTAGGTGAACGCTCCAACTTTCAATTTCTTTTCCTTTTCTTTCTGCTGCTTTCTTGTTTCAAGGTGGATTCTAACTGGACCTGTCACCGGGAAAACTTAAAAAAACGAGAGAGTAATTTTTTCATTTTATTTTATTTTAGTGGCATCTGCTTCATTCAAGTTCACATCATTTCATGCGACAGCCAGCCAACTGTTCGGCGGGGTGTTAATTATTATGTAAATTATTTATATAAGATCTTTAGATGTGTCATTATTTGTGAAAGAATCGGGTGGGATGGGCAATTATATGTTAAGTTTACGTGGTTTACTGTGTTGATAGTTAAAATTTTGTTAATAATAATAATAATAATTGTAAAAAGCAGAGTTGGGAGTGTAAGAGATGTATAGCGTATATCTATAACCACGAAAAGCCATGAAAATAAAAAATGCAGGCATATAAGAAATTAAGGCAAGGGTTTGTTGGCCACAAACAAAATGAGACCAGGTTTTTGCAGGTGACGAGAAATTGACAAGTCGATGGATTCTTATTCTAAAAAGGATCGCTGTGACTCTGCCGTCGCTTATAAAGGCATTACGGCCTCTCCTCTTCGCTCCAACAATGGCACAAATTTTAACTGCGGACCACCGTATTTGACTGTATATGCAGTTTAAAATTAAATGACTCTTTTAACCTACAAGTTCAAGAGTTTCGCATCAAAAAGCTTCACAAATGAAAGAGGGTTCATGAGTTTAAAACACTCTTCCACGTAATAAGCTAGTCATTTATTGAGTATGAGCTCCTGTGTTTTTATGGGTATTCTGACTAGCAAGAAGCTGAAGGAAATACGGTGATGTGAGATTACTGGGAATATCAAAGGGGTGCATTGTTATTACCCCTACATTGGCAAGTCTCAGAATTGAAGTGTGCTGTGTAAGTTTGAGAGTCCCATGTCAAAAAAAGCTCACGTGTAAAATGTACTTTGTAAGTATGAGGTTCCCCAATCTAATATTAATTTAGAGCCTTGACTTGACAACAGAAACATACAAAATATTTAAACCTTTTTCCAAGACGTTTGACACGATATAGTAGCTCCATGTCTTGGGATTTGTATTGGGTGCTCATCAGGATCTGGACAGTCCAGATTTTATTTTATTTTTTATTTTTTAAAAATAATTATTTTAATAGGTATATAATAAAAAATAAAAATAATCTCTTAATTATTATGCTTTTAAAAAATAATTTTTTCTATTTTAAAATAATTATTTAAAAATATTAAATCTAGACCGTCCAGATTAGATCTGAACGGTCCAGATTTTTCATCACTTGATGAGCACTGGGTGCTCATCAAGTAATGAGCACCGAATGCAGGCCCCATGTTTTGCAGTTTGGGGTTTTGTTGGAGGCCATGATCACTAGAAATTAAAAGATAAAATTCTCATCTTGCCACTGTGATTGCATTCAATGTAGTTCCTATGTACGAATTGCGTGAAATTTGAAAAATCATTGATCGCACTGTTGATCCCTCACAATTCTTTTTTTTTTTTGGGGGGGGGACAACATCCCTCACGTGTAAGACCGCAGTTTAATGAAAACATTTATATTATAGTGTTAAATGACAATTAATCTTTCCATAAGCGGTCACTTTGGGGGGCATATTAATCTTTGTAGCAGCCTTAATATAAGAGTTATATAACTAATTTAGAGAAATAAAAAAATTAGTTAAATTAGTTATTTATAACAAATATATGTTGACTTCTTTAAATTACTCTTATTCAATCATATGCATTTGAAATTACACTTGAATAAAAATATCTTACAATTAATAAGAATATTTTTTAGAACACATTATAAATTTGAGAAATAAAGTAAATTGTAATCCTATATTTAGAAGTGCCAACTAGCTTTTACGTTTAGAACCCATCACAACAGACTCTAATAGTAGACAATAAATAACAGTATATATGTGTGTGTGTTTTTTTTTTGGTACAAATAAACGTGTGTTAGTGTATAATATCTAAGATCCATGAATCATTTAAATCGTTGATTCATACACTTACTTAAGACATCACATCCATCATCAACACGTCTTCGCACATTTTTCATGTTCTGCTTTGATACTGATACTAATATTGAAGACATGCCGGTATATTGATAACGATTAATTTATTTTTTGAAAGATATATGCAGAAGCCAGCGTATAGCTTCATGCTTAGTTAAACGGATGATTACATAATAAAAATACTTGAAATAACAAATAATTTAAAATATAACACTTTTAAACTTCTATATATGCTTATTTAATTTTTTATACGGTAAATAAAAATGTATGTGTACCGCCAAACGAATGTTTGTGTTAAACTAAATAAAATTTGTTTAGCAACATTTATAGTTTCAATGAACTATTGAGATTTTAATTTATTTAAGAAGTAAATTATTTGAATTTGAATTTTTAGAATTAACTCCGAAAATAAAAAATAAAAGCATATATAACCAATTCACCAATTTCTGGCCCAAAAAGCATATTCTGGTATCAAATTTGCAGGCTTGGGCTTTGTAAATCCCCCGTCTGTGTAGAAGCGACCTAGCCGACACAAACACGGTCACATACTTCGACTATAAAATAAGCCGAGCTTTATACCCAAAAACAAAAAAGAAACTGCTTTAATTTCCACAGTCTCCCCTCTGTCTCGTCGACATGTTTTATTACATGTCAATCTTAAAAGATAAAACTTTATAACATAATACTTCTTCAGTTCTAAATATAAAATTTATTTATAATATAATTTATACTATAAAATAGGTCTTATATTTAAAATTGATAGAATATAATTTATCAGTTATTTATTTTTAAAATTTGTTTAATTCATGCGACTAGTGTAGACTCTAGAGTCTCAGCTCTTATGTTGGGAAAAAGAGTCTAAACTCTTGAATTAATTCCTAATGGAAAAATTAAATTTAATATGGAGAAATAGATTTTTAAGAAAAAGATCAAGAATCGATGTGATTTGTGTTCCTAATTACACAGTTTGGCTATGTATAAGGAAATCATTGAATACATAAATAAGAAAAATAAATTAAGTAACATAAGTCCATAAAAAAGAATAAAAGAATATCAAAAAATGCTTCATAAAATTATTAATTAAGTGAGAAGTTTTCGATTTACATCCTTTTCTAACATCATATGATTCATATAGTCAGGGATAATACTTGTTATATACACATATATATTACTTATTTTTAAAAGAATGGAGATTAATCCTTAGGATGTTGTTTTGATGAGAAGTGTGGAAAGAAAAAGAAGCTCGATAAATATTTATTATTTAGAGTTCAATTGTGTCGATGGATTTTGTGGCTGGCCTAAAATCGATGTGCACCAACCCACAGAGGTTTCATTTGATATTAAGGGGGTATTTGGATATCCCAACAATCACTTTTCAGAAGCATTTTTTTCAAATCAAGACAAACTCTTTCACATATTTATCTCGTATACCATAAACACACTTCTGAAACCATGATTTTTATCTTACTCAAACACTCCCTAAATATAAAGGATAAAGTGGATTATGGTCTTATATTTAGGATCAAATTAAAATTTAAACCAATTCTTATATTAAGGATCGGGTGTAATATAACATAGCTGAATTTGTTGGGTTGTTCGAAGCCTGGTAACATGTTGTCGTTTAACTACGCACGCTAACTAATGTAGAAAAACCAACATTTTCATAAGAACATTCCTTCCAAATGCGGGACTTGAAAAGGGCATGGCATATCTAGATGTGGGAATCAGGACCGGTTCTTTAGGACTGAAGGGCTTAAAAGGATCAACCCTCCAAGACTGAATTTTTAAAAATACCTCAATTTGCTAGGCCTGTCCCTTAAGCTAACAGGCTCAGGGCCAGCCCGCGGGCTTTTGGCCCGTTTAAGAAAAATACTGTTTTTTTTAATATATTTTTCATATTTTTATCAAAAAATGAAAATAAACCAATAAAATTATTAATAAAATACATAAATATGAATAAAATTAAGTCACAAATATAAAATATCATCATATATAAATATCCGTCAACATCGAAGAACATCTAAAACATTTATTAATAAGATAACAACATCCAAAAATTTTATCTATGGTGCAATTATGCAATAAATAAATATTATCATTAATATTTTGAAACTTCATCATCACTATAATCAATTACTCTTATTTATAAGTATTTTTTTTTCGTAACAAAAAAATATCGAGTTTTTCTTCTTTATAGGAATTTTACTTTTAAATTTTACATTCTAGTTATTATTTTACTTTAATGTGAGAAATATTGTTGTTAAAACTCATGAATTTCTAATTCAAATTATAGAATCACAAGTTATATAAGTATAAAAATACTCTATTATCAAATATATATAGTTTAAAAATATCAACGCATATAATAAAAATCAAATCATTATTAAAGTCCAAATTAAGCTATTTTTTAAAAATTTAATTAGATAAATTATTGTCTAAAACTAAATAAATCAAATCATTATGTAAAATTTAATTTTAAAATAATAATAATAACTAAATATTTGAAATATTATTAACAATATAAAAAATTAGTAATATTATAATTACATAAAAAAATTTTAAAAAAATTATAAAAAGACCTAAACTGGCCGGTCTTCAACCTCTAGGATCTACCCTTTTAAGCCTTCGGTCTTCCAACACCAACCCTTCAGGACCTGTTTCCTGTTTAAGAAGAAAAATTTCAAGTTAGTTCTTATAATTTTAGAGCCTAAACAGGCAGATTTGACTAGCACGGTCTGTTTTTCCGGTCGTAAGCCTAGCGGCTTCGCTCATCCCGCTTCTGTATTTTCTTCGGTTTTGACTTCTGCGGTTCTGCCCTCTGTTGGATCCCCTTATTCCCGAAAAAGAAAAAACTACGTGATGTCTGCCCTATCGTTATTATTTTAGAGAATAATAACGACAAAATCTAAAACTATCTAAACTTAAAATAATAAATGCTTTTTGGATAAATATAGGATGGCAATGAAGCTACCGAACAGGCCGAAGAACCGCCTCACACAAAGATAAAATTAAAAATAGAAAACATAAAAGGCAAGTGGTCAAGCCGTCAATATCATTCATTATTTGGAAGATTTTCACCCTATCTCCGTCTATCCGACTTTTTTTGTAATTTTATTTGGGAGGGCAGACTCTGCCTGCACCGCTCCATCCTGCTAAATCTTTGACTACCCCCAACTTATATAAATCCAGCCATCCAGCAGAAATCGGGACCTCCCATCCAAGACAGCTCTTCTCGTCCTTAACCCTTTTCCCAACCTCTATTATCTCAACCCTCCTCTCCTTGCACCCAATCTTTTCCATCAGTTTTTAGGGTTGACAACCTCTTCGGGATGGATTACAGGACGTTAGAACTCAACATCGTATCTGCAAAAGACATCAAGAAAGTTAGCCATTTGTCGAAGATGCACGTATACGCTGTTGCTTCAATCATCGACGACCCCCAGCAGAATCAGCTTGCCAAAACTCCCATCCACAGACACGCCGGCGACAGTCCCACTTGGAATTTCGCCGTTCAGTTCACCTTCAATGAGTCCTTGGCCAAGCAGAACCGACTCACCCTTTACATCCGACTATTCTCTCATCGCTCTATTTTCGGTGACAAAGAAATCGGTAGCGTTCGAGTCCCGGTTAACGAGCTAATCGACCGTGCCGGAGACGGAAACTCATTGCAGCATATGAATTACGACGTGAGGAAACCGTCAGGCAAATCCAAAGGTGTCCTGAACATCTCCTACAAATTTGGTGAAAAATTCACGGGGCCTCCGCCGACGGTACCAAAGGAAGCGCCTGCGATGGCGTATCCTCCACCGCCACCACCCATGGGATCCAGCTCGATGCCGTACCCTCCACCACCGCCACAACATGGGGCACCATATGGGTACCCGCCTCCGCCGCCATATGGCGGGTACCCACCGACTCAACCAGGATACGGGTACCCAGCACAACCAGGTTACGGGTATCCACCGGTTCACGCACCGGCAAAGAAGAGCAAGTTTGGAATGGGAATGGGAGCTGGATTGATGGGAGGAGCGCTGGGGGGGCTGCTCATTGGAGATATGATATCTGACGCGAGTGCTTATGATGCTGGATACGATGCTGGTTTCGATGATGGTGCTGGATTCGATTTTTAAATTTTCCTTTCCAGCCTTTTGGATAGTGCAACTCTAGAACACTTTTGTTCTCTGAACAGTTACTTTCCTTGAGAGGGCTTTTGTTTTTTCACTACCCTAGGTTTCTGCAGATTATGCGAGGTCTCTGCTTCTCTTTAATCTTATTCTTTTCTTTTTCCCTGACCCTAATTTAATTTACTAGATTATGCTACATAATGATAGCGGTTTCGAGTGTTACATAAAAATAATAGTCTTCCGGTCCTTAATATAAGACCCATTTAACTAATTTGATTAGATGAAGGAAGTCAGGTAAGTTAGTTAATTATAAGAAATGTGATATGTTTTTCCTAAAATACCATAATCATTTTTCTTAATACCCCTTCTTCCTCTTCTACTTGATTATGGTTGAAGGAGTATCTATAAGGGTAATTCAGAGAAAATTGATAAATATGAGAAATGGATCTTATATTTAGGACCAAAACGAACTTAACAATTGGGTTCTATATTAAGGACCGGAGGAGTATTAGCTTCCAAATATTAGTTTGCCATGGTTCTAGCTTATAGTCAAGATCACAATAATATTATAGCTGGCTATATTTGCTAGATTGCTGATAAGTGTGCATTACAAATGATCTAGAAGAGTGACTAGTTTTTGAAAAAAGGGTGAGCGTTGATTCAAATTAACGAGTGGAGGGACGCCAACTTTCTGTACACGGTACGGGGTAGCTCCGACCTCCGAATGAGGAAATAATGGAATCTGAGGTTAACATGCAGGGAAGGCTCAAAATGTTTGTGAAAAAATCTGTAGGGGGATCTATCCAAAGCCCGCACAGCTCCCAGTTTCCGGGCTTGGAGGCTTTAGGATTACGATGAGAACAATAATTAAAAAAAAAGGGAATTATTCTTTTTCTAAATCAGTTATTTAGAGCAGAATCAATTAAACACAAACATATCAGGCCTAACCAATAAGAGTTAGGTTTAGCGTAGCTCTTCGTAACGTGATAAGCTAATATTTGAATTTTTACTGGGATAGGTGTCCATCCACATTTTAATGTTTGATAGTGCTTCATATTAAAAAGAGAAAAAAAGAAAAACAAATTGAGCTGAAAATCACTGGATTTTCCGAAGACAGTGGCGCAACACGGGATGAGATAAATACGTATTCATCCATCCATTTTGAAATGAAAAATATATGTATTTTTGGGTTGGGTCAGTATCTTCATCTGGGTTTATTCTGGGCCCAAAGCTTGAAAAGATGAATTTGTACTCTTTTGGGTCATGACAAGGATTGGTCAAATGTAACCTCAAAGAAGAACGTCAAACCCCCAAGGACGGCGGATGAGGACATGTAAGTGAAACTCTAAGCCCAAGGAAACCATTCCAAAAATAGCCCATCGACTTCAAAAGCCTCTAAGCCCATGCCATGGGTATAACAACAGTACAAGTTCAAACAAGGACACCCCCCCGGGGGGGGGATGCCTGGTTATAATTTCGCATGAAGGCAGATGATTAATGACATTCTACGATACGCGCACACATGTATATTGCCCTAGGGGCACATGTTACATTAATTGTACATTATCGTAAGTCCAGACATCCAATTAATTAATTAAGCGCTCAAATTCTCTCTATCACTTTATTTTGATACTCCAATCACATGCCACATCTAATACATAATATAAAAAATTAGTTTAAAAAAATTATGATCTAAAATACAAGATGTTGTTATAATAATGAACACTATTTTTTTTATTTTTATCCCTACTAAATATAGGAGAAAAATAATAAAAGTATTTAAAAATTAATTTATTACTTTTGAATTAATTTTTTAGGGATGAATAAGAAAATTTTAATTTATTACTTTTGAATTACATTTTTTAGGGATATAATAAGAAAATTTTATCATTTTATGACACATTTCAATGACTGTATTTTTATTTGTCAGTATGTGAAAAAAGTTAATCATTATGAACCACTGGGAGTATCAATGATCTCACTGTCATTAAATGAAGAATATAGCAAAAATACTTCTCTCTCAGCGTTAATGCCATGCAATCGCAGAATTGATATATATCCTACATTCTTTATGTTTGAGTACTTATTCTCCAAAATCAATGTCAATTCCCTAATTCCATTTTTTTTTTGTTTTCAGAAAGAACAAAGTTAAAGCATCGCATAAACCAAGCTAGCACTAGATGAGCCGATAAATCATTCTCCCTCAGCTTTAATCATCCCCCCTCTGTTCTTTCAGGCTTTGTTTGGTTCAATAGAAGAGAAGAGAAGGGAGGGAAGGTTGATTAAAGAAAGAGGAGATGAGGGAAAGAGTGATTATGGTTTTGTTTGGTTCGAAAGGAAGAGAAAAGAAGGGAGATTTCTTATTCGGTTCATAAGAGGAGGGGAGTAGAGATAATTATAAATTGACAAATATGCCCTTATATCTATATTTAGACTGATTTATTTTTTTATTAAAATATTTATATCAAAATAATTATTTCTTAATTTATCAATTTTAAAAAAACCAATTACCTCACTTATACGTGATAAAAAAATGATTAAACTAAAAAAAAAGAAAATATGATAAAAAGTTTAACATTCTATCTTATTAATTTTATAAATATATGTATTAATATATATGATATGTATATATTATATAATTATAACACGCACGTTATGATATGTATATATTAACATATATGTATGTTATCTGAGATTATAATACACATGCTATGATATATAATTACAATACACACATGTTATGATATGTATATATTATATAATTATAATATTATATTATCATTATCAAATATTATTAGTGGCTAAAAAGATAAAAAAGTGAAAAAAATATTTTTAATGAGATGGACAAACTTAGAATATTGAAAAGTTAGTATGGGCAGTTTGGTTAATATTAGACATAATATTTCTCTCACCTCTAAAAAACCCTAAATTTGGAGTGGAGCACTAAAAGACAAATTTCTTTTCTTCCCTCTCCTCTATTTTTTCCAACCAAACACATTTATCTCTTCTCCTTCCCTCCCTTCAACAACCCTCCAATCAAACAACAACCTTCCAACCAAAAGGAGCCAAGTTCTCCCATCTCAATCCTTCAGTTCTCCCCCACACGCACTCTTTTTTTTTTCCCCGCGGAAAATGTAAGTATGATTTTCATACTTTTATTATCATTTTATATCATTAAGAGGATTAATTTAACATTTAGTTATTAGCTATTCACGTACACCTCATTCTATCGTTGTTGCTTTATTAACCATATGTGTATTCTTTAAAAGAAAATATTACTAATGTTACAGATTTATTAACAATTTATAATAAATGTATATATATAATGGAGATTATACTACCTCCAGTCTTAAATATAATAGCTAGTTGACTAATTTGAGTAGATTAAGAAAATAAGTTAAGTTGGTTGTTTGTTATAAATATGTGTTATCTTTCTTAAAATATCCTGTTAATCAAATTTATTGGTCCATAACTATTATTATTAGAAGAATTATTTTAAAAAATAGATAAATATGAGAGACAAAATGGATTGAGATTTTATATTTAGAACTAAAATAAAAATCAAATAGGGTCTTATACTAAGAACTGAAGGTAGTATGTTATAAACTACAGTTAAAAGTGGAATATAATTTTTACGAGAGTACGATGGAGAATAAGTTCATATACCAAGGGAGGGCATCATTTTAAAACATGAGATACTAAAAGCTTTGAATAGGATTCACATGCTCATTTAATCTGGAAAAGTGACTTTTCGGGGTGATATGCCCTTTTGAGGCTAATTAAGCAATTATTATTAATTAATTGGTACGTATTCTCGCCTTGTGGCACTAATCCACTTGCTTCACCTCGCGGGTCAGACGAAGGCATCTATCTCCTAAAATAATGCTTATTTTTTGTGTCAAAGCATATATCATATTGTACTTTATTTAGCTCTTCTTACCTTTTTTTTCTTTTTGATTTTTTTTCAAATTAAGTGCATCCTTTCTCATATTACTATAAAATTAAGGCACCGACTGGATTCCTATACATAGAAAATTCTATTGCAGATATAGATAATTACAGTTGGCCATTAATTAATTCATTGAAGTGGTCCAACACACACACACACACACAAGTCATCAACCATCAAAAACCAAAAGAATTAGTTATATGCAAGCTACTCTACAAGTTGAAATGTGATGTAGAAGAATGGAATTTTCCTCATTTGAATCCTTTTATTTCATTTTAGATGTTAACTAGAAATTTTTCTTCCGTGCGATGCATGGATTAGTCTATTTGATTAGATTTAAAATTCTAATAAATTACGTTATCTACTATAACTCAAGATTTACTTTTTATAAGAATATGATTTAGAAAGAATAGATGAAAATTTAAATTTATTTATTTATTTTTTCATTTAAGTTTCCAATTAACATAATATTTAATTATGATACTCCACATTTAATGCAATATATTCAAATTCAAAATTAATTATTAATTTTTTCATTTGAGCCTCCAATTAAAATTTTATTTATTTATAATGTTTCCATTTAATTCAATATATTCAAATTTCAATCAATATGTTATTCAAATCTCATTAATTAAATATATTCAGATCTAATAATATTATACCTGACTTATTTTTAAACGAATTGGGTATTACAAGTTTTCAAAAATATAGTTGATTGATTGATTTTGTGGGAAACATCATATGCATACAATCATTCATTCAAATTGGCTCTAGCATGAGGTGCAATTTAGACACGCATATAAGAGCGTGCAGAAGTTGAGTCTATGGCAAACAATGAAGATTTATACAATATTTTTCATAATATAATTACATGATGATAATTAATGATAACATATAAAAGCAAGGAAGCTAAGTTAGCTGTACTACAAAACAAGGGAACCCGATGAAATAAACTTTATTTCTGTAGTAGGAATAAGAAGGGACGAAGGCTTTGTTTAAAAAGAAGAGGCTAATATGGAAAGGCAAACACATCGCTGATAAAGGATATTTGGGGATACAAAAAAAAAAGTGTCTTGTCCAGTTAAATATAGGACTTTAGAATTTGGCTTTTTTGTTCGGGAAAATCACATGGGCTTGTTGCCCGAGGGAAGCTAGCTTTGCTTCTATTGTGGAGCCAACTCCTACCCCTCCATATGATTCTCAATGTCACTGACATGCATAATGGTATGGGATGATTAAATTAAAGAATACCAAAGCTTGTTTTTTGAAAACTGCTCAGCTCATATTTTCGTCTTCTCTCCCAGTACAGTAGTGGGGAAAAATCCCCAACGTCATGGCTAAAGCTGATGTGGCATATGATGCAGCTTCGACCCTTTTCAGGTTTCTGAGAGAATCAACAGCATTGTCTGAGGTTGACAGTTAATGTGAGGTGAAAAACAAGTTTTCGATGCCACCTCACTGTGTCTTCGTCATATTTCAATTGATTATGTTTATATATGTGTGTGTGTGTGTATTCTTTCCGTGATTGTTTGATACACTTGTATTGAACATGTCACTTCATTATCACATTAAACTTCTAGAATAGAAGAAAAATTCTAAGCCAAATTTAATACTACTAGATAAATTAAAGAGTAGCAATTAAATGCATTGATTGGCACCTGTAGCTAAGTAGCATCTAGAAGGCTTGATTATTAAGTGAAGGGAAAGAAACGCTTGAGACGGATGGTGAAGGAGGTGTGAGGGAATTTGAGGGGAAAATGACAGAAGGAGAAGAGGTCAGCATCAGAGGTAGCAAATGGAAGCAGGGTCACGACCGTGGTGTTGGATTAAAGAGTTCCTATTCCTAAAAGCCCCTACAACCTTGACATGCTTCCCTGGGAATAATCTCTCTCCCCAATTTCTTTTCTCCCCCGTAATTCTGCTTGCTTTTCTTTACCCAATTTTTTCCCCATAAATGATATCCCTAACAAAAATTTGATCATTACAGCACGCAATTCCCCCTGCAATAAGGTTTTCAATCGCTGGACATTATTTGGTTTTGTTAACGGAACTCCCAACAAAGGCTACAGGGAAAGTGAGAAGACAATATATCTGCTGATACATGCACGTGGCATTGGTCTTTGTTGAAAACTACGGGCCACAGATTTTCACTCATTTAAGTCAGCACAGAAGCCAAAACATATATATGTAGAAAGATCAATTATAGGGTTAGTGTTTGGAGGTCATTCACCAGCAACCGCAGATATTATTAGATCCTGATATTATTATATATACTACTGGATATGAGCTCTCTACCTAATCCATTAATTCCCCGTATAGTGGGGAAGAAAGTTGCAAAAGGATGGTTAAATATTGCAGTCATTTTCCAGACAAAATTCAACGCGATGATTTGGTTTGAAGAAAACGGGCGTGATTTTAAATTATAAAAAAAATAACTATAAGCCGAAGGTTAACCATAGATGGGAATAGTCAAAGACTAGTTAGGCAAAAAGACGGAGTTTATGAATTAGGTGAAAGAGTTAGGCCAAAAAAATGCTTGAAAAACCTCATTTACGTGTGCTGTTTTTCTTACAGCAAGTTAAATATCAATATATTTAGCCCACGCCCAACGACCAGAAATAATAGAGATCAATTCCTTTCATATTTTGGTCCCCACCCACCACCATTTACACCTCCTTGATCCTGCCCCACAGACAATTTATACTTTTGCAAGAGGCCATTATTTATTTCAAGTCTACAGTGGCATCAGCTTCCCTTTCTACTTAAAGAAAAAGAAGTTTATTCCTCTACCATTCAATTCCAAATTATACTTCCCCACCTCCTCTCTCCCGCCCTCTCTCTCATATATTTCTTCCCTAATACGAGTGTGTACAGTGCATCGGCCTTTATCATGTATGTATAAATCGGAAGATTGCAGAAAAGACAAATTAATTTGGAGATGCTCAACGAAGTTAAATAATGTCATGTGCTTCTTTTTATATATTCACCCAGCAATAACTCTCAGCTTGGTCCACTTTAAAGAATGGGAATGATAATAACTAGCGGCAGTTTTTGTAAATGCCAGTGTAAAATATACGTAGAAACTGAAGTCATTGTTTATGGTTTCTTCTCCAAACAAAACAAAGATTCTGTGGGTGGGGTTAGCATAATTAGAGTACGCAAATGAGGATTCCCCCCAATCCGATCAAGAACAGCCAATAGAAGTGTGCCCCGCCAAGCGCCTTAGCTGTACTCACATCCAAACACCCCCATATAGTTCACTCATCAATCTCACCTATATATACACACCCTTGGCTCTCCACCCTGCTCTCACATCTTCAAGCTCTCACCCACACACAAAACAAACTGATAAGAGAAGCCTAGGTAGCTACTTGTTTATATTGGCAGAAGCGAGAGAATGTCAGGGGTGTGGGTTTTCAAGAACGGCGTGGTTCGGCTGGTGGAGAATCCTGGGACGGACTCGGTGCAGGGCTCAAGCAGGCGCAAGGTGCTGGTTCACACTCCTTCCAATGAAGTCATTACGTCCTACTCGGTGCTTGAACGCAAGCTTGCTTCGCTCGGCTGGGAGCGTTACTACGACGATCCTGATCTTCTTCAGTTCCACAAGCGTTCCACCGTCCACCTCATCTCTCTCCCCAGAGACTTCTCCAAGTTTAAGTCCATGCACATGTACGACATCGTCGTCAAGAACAAGAACAGTTTCGAAGTCAGAGACATGAATGTAACTTAGCTCGTTACCACCACTCTTTTTTTTTCCCCGTCAACTCTCTCTCGGGGCTTAATTTGGGTGTGTTGCCTTTTAATTTGCTCCTGATTGATTAATTTAGACCACGCGGGTCTTAAGGTGTCTATGTATATCTAATCTATGTGACTGTAACATAATTTCACTGTGTATCGGTTTGTGTTCTAATCGATATAGGGTGTGATTGCGTGCTGGTGAGAAGTGACAGCTTGAGTGTGTCATCATTGTGTGCTCTTGTGGATCTTTATATTAATTCCGCAATAAAATCTGAGTTTCTTCTTCTATAATATTTTTGTGCTGCTGCCATATGCTGGAATATTATATTTTAGCTAGGTATATATCTGATTGATTGTGGATTATACTTTAAATACAATATCTTATTCTTTTATCACCGCTTTTTTTAAACGAGATTAAGATAAATGAATGATTAGAGAATCATGTACTATTCATTAATAACAGTAATTATGTATATATTTGGCATATTTTTATTTTAATTAAAAAAATCATCCAATTATAACAGAATTTATTGAACGCACGATATGGTGATTAATACAGAGAACTTGATGAAGGCTTTTTTCCCGATTATTCTTGCTACTTGGATCTCTTCTTTTTCGATTCTTTTGTTATCTTGTTCAATGGAAACTCAACTGAGCAACATATATATCAGGAATCTGGTTTCTAGCTAGGTGATGAGATGGCATATTTTTAAAATAAAGAGAAAAGTGGAAGGGATTTTCATTTTTGTTTTTGGAATTAATGCAACAGGATGGGACAAAAGCCACAAAGAGACTAAGCAATTAATGGGATTCTTGTTTTGATATTAAGCTTACACGCATGCATGTTGCAGCATGATGGATTGATGAGAAGAAATTAAATGACATGATGTGATCATCAATTAACAGATTATTAGGTAGCTAGCTAGTTTGTTAGATACTGCCTCCAGTTCTTAATATAAGATCTTTTTTTTTTATTTTGATCCTAAATATAAGAGCTCAATCCACTATGTCTTTTATATTTATGTATTTTTTCCTAATATAGTTATTCTAACAATGATTGTTCTAACCAATATACTTGATTAGTAAAGAGATTTTAGGAAAGACAACATCTATTTATTACAAATAACTAACTTAACTTTTTTTTTAATCTCCTTAACTTAATCAATTAGCTCTTATAATTAGGACCGAACGTAGTATATATCAACGTGGGTATTCGTATGTTTATTTTCGCCCATGTTTTTCCCCCTAAATACTGGGACATAGTATATACTAAGAGATCAAGTTCTCAAATCATCAAGTGGAGTGCATGGGGGGAGGAGGGAGTTCACGTGAGAGGAGGATCGATTCATCCACTGTTGACAATTTGATGCTGCCTCTCAGACAAGTGGACAGCTCTATATCTCCTGTTTGCGCATGTGTATATACGGAGAGTGAAAGCATCGCAGTTCTTTTTCTTTTGTCTTTCTGAACGAAATACAATAATTGTTTGGACCACAAACTCAAATTCCCCAAAATAGGTTTCAAAGAAAAATCCAGAACTAATTAGCCCTATACATTAAAAATATGAACTTACAGTGACTCGATGAGCAAGAAATAATAGACGAACAAGGCTTCTTCTCAACGCGTGATGCATAGATTAATCTGTCTCGAAGCGTAAAAACAGCGAGGCATTATCTGGAGTCTGGACTTTGCCTAAATTAAATATAACGCAGCATTTATTTCTGGGTACATGGAGAAAGGACGATTTGCCCGAATCTTAGCGTTCATGTCATCTGTGATATTTCAATTTCTCCTGTTTTTTGTGAAAAAAGAAAATTGAGTTGGAATTCATGAAGATATATGCGTCCTCTCAGTTCATTTCTAGTATACAAACAGGAATAAGGATATCACGTGTTGATGCGCCCATGCTCTATGCAGTGGGAAATAGCTGTCTTTCCGCGTTTACATAAATAGATAGCTAGAAGTAACAAGAGAAATGATAAAAGTAAAGAAGAGCATGAGTTTTACTTGGAAATAATGGTAAATTATTAATGGAGGGATGTGAATGTATATTATATATGGGGAGGAATATCTGATCCACAAGGCATATGGAATACCTCCAATGGAGATGATATGAAATGAAATGATGTGGAATACCTCTCTGTATGCTCTGTCACAGAGAATTCCAGTTTAATTTGTTTTTGCTTTCAAAATCTGTCATGTCTTAAAAAATATTCTGAGAGCTAAGTGACCATGCATGCATTGAACTTGAACTTTTGGTGTGAGCTAGGCAGCATAAGTAAGCAGTGCTAAATTCTTTTATCGGAATGTAAACGGATAGAGAGAGGATCTCAAGTGACAGTGGATATCCCATCCTGCGATAGCCCGTTTAACAAATTAATTTACAAGATGAACTCATAAGGATAAGACCCATATCACAGCATGTGTCTGAGTAAATGTATACATTATGAAGGAGGAAAATCTCACAGAGAGGGACACCGGAATGCATCATGCATGGAGGTAGGTACTCGAAGCCCATTCTGGTTTTGAATGGGCGACGATGCTCTTTTTCATTGAGTTGTCAATTTCTTTGCTTTAAAATGGAACTCCAAAGAATCGTGGAGAAGAAGAGCTCCACCAATTCCCAAACGGTGGGGCCAGATGACTTCTTTCCTTTCTCTGTTTTTTGGCCGTATATCAGCCTGCTCTTTCTTTGCGGATTTTCTAAGGAAACTAATAAAAGTGCTTCTATCCTGTCATTGATTTACGAGGTGTTTTTTCAGTAGAAATTAAATCATAATTTTAAAAATAATTTTACAATAAATAAAATAAGTATACAAGAAAATTTTAATTTCAATTTGCGTGTGCTTTTTTAATAAACCAAACACTTTATTAGTACTTATTTGAAATTGCGGTAAGAATATTTAAAAACAGTTTTTCAAACATAATTTACAAAAAATAAAATAAGTACGTGATTAGAATTTTATCTCAATTTACCTACAAAATGTAATAGATGCGAATAAGCCATTGCACTTTATAATACAGTTAATTCCTGTTTCCTTGTCATTCTTGGGGAAAATCACAGACAAGTGCTTCGCAGAGAACATTGAGGGCGCTGCGCAAGTGAATTATTGTCACGTCATGCGCATCGTAATATATACCCAAAACTCTCGTTAATTTGCTTTTCATATTTTTATTTCGACGGTTAATCAATGCATGCCAGCGCACGTCAATAACTAATTATATTATCAATTAACATCTTGAAACCAGTCAAATATTTGACTAACGGAAAACTAATGTCTATTAGAGTATGCTGCTAAGGTAACAACACATTCCTACCATTAATAGTTGGCTGTTGGGTATTGGCAAAAAAAGTTAGCTACTGGCACGTCACTAAACCCAATTACTAATACTAATGTACACCAACGCCCATGGTTCCTCAATGTGCACTGCAGAATCTGCCAAGGCACGGATAGTTAAAAGAGGCTAATAATAATTGACATAATGTGAAAACTAATTAGCACGTAATGAAAAGAACATCCCTCTTTCTTGGGCCTTTGCGGCTGTTGGGAACTATTAGAAAGGAATCATTTCCTTTTTATTGGCTTAGGACATCTTCTGTTACCGGAAAAACACGCTTTCTTTTGTATCCAAGAGGGAAAGCAGATTACAACTGTGCTTTTTGACAAGAACAAGAGTTCCAGTACATGAAACAGAGAAATCCCCCCTCTCTTGAAAAAATTTCCAAAGACTTCACGTATACTAACCACCAAAGAAGGTGAGGTTTTGCATTTTTACCTCCAGTTGCCAGGTGGGTTTTCAAAGCAGAATTTCTCGCTAAATAGCTCCCTTAAACATCAATATACAGAACCTATCAGTAACCCATGCTAGTTCGTGCAGTCAAATCCATGGCAAACAGAAAGCCAGATAATCAGGACCAAAAACAATAAAATTCCTAGAACCACCAATTTGATTTTCATGTTCTGATACCACATCTTCCTGCGAATTTGAGTTCCTTGCTTTTTGAAATCTTGGGCCTGAAAAGTAGGAGATCCTTCAGGCCTAGAAGCACAAGAATCAACATAGTAGGCACGTGACTACAGCCAACTTACCTGTGAACGCAATGTCTCGGTCTTGTCTGCGAGAATAGTTAGATTCTCTCCTCTATCAAGAGCCTGAAAGCATGTACAGCGAAAATAAGATGACAACTTACTATATTGTCTCGCTTTATACCATAAAAACAATTGCATCAGCTACAGTTAAATGTCAATGTCGCAACTCAACATACCGATAGTAACTCATACTAACAATAATTTCAACCCCCCAACAATTTATTCGCCGAATTACAAAGAGGCGGGCAGAAAGATGGTGTACAATTACAGCACGGCAGTCGTCAGAAATTGAAGCAAAGAAGACCCTTAACTAATACTAACATAGAAATATTCAAAAGGGAAAAAAAAACCCCCCCCCCAATCCCCTATTTCAAGAGAAAGCATGTGATTGGCAACTGATTCAATGTTTGACTATAATCCTTTAAGATTTTAGACAACTGCACACAAATGAATGAATGTCGAAAAGAAAAATTCAGTCTTCCTCTTGCAAAGTAGGTATACCTTGTCAATGTTCTCTAACATTATGCTTTTGACTTCTGAAACTTGAGCCTTCACTTTTATTAGCTTTTCAATCTCTTCAGCATGATCAATGATATATTTCATGTGTTCTTTCATAACCGGTCTGCAAATATGAGCAAATATAATTGCCTATCTTTGCAGTGGCATATCAACTAAAGATTTAGAACTATATGAGCATACCCAAACTCCTTGTTAAGACTCTTGGCAATGGCTGTATCTGCTTTTCCACCACCATATCTTTTCTTAAAATCTGCTTTCACACGTTCTAGGAAAGCAATAGAGATTTGCTTGCTCAAAGATTCCTTCGCAACAACACAGTAAGCTGCAACTTACAAAAAGCCCTGTCACGACATAGAGAGCAATACTGTCCGCAACTTGATGTTTTAAACTCTTAGGTAAATCTTGGAAGTCAGCAGCATGGATTAAAAACTAATAAAAGTCAACTCAAGTTTCCATTTTCAGGATAATTAACCATAGTAAGGCACTAGAATTGTGAAGACATAGTTGCATTTGCATCCAACCCGCACAGACTAAATTAACCATGCATTTTTATTGAATCATAAGAAGGCCGGTACAATACAACCAAAACAGCCCATATTTCCTCATTTGAAGATGATGGAACATGGATGGAATACAAAGAGCAACAAACTGAAGTAGCAATATACAAGAAACATAAAGTAAACATAACATAAGAAGGAATATGCTACAGGGCTATCAAACTTCAATATCAGCACTAAAAGAAGCAAAAAAATACAAAACCCATAATGCAAAACCAATGGATAAAGACTGATCATATCAAGCTTTTGAGAGGCTAGAATCTCTCTCAAGTCGCTACTTGAGCTCTTCATAACCCCCTTACCACCATTATCCTTCTTCTCCATTACTTTCCCGTGACTTCTCACTAGCCGTTACCTTGCCTCTCCTAGAGAAAGTCACTTGGGAATGGATTAACACTCGGGCCAGCAGGCCCTTCAGAATACTTATGTGGCTTGACCGTCTATAACGGTACTTTAGGATTAAGGAGAATGGTTGAGAAGGAGAGGAAAATTTTTTATTTAAAGGATGCACAAGATGGGACGGCTGGTCAAGACTTTCTCCTCCATTCTCAGTGGCTCAATCCAATTAGACATGACTTAAAGGATGTACAGGATAAGGTGTCTGATCAAGACTTCTTGTAACTTGGGGTCAAGGACATAGGATAAAATTGAAGGTACCCAGTACCCCAATTAGGGGTCAAGGACATGGGATAAAATTGAAGGTACCCTGTACCCCAATTTATAAAAAAAATACATCTCCAGTATTATTTGCCATCTAACGTACAGGCATATATCATAAGGATCGATCTTATCGATTGAGGTCTGCCAATGCATGGAAAGCCAACGCGGATCCTGATATGACTTTAGAAAAAGAGGATGAAAGGGAGAAATAAGATTCAGCAATTAATATGTGGAAGAGCTCCGTTTTCTTTTAATATGCAACAGTCTTATAAACCGCTCTAACCTAAAGGCTGCAGTGACAAGAATATATTTTTCGCAAATGAAATAAAATACGCAACATAACTAATTAGCTAGCTGACGTTGACATCAGACATCTAATGTCATTGGCTGTGCTTGGGAAAGTTCTGCAGGCCATGCAAGGTAAATAAGGCTTGATGAGGTACAGATAACTTCCAAGAATGCAATTGAGAATTGACACCAAAAATAATACCAGAGGTCTAAACAAGGCACAGAAAAGACCACTTATTTATCCCGAGAAAAACGGAGACGTCGTGAGTAAAATGACTAATAGAGCAACAAAATTTAATCGGACGTTCGTGCCCAGACTCCATCTCTCTGTATTTCAGCGATCACATAAACAGTTGACCAAAAGTCAGACAGAAGCTAAGAACCCATAAAGGTAAACAAAACCCGCCAAGGAAAATTCATCCACAGCTAAATTAAACCCGAAAAACGAAATCTTGGCGCTACGGAAACGGCTTCTAGATAAGTCATATCCATTTCAAGACCAGATCCATTAGTTAAACCAGCAGTTCAAGTTCCACATCATTTTGGTTCGGGGAAGCGAGAACAAACTAGCCATAAAAATGCAATGGACAAAAAATGTCAACAGCAAAAAGAGATCAGAGTAATTTAGATATACCGTAACCATCCTCGAGGAGAAAATTGAAAGTATGGTGATCACAATTGTAGGTGAATTTGTTGTTGGATGAGGGTAGTTTGTAAAGGCACTGGGCAGCAATCGCCGGGAAGTTCCCAGTGAACTCGGTATACTCTGCTAACACCATCGTCCCCCGAGCCACAAAGCTGTATATAAACGATTCCTGACTCATTGCTCTGCAAGTCACGGGGGAGAGCGGTCGCAGCTCGGACGCAGAGAGAGAGAGAGAGTGCTTGGCCTGGTTACTGGGGCTCAACTGCGTTGGCAAATTTCTAGAACCCGTTGGCAAAAGAAAATTTTTTTTTCTAGAACCCGTGTGGCTTATTTTTCTTTGCAAGGAAGAAAGAATTTCCTTTCTTTTGGGATTGGAAATTAAAGAATCTTGAAATTAATCACCTTGCAAGGCAGCTTGCAAAGCGTCAAGGATGAATCCAATGGAACACGACTGCGTTTCGTGTGGAAATATTAATTAAATCAACCCCGCAATATTATGGCCCGACTAAATTTCTTTTTTCACAATTGTAGGAGTATTTTTTCTATAATTTGATTTGATGATTGACTGTAATTGACGGAGGCCATGATATGCGTCCAAACGAATAGACCGATCCACACGCATTGCGCGCTAATAAATTACTAGTGTACAGTCGCTGAAACTGTTATCCGAATAATTAAACCCAATTAGAGTAAAGTGGAAGATCAGCGAGTAATCAAATTGTAGAGGCGAAAAATATTTATGATCAAAGTGACAGAAGGCAAAAAGTATTGCAAGAGAGAGAGAGTCTGGGTGTGAGTGAGCGCATTATGGCAGATGAGAGAGGTCCCCGCAAACTGCCGCCGGATCGTCCACAGGGCGAGACGGTGGAAATGACGGACATCCCTAGTAATATTCCGAGTACTTTAGATAGTGTGGGAACAATGGTTCCCTCATCTTTCCCAGAGCTGAAGAAAATGTCGACAGAGCTGAGTGATGGAAAAGAAGAAAGAGGGAAGTTACAAAGAGTGAGAGGCCAATACACTGGAGAAGTTTCTTTAGCAGCTAGAGAGGAAGACTGGATGATGGACCAGGATTTGGACCTCAGAAGCCAACCGGAGCACGTCTTATCGTATAGAGAAGCGTTAAAGCCTAAGTCACCGGCAGAGGAGAATCACAAGAATCAATATCAAGAAGATGACTGGGATGGGAGTTTACTGTTTAACAGTAATGAAGAACTGCTAGAGGGCGTAACAATCACGGACTCTGATTTGGGTCCGAAGATCGTCTTCTCTGAGAAAGAAAGAAAACGACTGGAGCGAAGATGGGATAACACACTGATCATAAAGTTGCTTGGAGGGACAATCGGTTTCATGCAAATGAGAAGGAAAGCGAAGGTAATGTGGGGAAAATCTGGAAACGTCGAATTGAATGATATAGGCAATGGTTTTATGACAGCAACTTTTCAAAGTCGAGATGATTACTTCTTCGCGTTAGAAGGTGGTCCATGGCTCATTCAAAACCATTACCTTACAGTGCAAACATGGAAGAGAAACTTTAATCCTTGGAACGAAAAGATTCAGAAACTCGCGATATGGGTTAGACTTCCAGGGCTTCCAGGTGACTATTACGACAGGAAGTTTTTCTACAACCTAGGCAACAAAATAGGGACAGCTATCAAAGTGGATGAGATGACTTTAACAAGAGCCAGGACAATGTATGCTCGGCTGTGTGTCGAGATTGATCTGAATGCTCCGTTACTCCCGTCGTATTTTGTAGATGGCAACTGGCTCAAAATAGAATACGAAGGTCTACATATGATATGCTTCCAATGTGGCAAGTTTGGACATAGTTCAGAGAGATGCCCGTCGAAAATTACTGCACAAAATCCAGATGCTGGAAAGTCGGTGCAAGCACAGGCGCAGGAAAAGAAAGACGCTGAAATCAACCAGACACCGCCGGTTAGCACTCCGGCAAATCCGTTTGGAGAGTGGATGGTTGCACAAGACTCAAGAAGAGGACGTAAGCACCTGCACAAGGAGAGTAGGTCGGCTGAAGGTCAGAAAAGAGAGGTCAGACACTATAGAGAAGTAAGAAATGCATCGAGATTTGCTATTCTGGAAGATGAAGGTGACAAGCTGGAGAAAAGAGGGGAAGAGGAAGAAAGTAGCCGTACCTTGGTTGACATAACCAATGAACCACATCTGAGGGAGACTAGCAAGAAAGAAAGAGTGCAGCTTAGAAAAAAGGCTACGGACGGTAGGAAGGAGTTAGAAGACAAGGAAGGGAAAGGAAAAGGAAGAAATAAAGGGAGTGGCAAAAAGGAGGCTAAGGAGGAAACAAGTACTGAGAAGCACCCGGAGTCCAAAAAAGAGTGGGCCCAAGAAGAAAAGAATGGAAAAGAAGGCGTAATAGGAAAGGAGAAAAATAAAAGGACTATAGGGGTATCCGAATTGGGCCACAAAAGTGAGGAAAAGACTGGGCTAAGGGAGGACATGCTTATGGAATATGAGGGGGAAAGTCAGCATGGGCCCATTATTGCCCAAAATGAGTCAAGCTCTAGAGGACACGCAGAACACTCGAAGGTTTCAAGAGGGGGCCGATCAGCAGAAGACATGGACCTTGAAGATGGAAAACCACCAGACCCTGGGGATGGAGGAAATATATCGGGCTTAGAAGAAGTGGAGGCGCAACTAAGAGCTCATGGGCAGTTAATATCAAGGAGGATAGAGGAGCAACAATGCTCCCGAATGGAAGACTAAACCATGTAAGTGGTCCTCTTCTCAATTGTTTTTTAATGATAGTAGTTTGGAATGCAAGAGGGGCAGCTGGAAGAGATTTTGGCAATGCCCTGAAAGAGTTGAAGAACAGGCTAAGACCTAAAATTGTTGTCTTACTTGAAACTAGATGTAGTGGAGACACAGCCCAAAAGATTATTAAAAAGCTGGGTTTTAAACAGCAAAGAATCAGTGAAGCAATAGGAATGTCGGGAGGGATATGGGTGCTGTGGAATGAAGAGGGAATAGATTTCAGAATTCTTGAAAATAACAAACAATTCTTGCATGGAGTAGTGTCAGGGATAGGAAACAGGGAGTGGGCTTTCACTGCTATTTATGCAAGCCCAAAAGAAATGGAGAGAAGAGAGCTTTGGGATAACTTAGAAGGAGTGGCGAAAAGAAACAAGCTTCCTTGGCTCTTAGCTGGAGATTTTAATGATATTAAAGATGAAAGTGAACAAAGAGGAGGAATTGACCCAAGTGAGAAAAAATGCAAAAGGTTTGCCGACAATATTAATAGATGTAACTTAATTGATATGGGCACAGAAGGACCGAGATTCACTTGGCGTGGACCTATCATGAAGTTCGGAGGAAGACTGTATAAGAAATTGGACCGGGCTCTATGTAATCAGACTTGGAGGAATAGTTTTAGTGAAGCCTTTGTAAAAGTTGGTCCAAGAATTCAATCAGACCACCACCCTTTGCTCATTCATCTTGCGGGAATGAAAGGAGACAGATCCAAGCGCCCTTTCAGATTCGAAGCTATGTGGCTCTCCCATAAAAATTTTAAACCTTCGATCAAGGAAATGTGGAATGAAACGAAGGAAATCCCAAAGGACTTGGATGGATTGGAAGACTTCCTGAAAGAATGGAATGTAAATGTTTTCGGACATGTGAAGGAAAAAAAGAAAGAGCTAGTAAGGAGGATTGCCGGTATTCAGAGAATCATTGCAGAGACAAGTAACAAATTCCTAGAGGAGCTAGAGATTAAACTTCAAGAGGAATTGCAGGAAGTTCTGAAACAGGAGGAGACCCTATGGTTCCAGAAAGCAAGAACGAAATGGTTAACTGATGGTGATAGGAATACCTCCTACTACCACACGAAGACCAATATTAGAAGAAGAAGAACAAGAGTTATGACCCTAAAAGATGACAGGAACGTAGTGGTGGAAGGGAAGGAGGAAGTAGGCAAACTCATCAACAGTCACTTCCAAAACCTCTTCAAAGAAGAAGTGGAAGACCGAGGATGGATCCATACCACTCATGGATGGCCGACAGTTAAGCAAGAAGAATGGAGCAGAATTGGCAGGATACCGAATAGAGATGAAATTAAGGAAGCCATGTTCTCTATTGGTGGCTTGAAAACTCCAGGTTCAGATGGTTTCCCGGCAATCTTTTACCAAAAATGCTGGGACATCATGGGGGAGAGTGTGTATAAGGCGGTGGTAGACATGTGGGTAGCTCCGTTGAAGATGAAGGCGGTCAACACAACCCTAATCACTCTAGTCCCCAAGGTGGACAATCCTGAGAGAGTGACACAACTTAGACCCATTTCCCTTTGTAACGTCATTTATAAATGTGTGTCAAAACTCTTGGTGAAGAGGCTAAAGCCTATAATGCCGAACATAGTGTCCCCTCATCAAGTCAGTTTTGTCCCAGGGAGAATTATTCATGATAATATCATCATTGTCAATGAGCTGATTCAATCCATGAGAAGAAAAAAGGGCAAGAAAGGTTATATGGCAATTAAAGTTGATCTTGAAAAGGCCTATGACAGAATAAACTGGAAGTTCATCGTAAAAATCCTTGAGGAGCTCAACTGCCCAGCTGAAACGAAGGAAAGAATTATGAGTTGCATCCACACGGAAAAAACTAGTATTCTTTGGCATGGCGAGAAAACAGAAGAATTTCAAACAACTCGGGGTATTAGACAGGGTGACCCCATTTCCCCCTATCTATTTGTACTCGGAATGGAGAAACTCACTCATATGATCCTAGATAGGGAGAGAGAGAAACAGTGGAGAGGTTTGAGAGCTGGCCGATCAGGGCCTAGTATTACACATATGATGTTTGCTGACGATCTTGTTCTTTTTGCAGAGGCCACTGTTAAGCAGATTGATGTTATCTCGAATTGTTTACAGGAGTTTGGAGAGGTCTCGGGACACAAAGTCAGTCAGGAGAAAACGGTTATCTATTTCTCCCCAAATGTCCCGGTGCACACTAGGAGAGCCATACGCCACAGAAGTCAGTTCAAAGAGGTGGAAGAGATTGGAAGATATCTTGGCGCAAATATCACCTATCCAAGGAGAAGAAAAGCTCGATACACAAGTATTGTAGATAAACTAAAGCAGAAGCTGGGTGGTTGGAAGGCATCAAGTCTTTCTATGGCGGGAAGAATTACCTTGGTCAAAGCGGTCACGAGCTCTATGGCACTTTATACAATGCAACATGACAAAGTGCCGAAATGCATCTTAGAGGATATGGAAAGAGCTCAGCGACGATTTGTTTGGGGAGAGGAAGGAGATAAGCACACCTGGCATGCTATAGGGTGGGAAATGATGTGTAAAGAGAAAGAGTATGGAGGGATGGGTATAAGATCTCTGCACGAAATGAATGAAGCATTCATATGCAAGCTACTGTGGAGATTGAATAAAGAACCAAACGCCCTATGGGTTAAGGTGTTACAAGGCAAGTATGGAAGAGGGGCAAATAACAGAGAAAGACCTGTCACGAAGAATACTGATTCAAGGCTCTGGAAAGAAATGACAAAACTATGGGAAAGGTTTGAGAGTAATATCTCTGAAACTAATGTCTCAACCCACCAAAACATAAAGCAGCTAACATGGAAGCTAACGAGCAATGGTGCCTTTTCAATCGCAAGTATGTATCAAAACTTAAAGGGCCTACAACAACTCCCACAAGGAAGAAACTGGAAGAAGGTTTGGAAATTAAAGGTACCTCAAAGGATACGGGTATTCATCTGGAGAGTATGCCATAAAAAACTCCCTACAAAGGAGATCACAAGTAAATGGGATGGGAGTCAAGGATGGTGTGGGATTTGCAACCAGAAGAAGGAGGACCTTCTCCATGCATTAAGGGACTGCCCTTATGTAACCCACATATGGAGAAAAATTATACCATGGCAGGAAAGAGTCAAGTTTTTTGGCCAACAGTGGGAAGAATGGCTGACAGGAAACCTTCTGCAAAAAGTTAAGCACTCAGAAGGCTTCAACTGGGATCAATTATTTGCGGTAGGACTATGGCAGATCTGGAAATGGAGAAACCTCCTCATACATGACAGCAACTTTGAGTTACCTCTCAAACCAGAGAGAACCATATATAGTTTACTGGAGAGCTATCAACATAAATGGGGAGAGGAACTATTGGAAGAACAGAGTAACAGAACTAATAGTACCAAATGGATAGTACCAGACAAAGGGTGGTGCAAGCTGAATACGGACGCAACCGGGCCTTGCCAGGGCTTGAATGGATGCGGTGGAGTAATAAGGGGTGACGGTGGGGAATGGCTGGGGGGATTTACTATGAAAATTAATCACTGCAGTGTGACCAATGCTGAAGCTAAGAGTGTCTTAGTAGGCCTAGAGGAATGTTGGAGGCTGGGTTTTAGGAAGGTCGTTGTGGAGTGCGACGCTCGGCAAGTTGTGGAAGCAATAAACGACATGAAGACGGTCAATGGGGACTTCTTGTTATTTGCTCAGATTCGCAGCATGATGCTAAAGGAGTGGCAAGTGAAGATAACACATATCTATCGAGAAGGGAACCGGTGTGCAGATCGCTTGGCTTCACTGAGCCTGGATCTGCCTGAATGGTGGAAGAGCTGGACTTCCCCACCCAGTATTGTGGAGAATATTCTAAGAGAGGAAGCTTATGTAGATATGGCTTCCGGACGCTGACGCGCTCTGTTAGTTATCTTTTGTGTTCCCTTGTTCTTATCCCTTTATTCTAGTCTTTGGGCTTCGCCCTTTTTTCACCTAAAAAAAAAAAAAAAAAAGTGACAGAAGGCGGAAACTGTGTACGTGCTTTGCCTTTTCGGTGCTTTTGTTGACTTGTTCCTGTCTGAAGCCTCCTAACTAATAATTATTCCTTCTATTTGTATTGTATGCATGCTTGAAGAATTCCCTTTTGATGATGCAGTGTTTGCCCTCTTTTTAAAAAAAATTTAAGTGGGTTTAAAGATCTACTGCCATGAATGCAGTTCTTTGCATCGAATTTAAGTTCTTGCCGCAATGTCTCTCTGAAAATAAAAATTAACGTGCAATCAATCAATCAATATCCTAAAAAGCTCAGGATTAGAACATGCCCATCCCGGCAATGGGATTGGGAGGAAACGAGGGAAAAAGTTTTGGAGTTGATATCTAGAGAAATGGGAGCAGGAAGTACAATGGTTTGAGAAATATAATGAGGAGGAAATTAAAGACGCGTCTGATTTTTCATACAAGTATACCAATTCATCTTCTAATTTGGTAATGAGAAATATAATTTTAAGCAGTCATCAGTATTTACATGTTCAGTTGAGGGGGAAAAAAAAAGTGTTGTTTCTTATTTCTCGGCTACTTCCGTTGCCATGGATGCATAAAAATGACGAGTGCCTTTTACTTTTACTCCTGATAGGCTAATTTTTTACTCGTACTTAAATACAACAACTTCCTGTTGTTTTCAATATAAAAATTAGATTGTATTATATTTGTTTTAAATATAAGACTTTATTCATTTTGTTTTTCACAGTTATAATTTTTCCCCTCGAACTATCAATATTAATTATATAATCAGCGTGCAAATGCGTATTTATTGTAAGTTAATTCTTCTTCTTCTTCTTTTCCTTCTTTTAAAAAGGCCACGACACACAATTTTTTTAAATAAGAAATTAATCACCTTATTATTATTATTATTATTTTTGTCTAACCACGCTTCGTATTTTCAAGCTCTGATCACAATTCTTTCATAATCTCACAAAGAAGGCGGCTGGTAATTATCGCACATGATGATTTAGGGAGAAAATAGTACTAGTAGACTAGTAGTACCTCGTAAATAAATTTAAAATTCATAAACCATCCTCAATTTTAAAATCTCGTAGACGATCTGAAAGAATTTCAAATGCATAAACAAGTGCGTGCTGCGAACCTCTAAACTGTCATTCAAATGTTTTAAGAATTTATATGTTTTTTTGAATGTATCTCTCTTATTCGATTAATAAAATATATTATGGCATCGCAACTGCAGAAAAGTAGCCTAGAGACTGGGAAAATGACATTAAAGACAACCATAGCTTTACAAATTCTACAAGAAAAAAGTTAAAAATCTAAATTATCGTAAAATTTATTAAAAAAATTTCAATATAAAAAAAATATATTCGATACAAACTAATCATATTCAACCTTTTGTACTGCTTCGTTTTGGGGAAAAACATAAATTTAATCTACATATCGATTATTTTTATTTTTACTGGGGCAAAATTAAGTATTAATTAATAATCAATAATATTAAAAATTCGGAAAATAAGGTCAAGTTCTCACTTCTCATTACTTCGCTGTCGCCAGTTTCTGATATCCCGCCGAGGAGCATATCTTATCATCAGTTTTCAAATTTGAGTTCTTCTGTAGTTTGTGACTTTACTTACATTGTCCCCCGAGTTTCATTCTCATCATCTCTGATTCTGAGCTCACAACGTTGTACCACCACCACACACTGTTCGGAGCAAACCCTAGAGATCTTGCATTGGACTTTCCGGGACGTTCCAATCCGATCGCTAATGGCTTCGCCTGAATCCACCGCAACTCCTGCCCCATTGTCAGCGGTAAACTCCTTTCTTCTGCTTTATTTTCCATCTCCTTCTCAATTTTTCATTAGGGATCAAGAAACTTGCAGCTTGTCGTTGCTCAGGATTGAAAGTTTTTGACTTCATTGCCGATTGTTAATTTTCTGATCTTTTTCGCCTCAGGCCAAGGAGAACACGGCTCCGATTTCATCCAAAATCGCGGTACGTTTCTCATTTTTAGTTTATCTGTCAAGTGAGATTGCATCTGAACATTTGATAAGAGTTTGGTGCTTCGAGATCGTAGAAAACAAAACATGTGCAGCTTTAATTTTTGTTGGTTCTGTTTTAAGGTCATTTAGCTAGGTGGGCCAAAATGATAGTTAAAAAACTATTTAACTTGATATAATCTTGAACTCTTCGAATTGCTGTGCCCAATTCCAGGAGCTGAACCAGTCAAGAACGGAGCTTCTGAACAGAATTCAGAGCTTGAAACAGGTGAAATTTACCGGATCTTTTCGAAATCCGAAGTATTGTAATGATATTACGTCCAAAAACTAACGATTTGAACCTGTTTTATGCATTTTACTTTTTACATATCCTGCATTTGTTATCTTTTTGGTGCTGATTCTTCCTATTCCTGGTCACTAGGATTTGCACAATTGGAGGTCAAAGCTAGACACGCAAGTGAAGGTCTATCGCGATGTGAGTGACGATAAATCTCTGCAAAACGCTGCATTTTGCTGCGTAGTTTTGTTTCATTATGTTTATACTTCATATTACTGCTTCCGTGTTGTTTATTTGCCCATATAGTATATGACATATCTAAATCTGAAAATTTATGTTCGGACTCTCTTTCTTTCCGGTTCCCTCGGCCCCAACTACCATCAAATGCAATGTATATGTCTTGAAGATAATTAAAGGGGTTTTATACTATTAATTCTTTTCATGATGGTATAATTGTTTAAAAAATTTCATTCATTCATTTTTCATGTTAAGCGCCTTTATTGTGCTTATTGCAAAACATTTGGTACACATCGCATTTGATGGACGATTATTAGAAGAGTAAATCTTCCCCACACACACCATGAACGATATCACTTGTTGATTTGTTTTTGGTTTAATGGTACATCTGCATTATAAAGCTGTTCCTTGAATACCCTAGTGCAGTGGTGCTGATTTGGAAAATTATCAATAGCATCTATAAATTGACATGCAATATGCTCTTTTGCTGAATTTGTATACGCTGTGTTTATTTTGGAAAAATTGTTCATCACATTAAAATCTATTCAAGCTATTAGATTCAATCCAGCTGTTGTTTCTTCCATTTTTTTGTGTTAGTGGAGCCCAACCATTCTCTTCCGTTTTGCAGGAGCTTTCTGAACTCAAGAAGACACTCAATGTTGAAGTGGAGCAACTCCGAACAGTAAGTTTGATTTCAGTGTTCTCCTCATGTGCTCTTTTTCAAATGAGATTTGTTTGAATTTTATTTGCAAAATCAAAACCAGGAATTTCAAGATCTGAGGACAACCCTTCAGCAGCAACAAGAGGATGTTACTGCTAGTTTAAGAAATTTGGGGGTAAGCCTGTGCATTTGGCAGTGTGTTATCTTTAAAATTCTCTCTCAGAATTGCATGGTTTACTTCCAATATCAAGTTTGCCAAGCATAGTAAAACGGTGGTGCTGTTTTGCAGCTAAATGATGTTTCTGGAGATGATGGGAAAGCAGAGTCAAAGGAGACACAGACTGAAAAAACTGACAAGGAGGAGGAGGTGGCGACCAAGGAGGACGCTGTTAAGTTATCTGAAAACTAAATGGGCGTTATCTGTATTTGCAATTAGTAATGCATACGCTAAGAGGACATGAATGAGTGACACTATGTGTCTTCACATTGTTAGTTCTATGTTGTGTTTGTCGAGTAAGAATGAGTCCAACCTGTTTGCTGGGGATAGAACGAGATTTTATAATGCAATCAATACTAAGTTCTGCTGTTCTGCCTTCATTATAATGCAATCAACCCGGTATGCCTCCATTTACTTTCATGTGGAAATATAAAGCTGGCGTGTTATTACTTTAGTGGCAATTGAATTATCTCTCTATGGATCGGCCCATTACCATTTTAATTTCCTTCCAACTCCGTTCACATCTCATGCCTCCTTCAAGTCATTTTTTTGCTGCCTCTACCTCTGCTACCTAGCTGTTCATGAATAAGGTCACGCAGAGAGCGTAATTTGGCGTCTCTGGGTTCAAGTTTTGAGAATGAACTGAATTTTGTAGTTTGTGAATGCTGGAAACGGGTTGTATTGAGTAGATCGAAATCGTAAGAAAGTTTAGTCTGTCTTGAATTAATGTTGAGTTGTACGGATTGAGGTTATGGCATTAAAAACACAGGGGGTTCAGGTCCGTGTATGTACCGGTGGCATAATGCGAGTGAGATCTCTCATCATTTAATGATTTGCGTAATAATTAAAGTTGCCTATGTCAGTGGGTGAAGTGAACTTCTGATTGAAGAAATAAGTTAACGTTTGGAAACAGAAAGGGTTTGGTTTTCATGTACTTATGATCCAAGTACTAATACTATTCAACAAAGATGCATCAGTTACTATTAATTTGTATGTACGCCCCTCCTTGCTCAGTTGTGAAGCCCAAAGCAAAAGTCACGATTGACCCCTAATAATTACATCTCTCTACCTACCCACATGTAATGCAACTTGGGGCTGGGATGCGTGTATTCTACATTTATATTTTTATACACACAATTCAAAATTTGATGCAATATGAATAAAATTATACATTGTCTGTTTTATTTTTCAATAACTTCGTCAAAAATCCCCTTCTGCTTAACCGATCTTAATATATGACACTAAAAGCTTATGTTGAAAGCGTGCTTAGGAAAAGTGCATTTCTGTGGGGAGGGAAAACGAGAACTGTGAAGGCATGGGGACTACCCCACCCAGTTACTGATGGACTGCAGAATATATGCGCGATTATGTGGACCCATGACCTCCCTCAATCGTAAGTCATCACCTCTAGATCCCAAATCTTTGTTTTTCTTAATATTCACATAAAAATAGTTGATGTCACGAAAACGAATCCAACCTAAAAATATTTTAGAAGTTGCCATAAAACTGTACATTTTAAGTTGTGTCCTCGCTTAATATTAAAAAATTGACATGATTTCAACTTTATAACTTGGTTTACTAATTTATTTTTCGTACAATATTCGAAACTTCTGGTTTTAAATTGTTAGCTCAAAACTATAATCCCATATTACATGTTCCTAGTACAATAGTACCTTTTATCTTATTTTAGTTGTATTTTTTTCATTCTATTTATACCATTGTATATTTGTATTACAGTCAAGAAGCCGGAAATGTGTGCACAATTACAAATTAATGCATATTGTGAACGTTCTATGGTGAGAAATAGGAGGACGATATTTTCATCGTAACAAGTTTTTGACGCATATGGAACTAGAAGATCTAAAAATGATATGCCGGGATTCAACTTTGCTCAACCACGTTTATTTTAATTTAATATTTTTAAAATCACAACTCGTTTTTTCTTTTTTCAGAGAATTTGATATTGGCCATAAATGCCCCTACTCAGAATTGATTATGTTCTGGTAGGTGGATAGATTAGCTGAGATGGGATGGTTTAGATTTTGGTACTAGAGAGAAGACCAGTCCTTTGCTTTGCTTCTGGGGCTGAAGTAAATGGAGGCAAGTAGGTGAATTGAAGTGATTTATGACCAAAGTGAGAGAGCATTCAAAGAGGTTCCTTCTGGGCAAATATTCTTCTCCTCTTCTTTCCCCACACCCATTGGCGCTTTTTACCTTGTCCTCTCCTCTATTCCTTGGTTCCCTTATTTCCCCCCTCCAAGCAAAATTGTCCTTTCCTTCCTTTTTTAAATTTTCCTAGAAAATGATGGGGGCCCAAATTTAGGGAGGCGGAGTGGTCCTATTCAATCAGTCAAACCCTAAAAAGATTGTTTTGATGCATCCACTTTCATGCAAATAAAGGAAACTTGGAGGGTGTGAGTGGCAAGATAACCTAGTCTCAATCCAACAAAATATATATTCAATACGAGAACTCGCGATTTTTTATCCTCCCGGAAGAATCTTATCTGGAAGAATTAAAACCAGGTTCATGGATAACAAATCACTTGCCATCAGAAGAAAACAAAAGCTTACAACATCCATAATGGACAAAAAATCAAGGGGAGGATAGATAAAAAGGAATAATAAAAACGCTATAATAATACTGGAGGGTCTTGGGTAATAAAGGGCATAAGCATATGTATGAGAAAAATAATGGTGGAATTGCAAAAAGATGGAAACGATGTGTTCTTCTGTCATTGTCGTATTATACTTTGATGGTCATCCAGGCCTGCGCACTTTGCTCCCTTACGGAGTACATATTACAGAGTACATTCTTGGCATTTTCCCTTCTTTTTTAAGCCCCACTTCACTCTTCTAGTCCTCTTCTTCTCTATAATTTCAAGTTTCCACTTGCTCCACTGCTCACCATTCCTCCAAAGTCACTTCTCTTTCTCTAGTGCGATGGATGCAAAATCTGCTGAAGCTGCCTCTCAAATTTTGAAGTATCAGGTAATTACAAACCCAGAATCACACCCTAATCTAAATTTAGCTCCCTTATCTCTTCTCAAGTCCGAAGCTTAGTTTTTCTTCTCTCTGTTTCTCAGACATGGTTCTTGAAAGTTCCTATCCACTGCGAAGGATGCAGGAGGAAAGTCAAGAAAGTTCTACAGAGAATTGATGGTACAAACAAATTAAGCTTGAGTAGAAAATTCTTCTCTTCTGTCTGTTCTGGATACGCTAAAACAGGAAAATGGCTCGAAAGTTCCACTCTTTCTTCAGTACTATGCCTCTGCTTGGCTTCTTCCTTCCTTGTTCTTTTTCCCATGCATGACCAGATTATGAAGCTCCTAACTTTGCCAAGTTAACCCAAATCCTTACTCATGAGTTTTCTCTAACCTGGAGTTTCTTTTCATGATGGTAACAATAACAGAGATTTCATGGAACGTTGTTGCTTTTACAGGTGTTTTCATGACAACAATCGACCAGCAGCAACAGAAAGTAACGGTCATTGGAAGTGTTGGCGTTGACATCCTGATTGGAAAGCTGATCAAAGCAGGTAAACATGCCGAAATATGGCCGGAAAATGTGACCGGAAAGGGAAAATCTTCCGGGAAAGCAAAGAAAAAGAAAGAACAAAAAGGCCCAGAAAACAGGGACAGCCATTCCACTGATAAATCCGAATCAAACCCCAACACCGACAAAAACAAGGGACTTGAAAGTGCTGCCAACTGTGACAACAACAACAACAAAAGCAAAACCAGCGAGTCGAAAATTGGCGCCAACACAACGGTTATTCCTCCGGCTGGTAATCAGACTCCAGCGGACGGCCATAAAGGGGGAGGAAGTGGAGACGCCGCCAATAAAAGCGGCGGAGGGGGCTCTGGTAAAAAGAAGAAAAACAAAGCCGGTGGTGGGGGTGGTGGTAACAATCGGTCGAATTCAATACCTGCACCTGCACACACTGAATTCCAGACTCCTGGGCAAATGAATCCCAACCCTACACATCAGCAATCACACACTTACCCTGAAACCTATAATCCTCCTACGGCTTATCTAACGCCGTATAGATCATATCCAACGGGAAGAATGGGTGGTCATTCATCTTTCTATGTTCCATCATTACCCTACATGCACGCAGGCCTAGACCATGAAGTTTACCAGCTGCAATCTGCACCGTTGGTTTCCTTTGAGATTTTCAGCGACGAAAATGCCAATGGATGTTCCATTATGTGAAGAATTGGAAGGGAAGAGAATGTGAATGGCCAGAGATAGTTTTGGAGTGCTGATTGTGTAACGTAAGGAAATACAAATCGTGGGATATTATTTAGCGTTGGTTTGATACTTTGTTAGTAGGTTATTTTGGTTCTGGACCAGAGTGTACATGATGTAGTCTTCCCCACAAATGGATTTCTATCGTCATGTTTTAATATGGTAACCTTGACGTTCATGTGATCTCAAAGTGTACCCGACAAAATCTAAACTATTCCTTCACGGCCTCATAGTTGAGAATAGAATAATGTGCTTAATATATTCCACTCAAACTTTGACTGCCCCGTATAGGTATCTCATATTGCAGTCTCTACTAGTAGTAAAATGTTCAGGCACCATATTCAAATTAAAGCACTTTTTTGTAAGAAAACAGATCATGGATTTAACAGAAGAAGGTTGACATTGTTTTACGTTAAAAAGCAGAAAGAGTGAAGGTTGACATCCGCTTATGCTTAATGTTTCAAGAGCTAATCCAGTGTGTATCTTGAAGGATGAAAAGATAAAACAGAGAATGATACGTAGGAGGGAAAGTATGAGTCAGAAGCAGAAAACTGATCAAAAGGCTTGCTATTGGGTGACACGCGGAAGAAATTTGCTTTACACTGAAATGGGCACCAAGACAAGCCTAATACATCCATATGCTACCAAGCGAATCATCTCATTATTCAAGGCAATGACTTTAATCAAGCACACTTTAGAAACAAAATGCAACGCTTGGTGAAAGCTAACTAAACAGTATAGTTCCTACTAGTCGGAAGAAAAAATAGTTACTATTACCAGATAGCATTCATTGCAGGGAGCCAGGACTGCGTTAATTTTTCAACATCGGGTGACCCGTGATTTCTGGCGTTAGTTTGCGGGGCTTTGCGGACTTCTATATAGAAATTATAAAGAATTTATATAAATTTTAGTTCTTTAAATTTACTTTTATTTTGGCCTTCGTTTTTTAATTTTATTTATATTTATAACATTAGTCCTTATAATCTACTAAAAACATAAATCATTTTGCCTCTTGATGGACGAAAACCTATAGTTTAAAACTTAAAGGATCAAAATCAAAATAAGACCAAACTTAAATGATCAAAAATTATATTAACCCTGTAAATTCATTTCGGCCACTGCATGTCGGTATTTTTCACTTTAAAATAGTTTATTGTATACTTCATGGCTGCGTTATACGTCGTATACCATAACGAAACCATGGCCAGGTCCCTGTATTTAAAAGCTTTTCTAGCTTACACCTTGCTGCAATCTAGGGATTTTTTTAGCCGTCTGAAATTAATGGGCAAATGTTCATTTTCTGAGAAAAATTACTAGTCATTACGAGATTCTGTGATAGAAGTGACGCTTGCTGATATAGATGAGAAACCAACAGTATTACCAGCTTTCGTCGATGTGGAATGATCGGAAGGAGATGACTTTACTTGAATTAGCATCTTATACCCAAAGTACTAATCCTTTGTTGACATTCGGCGCCAAGGTCAGAAGCAGAATAATTAATGCGTACGTGTGGGAGAATACTAGTGTTGGTAATTTGTCATTCTGGCAACAAGATGCGGGATTGGACAAAAAGAGAAAAAAAAAATGGTGGTTCTTGATTTTAGCTACTGGTCCATGAGTCCATCTTTAGCATAGTTGCAACATATCACAAAGTGAAGTTCACTTTTTGTTTGCCAAATCTCATTTTAAGGCCAACCATTTTGGCATCGCATTTACACCTCAAAGGCCGAAACCTTGTCAGACCACAATTACTTATATTTACTTGTCAATAACATAATTCTAAGATCTTAAATTAGTCATCAATGAACGATTAACTTAACAGTTACAATACTGATCTCCTATGAACTTAAACAGTTAGAAGTTTTGACGTGAGGTGGCAAAAACAGCATACGTGCATAGAATGTGGAGGCGGCCTGCCATGTGAGTGATTTTGGTTACCAAAGGCAGTGCGAACATCAATGGGAAAAATAAAGTGCAAAAAGCACTAAAGCAACGAGCGTGTGTCTGTTGTAGTTTATTATCAGAAGCTTGAAGCCCGAGAAGATAAAAAGGTGGAGCAAGCTGAAACAAGTGGCGTCACATTGAATAAAAGCAAACAGAACTCAGTTGCGTAGATGGGACTACTTAAGGCTGAGACTTCCAAAAAAAAAAGGTCTGCACATGAATAAAATCTATCAGATTCATTAATCGTTCGCTGAATTCTGAACACTGATGGGTTATTACCGTATAGACATACCTAATACATCAAATTATATATCTTATTTGTGTGAAAGTTTTAGCATAATTTGAAAAGTAAAATATCCTAATTCATTACGGAACATACGTCCAAAAAAAAATCCAAGTCCATCATATACAAAGAGCAGAAATATTCACACTTTGGTTTTCTTCGTAGTGATCTTAGATAATTTCTTTTGTTTAGGAACGAAGATTTTTATGGACCTTGAATTTAAAAATACCATGAAAACTTGGCTCAAGGTATGGACAACATAGATTCTGTTCGTGTTTGTAGTTGGAGACAAATGAGATTAGGAAAATGGGTCCTTATCCGATTTTTCTACTCTTAAATCTCGACACTTCCACATTGCTTAAATTTGCATGCTTTAGGGAAACACACACACGTTTACATTTCTTGGATTTTCGAGCAAAATGACGATACATAGCAAACAAATTTTGCATATAACAAGGCCTGATGATTCTGGGTTCTAATACTAGATATATACACTTATGAGACCCTGGGAAATACTTCTTGAAAGCTTAGATAAAAGTTGATGCCTTTGAAGTCCGATGATTCATCCCAAGAATGATCACAATCACGGTCACGTCATCATGGTACCTCCTCCTCCTCCCAGCCGGAACATTCATCAACTCTTCCATGCTGAAACCTGCATGAGCCTTGCTTAGCTATCTTCTAACCATTCATCAAACAAGACACATACTATCACAAAATGAACGATTTTTTTTTTTTTGGGGGGGGGGGGGGGAGGGGGACAAGAAGAAGATAGGATAAGACTTCACAAAATGACCTGCGGAATTGGCTGCTCTTGCTAAAAGCTGCTCGATAAGAAACTTAGCTGGATCACCAAATGGATTGCTCAAGATATAGGACTCAACAAGCTCCACAGCCTCATCGTTACTAAAGAAGTCAAATAAGCCATCACTTCCTACTATCACAAACTGATCAGAGTTTGAGATCTCATGCACATTCATTGATGGTTGAGAGGAAATATATGGAGGGCTTGTAAGATCTCGGACTCGAAGGATTCCCATCAGTGCATCATTCAGACATTTCTGCACAGGAAGATAATAAGAAAAATCAAATCTACTTGTTTGGTAGGACAGTTCTTTTTCCTATTCTGTAAGATAAATTATGCGTTGAAGAAGCAGAGAACTCAGTAGGAACGACTAACACCTCCATTCAATCACTCTAATTAGTAGCTTCATGTGCTAAATGTCCAAAACTTCCTAATTTTTGCCAATTAATTAGTAGTACCTTTTTCAAGTAACCTACTCCTAAAGCACGAGTAACCTTCAGTTTTCCTTTCACTTTTCCTCCTATAATGACTTTAGGATCATCTGGGTGATCAGCCAGGAGTCGAGCTCTTTCAATGTCATTTTCAACTGTATGACTTTCTGTGAGCTGGATAGCTTGAAGTTTGCCTCTTGTATTACGTGTTGCTAATACAGCTTTGCTGTCACCTAAATTAAGTGTGTATAAGTCATTCCCATGAAGAAGCACTAGTAAAACACAAGATCCAATAGAAACTAAATCAGGCCGTTCCCCCATTTCCTGTTCAACCATGTACAAGAAATCATTCTCAACCTGGCTAAGAGAGCGTTCAAGGCTATCAAGCACCCCATCTGAAAATGATTTATAAGGCACTCCTACCTTAGCAGATAGGTTACTCTTTGCCAAACAGCCATGATAAGAATTGTTGTTTCCCTCGAGTTTTGACAGAGATTGCTCCTCATGAACAATAAGATTATCATCCAACTTACAGGATCCACCCAAACCCACATCATTAGAAGCTTTGATGGAATCTGGCTCAGATTCCCAGTACAATATATTAAAGTTAGATACAATGGTGTCATACAGAGTACCAGCCAGAAAGTCGGCAGCATCTCTACCATTAAAGCCATCATAAACTGCACAAAAGAGCCAGCCATTTTCTTCAGAACAGACTGCTTGGACTCTATCTTCACCAGCAGCTCCCCCTGCTGCTTGGACTTCCATGGCATTAAGGAAACCTTCACTCTTGGAAGGAGCGCTCATGGGTTTTAATGTACAAGAGTCATAGTCAAGCATTTCACTTGGAGGGGATGGACTGCAACTTAAGTTTGACAAATTACTGTGGAGAGAAGATGACAATATATCCAACCTTGAAAGACTTGGAGAAGAGGGTACCTTGCGGAATGAATTAGGTGAGTCCCAAGTTGGAAGTATTTCTTCTCCTATCACACCATTGCAGATGTTTGTGTTAGCTAACGTAGCATTTGCACTCAAGGCTGCACCAGACAAGCAAGAGAAACTGCTTGTTCTGTGAATTACTTCAGGTAGAATGTTATAGCCTTTGGCAACCTCACAAGGTATACTTCTTTTACTACTACATTGATAGCCAAAACTAATTTGAAGTTCTCCTTCAGGACTAAGCATGCTTGATCTCCTGTTTGAAAGAAATCCATTGTCAAACGTCATCAATACCACAGGCATCTAAATGTATAGAAAAACTTACTATGATTTATGACATGTTATTGAACTTATAATCTACGCTAAGACAGCCATTTTACCAGACAGAAAACTTTAATAAAATGACCTGCCCAATATAACTTAGAGACGCCCAAAGAACAGATTGTTCATTCAATAGAATTTCAAAGCTTGCATCTCATGATCGGAGTGCAACTATCATGTCGATAAAAACAAAAATCGAGGGAAAAATATCATGCTCAACGGAGCTCTTCAATAGATCTAAATATTCATCAAGTACATTTTAGGCCCTAGAGTCTTGATTCAAGTGACACCTTCTCTGGACACAAGTGTCAGTGGTCCTAGATGGATCTAGGTCCGGTAACCTCACTACTCCCAAAGCCTTGTACCTTCTTTATAACCAGAAAAACAATGCACCTCTTAAGTCATACTCTAAGCCAACTGTCAAATATTGTGCAAGAGTTGGTGCCGATGCCATTGCGGCGTTCCTCTCCAACGAAAAAAAAAAAAAAAACCAAAATGTTTTCCCATCAGGAATAAAATAATGAGATGTCGTTAACAATACTTAAACCAGAATATAGACCTCAGGATTTTATAAAGACCACACCACCACCCCACACTCCCGAGAAAAAGAAAAAGAAAAAGAAAGTTGATTAAGCTATGATTGAATTGAGCCCAAAGGACTTTCCGTACATGGTGCAGCGAGAAAATGGACAGGCAGACACTGAATTCTATAGACATAGCGTCATGTCAATCAAACCTCAATGACCTTCTTTCCAACACTTTCTCCCTCTCAGAAGTCAGAACCAAAGCTTCAGAGAGATGATCCATATCATCAGACCGTGAGTATTGCCGCTTGATGTAAGAGTTCAGTTGACAAAAACTAGAGCGTAAGAAACTCGAGATAAAATTACCCGATGCTCGTTTTGTTGACAGTTCACATCCAGTGATTCTTTCAACAAACACATAACTTCTGATTAGAATGCCATTAAAGCTTCTTTAACAAAAAATCCAAACAAGTATACCCTTTGTCCTTTATTTCAATTCAAAAGCCAACTATTTCGCAAAAGAAAAAAAAAAAAGAAAGATTAAACGCCAAGTTCGAGCATAACCGTTACTAAAACAAAATATACAGCATAGAGAACGAAATCCCACTTACCAGTTGATCCTCAACAAGGCACACGGAGACAAGAGAGACGACGAAATCAGAATGCAGCAACTTACATACAGCGACGTGCATATATATAGAAGCAGAATGAAGCAGAGGGAATGAAAGTGTGACTTTGCATAGTAAAAGCAAATCAGAAGGCTGGAGAAGATCTCTGAGAAAATTTTGATGTAGAAGATGTGTGGGAGAGTGAAAAGGAGTGTGAGTGGAGAATCTGTATCGAAGTGGCACCCAAAAGCGGCGCTTTACATGAGGGCATTGGATGGTAGAGAAGGGTCTGCTCAATTTAGAAGCATTTTTCCGTGGCTCACGTTTTGGTCTCTTTTGTCGATTCCCTGTTTATCGGTAAAGTCCGTTTTTTTTTCTGAGTTTCATTCCAACACGGACACTTGCACATTTTTTGAGTTGAACACTTGCACATATCTGCGTTCTCATAAATCTAATGTTGTGGCTTGTGGAAAGTGACGTTGACTTGGGAAATTACCGTGTTATCCTTGCCTGGTCAAATAACAATTTCTTTGGCTCCATCTCGTCCATTTGCTAAATCCTACCCAAAAGCCCTCCATTAAGACCTATTTTAGACTTAGATGCGCCGTGGGACGCCAGATTCTCTATATTTCAGATCATATGGGAGGGAGGATTGAGTAAGAATATGAACTTCTTTGGCGATGATGTTTGTGGCAAATTTATTGGTAATAATGTTAACAGGTAAACCGTGTTAGGGAATTGGAATAGGATACTCATGCTGTATAGATGCTGCGTGTGAATTGAACAGTGCAACGTTTGGTTCCACCATCAATTATTCAGTTAACTTTTGCGCCGATTTGTTTCCTAAAGTGTGAGAGCCAAACCAAAGCCAACCATTCCAAAATAAAATTTTTCCTGAAAGCCTGCCTTGGTTCTTCACTTCTTATCATGCTCTTGGCTCTGCCATCATCCTAAGGCATCGCATCCTTGGACTTTAAAAAGAGTGAATTATGTGTAGTTTTGTTCACTTTGAAACAAAACCCCAGAAGTTGCTGAGCTGTGGGGCAAAATTGGCTTAGGGGGGACAAACCTTACACACTGATTTAACAATACTGGGGTGAATTTCAATTGTGAGAATAATTGGTCAATATGATTATCCTTATTCGGCACATAAAAAAGAATAGACGGCTGCTAGGAAAAGAAAGCAGTCTAAATTATGCATTGTACGCAAATTAACATGGACCACTTTGTCATCTAAATTTGCAACCTCATATTTGTTGGGAAGTTGAATGCACCAGGTGCCAAGACCTGCCACTATCATCCATTTAGCTTGGTGAGTGACCGTTCATTAACCTTTCAGCTGAAAATGGACATTATTCAAATTCATAATGATCACGACGTGCATGAACTCATTCAACAATTAACACAGCCAGCCAGAGATGGACTGCAACGCTTATCAACTAGTCAACACAAGGAGGGAAAAAAAAAAGATTCTTTTTTAGATAAAATGGATGTTTGGGTAAGATCAAAACCATGGTTTCAGAAATATTTTTATGGTATATGAAGTAAATATGTAGAGGAATTTATCTCAATTTACGAAAAAGTGCTTATAAAAAGTGATTATGAGATTACCCAGATACCACTCAAAATCCCAAAGATACACAGAGAAAAGGATTTTTTTTTTAATTTCTGGAAAAGAAATAGAGAAAAGTAATGTTCTTTGCATTGGAAAACGAAAATTATACAATAAATGTAGAGATAATACTATCTCCGGTTCTTAATATAAGATCCCGTTTGATTTTTATGTTGGTCCTAAATATAAGACCCCAATCCATTTTGTCTCTCATATTTACTCAGTTTTTTTCAAGATAGTCCTTCTAATAATTATAGTTTTAACCAACATACTTGATTAGTAAGGATATTTTAAGAAAGACAACACCTATTTATTATAAATAACTAACTTAACTTTTTTTTTTAATTTCTTCAAATTAGTCAACTGACTCTTATAATTAAGACCGGAGATAGTATATAGCAGTGATTACATTCGGACTAATAGCGTTATTTCCACCGAGGGCCTCAGGGAAGTAATGAAACTATGATTTTAGATGAGAGGAAAAATGATTGTAAGGCGAGGAAGAACACAGATCCATGGACATAAATGCCCACACATTACTAAGACTAGATCTGCCAGATATATAGAAAGACGAAAGCATCTTGAGAGAATGAGCTTTCAACGATCTAGGTAGCACTCAAAACTATACTACTCTATCCCTAATTATAAGAACTTTTTAGCCAAATTACGTTTGTTAAGAAAACAGTTAAAATTAGTTAAAAATAATTAATATATAACAAATATAATTTTTTTCCAAATATACCCTAATAAATATAAGAGAGTAATAATGAGATAAATAGAGAGAGAATTACATGGGAATTTGTTAGGGGTAAAATAGACAACAATGCATTAAATATTCAGACAAATTTAAAAAAAACCTTATAAAAAGGAACAAATCCATTCAAAAAAAAAATCTTATAATTAGGGACGGAGGGAGTAAGCTATAGACGTATGACAGATATCCCCTCTGCAAATTCACGATCCATCCAACAAGGACAGTGAATTAAAACATCTTCGCTGGTATCACAAAACCATAACCGATTATATGTGATTATAAGTATTTTAGCGAAGCATTGTTCAGTAATACATAGCTATCTCCTTTCAGGACTGAAAGTTGGCCTCACTATGGAGTTCCCGACAGCATCTCCTGAATGGCTGGTTCTAAGTGCATAGCATTAGGACTCAACATTGTAGAAGACTTTTGTTGATCCTTTCTTTGAGCGAATCTGAGAAACCTGCACATATGCATACCACGCCAATCGTAGCAAACATCAGAAAAATACAAAGCGGGCAACAAAATATTACCTATCAGAAGCTAAGTCTCTACAGGATCAAGGTCTCTTGTCCACTGCTCTAGAAATAAAGCATAATAACATTCAAACTGAGAAAAAAAAATAAAAAAAATAACAAAAAAATGTAAGGTCAAAATAAGTCATGAAGGACTACAAAGTGCATGGACAGTTTTGCTGTTATGGAGAACAATTTTCATCATCGATGCATATGCCGATAAGGGAAACAGCACCAAATTCAACAGAATTAAATCGCAGACATTTAAGCGGAAAAACATGTAGGTAATATCACTACAGAATCACAAATCGGATATAAATATCTAGTTGATCAGCGAAAGGAGACAGGTTTCGGACCTTAATGCTTACAATATCTGAAATATCAGAAACATGGGTACCACCACAGGGACAGCCAGGACTATCTCCCATCCTCACAATCCGAGGTGTGCTTTCCTGCCAAAGTTGGTGCATTGATATTAAAACACACTGTATATTAGTACCCAAAAAAACTCACAGCAGAGTGAGCCAGACGTAACAATGGATTTTTGATATTCGATCTCATGTAACATGTAATCAAATCATTTAGCGGAGTTAGATAAAGGTTGCTGTGTGTCAACTAATGAAAGAACTCCCCGCTTATAAAAGTATGCTGATTCATCTGGGGAAGGTCTTTTTTTTTTTTGGGGGGGGTGGTGGTGGTGCAGTTCATGGACACAAAAGCAGAAAGCCATCCTGATAAATAATTGCCAACTTTTATTTTTAGCTTAAAAAGTAATTCACGAATTATTGGTCAGAGCAAAACCTGCAACTTGTTTAGTGCATAAGTAAAACACAAAATTCTTTGTAATATTATAATTGTGTGTGTATATGTTGATAAACTAACCTTGGGAACATAATCAGGAAGGCAACCGCCACAAAGCTCAGCAGCTTCATCATATCGTAACGTAGCAACATAAACCTAGGAATTGAAATCAGCAGTTTGAGAACCAGATGCATTTCGTGTGTGTTTGTGTATTAAAAAGCAATTTATGAACACAAAACTTACTTTTCCTCCCACAGAAATTAGCCGATTAGCCTCTAGCTCTAAATTTTTCTGCTTGTTCTGCATTTCATTTTGTGGAACCGTTCCTTTATATTCTACCCAGGGCCTGGTGACAATATATAATAGGAATTGCCAAGAAATTTTTGCATCTTATGAACAAATTCTCAAAAATGTGAGGTAATAGTAATCAATTAATTGTTAATTCTTTCTCATAATCACTCTAATGCTTAGTATTCCCCATAAAAGCAAAGATTTGACCGATGTATTATTGCTTATCAGTTTGTATATTGGAATACTATATCCACTCAACTTAAAGGCATAGAGCATAAAGGAATCGGGCCGGATGCAACGGTTATTCACTTCCCACCATTTTTTTTTTTTAGTGAAACAGCACTTCCCACCATTTTTAGCTTCCATATTTTATGGGCAGCTAGCTATACATGCAATACGCATAATAATCATATACCCAAAAAAAAAAAAAAAACAGAAGAAGAAAGAAGCAAGTAAAGTATATACCCATCAGGAAAATGGTAGGCTTTGCCGGGCTCTAAATGACCCAATCCTATTCTGGGCAGACACAGATCAAGTAAATGGCCAGCTGAATGCAACCTATATGAATAAATGATTGAAGTGTTAGAATGAACCAAGGAATATTGTAAGTTCTCTTAAATTACGACCACCATATACTGTGATATACAAGTGCCATAAATTTTTTTTTTTTTGGCTTGAAATGAAGTTTGATCATCTGGATGCAAAATGAATTTCATCATTGAAAAATTTTATACTTGGAATTCAGCTTTCGCCTGGCATCATCCACAACCAGTGTGACCTCCCTTCCCGCCTCAACTTTGTTTTCAAATTCCTGGCCCAAATTCTCAAATAATCCATAGTGGAAAACCTAAAGATATACAACAAATATATAAAAATGGGCTAACTAGTTATACAAAAATGAGCAAACTGGTAAACTTAAGTTCACGTTCGCACTTACAATTCCATCTTTTGATCGGACGTCTTGAACCACAAACTTGCAGTCTGAACCAGAAATGCGTATGAAGCCAGTGTCGGCCGGCTGACCACCACCTTGCGGATAGAAGATAGTGCGATCTAACATCAAAGCATTTCTGCCGTCATCTCCCTTTCAAACGAAACGAAAACGACAAAAACTCAGAGAAAAGGGGAAAAATTACTTGAAGTTAATTCTCAACACAAAATCAGGAAAAAGTAATAATCTTTGATGCCTTTTAATGCAACACAGAAGAAGTAATATAAACCTTGAAGTGGGAAAGAAGTGTGGCAGAAGATTCGAGCCTCCACATGTCATCGTAATAGTCGAGCTTAGTCGAACTCGAATCCATGGCCGTTCGCCGAGTATCAGATCGGTCGGTATTCTGTGATATTATTACTTTAGCAGTGCTTGGCGGTCGTCGACAAAGTATCTCAACTATAAAGTAATTAGTAATTGATAAATAACTAACAAAACGCGGAGCGAAGGCCAGACTTTCTCTAAAACGCCATTGACTTTGACTGGTCTGACCCCCCAACCGCCAACTTACCGCATGAGGCGGCTAAGAAAAAGAAACGCAAGAGAAGTTTAATGCCAATTCTTAGGAAACCCCTTCCTTTATAAATTTGAACCTTCTCTCCAAAGCACAAGAATGTTGTGGAAAATTAAAACCTCCAGATCTTTCATCAATGGCTGATTTAAAAGTAAGGAAGGCAAGCAATAGAAAACGAACTCACCGGTCATCCTCTGCCATTAAGGTTCTTCCAAAAGAGTAGTTACTGGAAGTTTTAGCGAGGGTTGCCTCTGGTTCGGTTTCTGACCTCTACAAGGGTAAAGTATTCTGTAGAGAATTCCTTCAAGCTGCGGACGATGATTATATATATGAACATGTATCTCTGGATAAGTTTCCGCTAATCCCATGGTTTATCACCGACAAAGAATTTTCATTCTTGAAACGTTGCAAGGAAAGTGGCCATTCAGAGAGTTTATACAGAGACGGAATGGTGGAATACTTCAGTTCTTTAAGTTAAAGTCAGGTCTTGAGAGTTTAAGAAAGGCTTCCCAAAAGGGGCATAAAGATGCAAAGTATGTATATGGTGTGATTCTGATATGCGCCGCTGATGAAGAGCAGAGAAAACAGGGACTTTAGCTTTTACGTTTCTTGAGAATGTCCAAGTGTATTAAAAGAAGTAGGAAGAGGGTCAAGAGGTTTATTTGGAGCAGGTGGGTAAGAAATCGTTTGGCTCGAATTCGCAGACCTTTGTGCCAATTCCGTACATCTCGTAACAGTCGGAGATTGCATAATGTTTCAAGAGGATGGCCTTCATTAAATGAGGAAGAAGACGATGGTATTGATATTTCATGTGAATATTGCACGGGGGATCACGAACTTGGTCTGTTTTGTGATTTGCTACGCGTACGTGTATAGCACCCACCTGTGGAGAAATATTATTAGTCCGATTTTCCATCGGTCTAGTTTAAAATTTAAATCTCAAGGTTCGAAATCGTCAGTACTCAGCATCCAGCGATATTCTTTTTTGCCCATAATTTTTAAGAAAAATAACATAAACTAGAAATAGTAATGTTTCAATTTAAGCACTTAAGAGTTCAAAATCTTAAAGGAGGAAATAATGCCTAATATATGATATTTTATAAATATAGTCAAATAATTAAAATGTTTTTGTATCATATTTTTATTAAAAATATTAAATTTGTTATTAACAGTACATTTCTGATCATTAACTGTGTTAATGTTGGCTTATAGCTTATTAATAAATAAGTTCACAACTTGTTAATAAACTTTTTGATACAAGGACATTTTTGTTATTTAACTACATTTGCAAAACACCTTATTAAGTATTACTTCTTCTCCTAAGATTTTAAAGTCTTAAATACCTGAATTAGAATATTACAATTTTTAACTTTTTTTAATGTTATTTTTTCTAATTTTTAATATATTATTTCTACACGTTTTTTTTTTCTTTTTTACTTTCCTTCAGGAGGGCGTTTTATGGAACTACGTCAGTAAGGGATCAAAATCTGTCCCTCGACACATGAGAATCGAGAAAACAAAGGAGTGGTCACCCCCCGCCCCCCTTCAGATAACTTAGATTTTACATCATTATTGGCAAATCAACCTTCTTCAATTTATTTTTAAAAAGTGAGCAGATAGAAAACAATTTTTATCTCATTTTGTGTGATTTAAAATGATGTTATATCAAACAATAAAATAAAATAAATTGTGAAATATGTTAGTTTAATATATACAGTTGCAGAAGAAACAAAAGGATCTGCATCCACTTTTGTCGGAGGCACTCAGTTGAATTCTTTCCCCAGTGGCCACTTGCTCTTCCTTTGTACCTTCAAGACTCAACTCTACCATCGCCCCATGCGAGAGACTAGGAAGGCAGCATACAATAATATTCCATTGGACTCGGAAGATATTTGGTCTTCACGTCAATGAAAACCATCAAAACTATGACTTCGGTTAAGAGAGTACGTACTTAAGCAACAAGTCCGTTGAAACCCATTATGATATGATTTCAAGTTCAGTCATGATATTTATCCGGACGCTATCCAACAATAACCAAGCGGATGATAATAGTAACATAACGCCAGACCACTACGAGGAGGAACCCAATCAATTATCAAATCACTTCCAAATGCATCACATAGTCAGCCAGAAAGGACATTCGGTTGGTACCGCGAGTGGACAAATCAGGTATAGCAACATTCATAACTAAACTAACAAAAACTTAGTAATAATTCTCGAATATAACTTGCAACCAAACTTCAGAGAAAATTTATCATCCTCTACTGTTGCTTGACTTCGACTTTCTTCTTCTGCCACAGACGATCTAATGCACTGTCAGCATCCCCCTGGAAAAGCATAGATTATGTCATAAGCCTCATCTTCTACGTGCACCTTGAAGTTTGAACGGCATTATCACGAACACAACATACCATAAAACCATATATTCTACATGCAACCCTTCAACACTACAAGTATGTAGCATTACTGATACATGAAAAGCATTAACACGACTTTTTTTATTTCTGAATCCATAAGAAGGATCTCACATACAATCAACGATTCACTATCTATGATTGACAGAGATCAGGTAATCAGAACATCCTCACAGCCTAAAATTTCTAAACTTCCACATAAATGCAACCAAATCACCAGAAATCTAATATTTGATCATTCATCAGTCATGGAATTTTATCTTCACCTTATGAAAAATCAAAAGAAAGGGATAGATGGAGTTGAATATTAAAAAACATGAACAAATACTAAAAGCTGATGGGCAAAGGGCTATAGGCATCTTCTGTTGCCATATGCAGCCAAATCCACATTGCTAAGCTACTAACACTACAACAATTACTCGGCAAAACAGTCATATGTTCACTAGTAGGGCACAAATCCGATTCATACGATTCCAGAACACATTACAAAACTGATCAGATAAATTCTACTGACCTGGGCACGGATGAAACCACACATAGCAAATGTGGAAAAATGGCCATTGTAAATACCGTTCTCATCGAGATGCCCAATGTTGATCTGCACGGACGCATGGTCCTTTGCAGTTATCAGTCTATTTGTTGCGGAGCTGAACAAAATCACCAATTAGTTCAAATCCCACGGAGATCAAACAATCAATCACATGAGAAGTTTCAACAAAATTAAAGAAATATAAAGACATACCATTTCCTTGGGATGTAAAGCTCAGTAATCTGGCCTTCCTCGTTCTGCATCTTCTTTTTTTCTCGGAGCGTATGAAAAATTCTCCGTTAAAGATCTACGAACCTGACTCAAGGTAGAAGACAACGAAAGTATAAAGTGTTAAAGAGCATGTCCTCTGCAAATTGGAAATATATATATATATATATATATATATTGAATGTGAAGTCTGAAGGTTCATGTCCTCGAGAAGTAGATGCATTTAGAAATTTGAAACAACAGTATATGGTACGTGAAAACTTGGTTTTCCAATTGACTGCAAATCTACCAGTAAATATTCAAGCATAACGAAGGTAAAATTTTCGACACGTGCCAATTGTGTCCTACGTGAAATAGGGAATTTTATTTTCTATTTGTATACAACTCTAACATGAATAGAAAGAAGCGCAACAAGCGCTACCAAAAAGCTATAAACGAATCGATAAATCACACAAAATGTTAAAAACAATAAACAAAAACATGAAGCAGTTTCGACGCGAACATCACATTAGAGTCCAAACAGAGAACAACTTATTACGTCCGTAATGTTTAAACAGATGTAGAATACACGGTATTACTGTGATATCATCAACACTTAAGCTGAATATCTCGAAACCCTGAATGTAAAACTTAACCAAAAAAATGTATTTGAAGTTCGATAACTGTTAAGAATCGTTGCCTCCGGCAAAGGAAAATTCAGAAGAAACCAAGGAGGAAAACATCAATAGAACGGCGAAAACCAGGTCATAAAATAAACCACCAGTAAGTAAACATCAGTAGTTGCGGGGGAGGGCGTACGTACCAAGGGAGGCGAAGAAACCAGCGCGCCGATGAGAGACGGTGAACTTCGTAGATAAATGAATCTTATATGACGAAAACCTAGTTTCTCAGGTGGGGCGGATTCGGACTTCGGCTTTTAACGTATCCATGTACAAGGTCCAAAATAAGGCCTGCTAATGAGGCCCCCTGTCAAACCCAGCGATAGAGTTCGAATGGGGAAGGATTTATCTTCGTTTAAGGCCCTATCCAGTTCCAACATGAATTAATTCTATTAATTAGCAGCATAAGATTTTAGATTATTCTTTTGTCAAAAAAAAAAAAGTTCTTATCAATTACAGTTGTTCATCACAAAATTTAATTAATTCATAAATAATAAACATAAAAAGGTAATTTAATGTATATTTTTCACTCTTTGTCACCTGCGTAACCCTCCTCCCATGGCCCATGGGATTCTCTCCTGAGAAATTGGCAAAAACACGTTTTGCTTTATTTAATTGCTCTAGTAACGTGTGCCAGTGATTTACGTTTAGGATCTACATGCATGCTACTTCTAGCACTTGACACAAGAACTAATTAGAGATTGAATTTGATTTTGAATATAAGATTTCAATTTATTTTGTTTCTCAAATTTATAATTCATTCTCTAAAGTATTCCTATTAATTACACATATTAAGAAATTTTTATCAATGGATGGTCATAATTAAAAATATTTTTTTGAGAAATTGAATTTATATTTATTACAAATAATTAACTTAACTAATTTTTTAAATCTATTTAAATTAATTAAAGAGGTATTATAGTAAGAATGGGAGCTAATACAAGGCAACTTGAATTATGTAAATGAGTAAACCTATAGCCACTATAACCGAACAAGGCTACAAAGCATCTAACCATTCTCTGTAAACATGCGTGTGCTTGCAAAAAGTGCAGAGACAGCCTGGCGCAGCCTTTGCATGAGCTGTGGTTCAAAATAACTATAATTTGTCCTTCGGTTTTATCCAAACTAAACCTGTCAATTGTCATGCCTGATTTTAAGTTTTTAACAATCCAAGCAAGCGACGTCTTCTTAGCTTGCCGAGCCCAGCATGGTCCCAGCCATCCCAAATTCTAATCCACACCTTCTCTCGTACAAGAAAGACTAATATGAGTCCTCGTCATAGCAATGTGGCTCCCTCCAAATATCTACATCTCGCTTCAAACCACCGTTGGTCACCCTCCAAATATCTACTAGTCTGTACCGGCTGTGTTTAGTTTATATTCCAACTTTAGATTATATTTTCCCTTTCTTTTTCTTTTTACAAAAAAACAGGCTTTGACTTGATCCCCCAAAAAAAAAAAATAGTTAATGAATGGCATGAAAGTATGTATCATTCATAAATGAGAGGACGTGAGGGCAACAACATTTCGTTGCTTTTGATGGAGGGAGCCTTGTCCCTCAATTCAAACTGATATTATTCGGAGAAAAAAAAAGAACAATACTCAGTCTTAAACTTCATCTTTTATTTAAAAAAAAAAAACTACCTCCGCTTTTTAATATAAGAATTTGTTTAACTTTTATTTTGGTTCTAATTATAAAACCCTAATCTACTTTGTTTCTTATATTTATATTTTTTTCTCAAGATAGTTCTCTTAATAATGATACTTCTAGCTGATAAACTTGATTAGTAAGGATATTTTAAGAAAAACAACATCTATTTATTATAAATAACTAACTTAACTTATTTTCTTAATCTCTTCAAATTAGTCAACTAACTTTTATAATTAAGACTGTAGGCATTACATTACTTGCATAATCACGAATGCACGGGAGACTTGGGGTGCTTGTTCATGGTAGATTCCAGGCATTGACTTACGCTCTATTTCTCCCACTGACTGCGCCTGCAATCATTCTCTCTCCCCCGACGAAGCCCAAACAAGCCATCACAAAGCTGACCAGCTAAAAAATATATTTCTCTGGTTTTAAATATAAATTTTTTTATAATATAAATTACACAATAAAAGAGGTATTTTATTTAATAACGGAGAAGTACTATTTTTAATCTAAAAATTAATGTATGAATGATATGCCATCTAGCATGCTTCGACTTCATGTTTAACTTGTTAATGTTAAAGAAATGCTCGCTCATTCTTATGGAGCAGCTAGCCAGCTAGGCAATCACTCATCAAGCCACAAACTAATACTCCTCCGGTTCTTAATGTAAGATCCATTTAACTAATTAGATTAGATTAAAGAAGTCAGGTAAATTAGTTAATTATAAGAAAAGTGACACATTTTTCCTAAAACACCATAATCATCTTTCTTAATACCCCATCTCCCTCTTCTACTTGATTATAGTTGAGGGGGTATTCATAGGAATAATTTAGAAAAAATTGATAAATATGATAAATGTGTCTTATATTTAGAACTAAAACCAACTCAAAAATTGGATCTATATTAAGGATCGGAAGAGTATTACATCATCCAAAAACGCGTCTGTGTTGGGTGTTGGCATTGCAAACGAGGAATCCATTCTCAGTTTCCCCACATGCAAATTTTCTCATACGCAACTGGAACAGCCCATCAAGCCAGCTTTTGAAGCCAACCTAGTCCTGTACACAACCGGAACCGTTTTTCAATCCCTCCCCCCTTTTCAACGCAAAGCGAGGTCTGTATTACTATTACTATTAGTGTCCAAGGAAAGAAGGGGCGTTCTGAGTCAAGTGGCACCAATTGTAATTATACCCTGCTTTCAGTGGCATTTCTCACTTATGGCCGCTTATAATCCCGCCTCCGACGTCTCTCTCATCCCCTCCATTCCAAAACTGACGCTGAAAATATGGGAACCTCAAGACGCTCTTACGGCCTCGTGGTAATGGGGACGATCTTGGCTTTTCACGCACTTGTCTGCTCATCCGCCACCATCGATTTCGGCGGCCTCTTCCCGGTTAAATCCGAGTGCCGCGGATCCACCGCCGACTGCCTACTTTTGGAGAACGAGGGAGAGTTGTTTGGGTCGGAGTTTGAGATGGAATCAGAGATCAGCCGGCGCATTCTGGCGACCTCGAGGTACATAAGCTACGGTGCGCTGAGGAGGAACACTGTTCCCTGTTCCCGACGCGGCGCTTCCTACTACAATTGCCGTCCCGGTGCCCAAGCCAATCCCTACCGTCGTGGCTGCAGTGCCATCACTCGCTGCAGAAGTTGAAATTCTTTTCTCATTTTCTCTCGTAAACGTTACTGTGATATATAATAGCAAGAAAATAGAATTTCCTTGTTCTCATCTATATCATAATCATTTGTAGTCATTTCATAAAAATATTCTTAAGATTTTATATGTTATATGCTGGCAAAGAGAGAGATTTATAAGTTGGATTGAATTGAAATCATGGCTCATTAGTAGTCATTTTCTCTCTTTCTCGTATTTTTTTTGGGGCTCATTGTTAACGGATGGATTCTTCTGGAAAGTAATTAATTAGACTATGGAAGGAAAATCTTTTTGGCGCTTTTGACGGAGGAGAGGGCAATGACTATGGTATAATGAGAAATTGAAAGGAGATGTTGCCCGTCTTCTAGGAAGAATGAGAAATTGTGGAATGAGGAGTGCAGAAAATGGTGAATTACACGCAGCTCGTTTCGCACGGTTCTAGTTAGCTCAGCTAACGCCCCCCCGGGGGGCTGGGGGTGTGGTTTTTTTCTTGCCAGAAGAAATATGATACGGGGCGTCTTCTGTTCCTGGGCAGTGCACGGTACTGTTCTGTAGCTTTTAACTGAGGGAGGAAGCCACGCGTGTGTTATTGTCCGCGTGAATCCGAGTCAGCGAACCGGTCTCCATCATGCCTGACAACCACGACACAGCTAGCTGGCTTTGGCCGGCTTATATTATAATATACGTGATACTTAATATAAAAATTAATTGATTAATTAATTTAAATAGATTAAAAAAATTTAATTTAATTAATTATTTATAATATTTCGGTTGATTTTTATTTTGATATTAGATATATAATTATAATTCATTTCGTCTCTTATATTTATCTATTTTTTTAAAAATAGTTCTTTTAATCATGATAGTTCTAACTAATAAATTTGATTAATAAAGATATTTTATGAAATATAAAATCTATTTATTACAAATAATTAATTTAATTTATTTTCTTAATCTTTTCAAATTAGTCAACTAGTTCTTATATTTAATACCAGAGATAGTATATAGGTATTATTATTTTTAAATATCCTTATTAATCAAGTATCATTCGATAAAATATTTAATATATGCAATTGTTACAATAATTATTTTTAAAAAATAAAATATATTAAGATGTTATGTTTAGGATTAATTAAAAATCAAATTAATTTTTATATTAATAATTGAAGGTAGTACTCCCTCCAATTTAAAATATAAACAAAACTTTATTCATTAGGTTTATCAATAAACTAATTAAAATCAATTTAAAATAATAAATGTGTACGATATATATTTATTTTTCTTAATGTACCCTTATTAATAAAGAGAATAAGTAAAAGATGTAATAAATAAATTAAAGAGGAAAGAAAATATATGAGGATAAAATTAAAAAATCTCATTAAATATTTAGATAAAAGTGAATATTATCTTATAAAAAAACAACTCTTTTAAAAAAAAATTAGTTTATATTTTAAACCGGAGAGAGAAATACATAACTACAATAATGTAAATAATGTGTTTAATTTAAATCTGGGCCGCCAAATTGGACGGTCTTTTTTGGACTCAACCAAATTGGATGGTCTTTGCACCTTTTCTTTTACATGTACGTTAAAATGTTTAATTTAGCACTTGATGTTTGGCACTGCCTTGTAGCTGCGGTCCTATTCCAGCGGGGTTTCAAGATCAATCCCATGGCTGTCCTGGATTGTCATATCTATTTCAATCTCAATTTAGATGATATCATTTGATCTCATGCTAAGAAAGAAGATCTAACACAGGTCTGAAGAAACCTGAATCCGAATTTCTGTTAAACCGGTCAGTGCAGTATAGTGACACTGCACTTGATATGGCGCCCTTTAAATGAGTAGTCTCTAACATGCTAAACTCCCATATGATTAACAAACTATTGACTTTGATCCAAAGGGCAAAAACGAATGATACGCAGGAAGAAGGTTTTGCGTCACATCCGATCCGAACAGAGGAAAACAGTGCCACTTGGATTACGAAAAACATACAAAACAACCCAAAAAGCCCAAAAACACAATTATTATTATCATTGTTATGATCATCATCATTAGCGTCTTCTTTTTTTTTCAATAATCATTATCATTATTATTGTCATCAATATTAGTATACATGTAAAACCTTAACCACGTGCTTGGCCTGTACTCTATTCTTCACGAAGTAAGCACTAAATAAACTAAACATGGAAGGCGCATCGAGACCTTTGGGCCCGGCTCTATAGTTGCCGCCCCGAGTTTGAGCCCAAATACAAATGCACTCAGGCCCCGTGCTATGGTTGTTACCCACATGTACAAATTTTGCGTGACCACGTGTTTGATCCGGATAAAATTTGTTGGCAAAGGGAGAAGGGAAAAAAAAAAGGAAGAAGGAAGATCCGGATAAAATTTACTTGAATGCATGTCTCCAATGGCTTTATTTTATTAATTTTGAGGGGGGGGGGTTGTTTTTATACATGAAGAGCCAAAGTTAGAGCTCAGCGGACTGATGAGGCAGAATTATAGGAGGGGTTGAAGGGGAGAAATCAGAAAATCATACGATACTACTATAGCATTTACCTGAACGAGTAATACATTTCCCAATTTGGAGGCACCAAAGGAATAGTGGACGGATACTTAACAGTATTCTACAAGTGAGAATCACTTCGTCCTCAAGTATCTGGCCCCGCTAGCAAACTAAAACTAAAGGCAAAAGTGACTGCATTAATACCTTTATGATTTTCTTATTTGAGTAGCCTCATTCTTGATTGGTTAATTCGAGATTTACCCAAGCATTACTCAGATCTGGAAGTACAAGTTGCACAAAACCACGAGAGAGAGAGAATTAAAAATCGCGTGAATGGAGATAAATAATTAGTTTTAAATTTCCAATCGAACCCTTAATATACAAATAATAATTATTATAATTTTTGAAAATACATGTTAAATATAAATAGTTCTCCCCGCGTTAACGTGCGGCTGCCTCCAGACTCCAGTTATTACAAGTGTAAATATAAGTAGTAAAAGTGGGGCCAAGAGAAAAAGGATGTGATCTAACTAACCAAAAGTAATTAAAAGATGCTGGAAGAAAAAAAGCAATTAAAAAAGATAAATAGTATTATAAAATAATGATACATGTATTATATATACAGGCTGTCGGAACATCATGCTCATTTCCTTTGGGCTTGACCGGAATTTGTGGATCTTTGAGCTCCACCGACTACCCCTAATCGGAAAAGAACCACACTTTTCGTCGTATTTACGATCTTCGTCATCTCAATTCCCATCCCGCGTCCGCCTTCATTTCTTACATTACATTTGGATTTTGGACACAAGACACTGCCAAATAATCGCAATCACGCTTTCCCCCCCTTTTTTCTCCTTGTAGAGCAGGAACAAGAGGGTTTGTGTGTCGGCGGTTCATCTCGGCCGAGTCGACTCAATAATGCTGGAACGGTGTATCGGTTATCGCCGACTCCGTCAGATCCAGAGGGCGTGCCGCCACGGCACCGTCACCTTCCTCTGCCTCTTCCTCACCGTCGTCGTCCTACGTGGCACCATTGGCGCCGGCAAGTTCGGGACCCCCGAGCAAGACTTCAACGAGATCCGTGACCATTTGTACTCGCGTGGCCGGCGCGTTGAGCCGCATCGCGTCCTCGAAGAAGCTCAACCCGAGAACTCTGGCTCTTCGCAATCCAACAACTACGCGACCTTCGATATATCGAAGATTCTGATCGATGAGGGAGGCGATGACGAGAAGCGTGATCCAAATACACCTTACAGTCTTGGCCCCAAGATTTCAGATTGGGACGAACAGCGTGCTGAGTGGTTGAAAAACAACCCAGATTACCCGAATTTTATCGGACCCAATAAGCCCAGGGTGCTTCTAGTAACTGGGTCTTCGCCCAAGCCCTGCGAAAATCCGGTGGGGGATCATTATCTGCTGAAGTCAATTAAGAACAAGATTGATTACTGTAGGCTCCATGGGATTGAGATTTTCTACAATATGGCTCTCCTCGATGCAGAAATGGCTGGATTCTGGGCCAAGCTCCCATTGATTCGGAAGCTGTTGCTGTCTCATCCGGAGATTGAGTTTCTATGGTGGATGGACAGTGACGCAATGTTCACTGATATGGCGTTCGAGGTTCCGTGGGACCGCTACAAGGATCACAACTTTGTGATGCACGGTTGGAATGAAATGGTGTACGATGAGAAGAATTGGATCGGTCTGAACACTGGGAGTTTCCTGCTTAGGAATTGTCAGTGGTCGCTTGACATTCTTGATACCTGGGCGCCCATGGGTCCCAAGGGGAAAATCAGAGACGAAGCTGGGAAGGTCCTCACTAGGGAGCTGAAGAATCGGCCCGTCTTTGAAGCTGATGACCAATCTGCCATGGTTTATATATTAGCGAAGCAGAGGGACAAATGGGGTGACAAGGTTTACCTTGAGAATGCTTATTATTTGCACGGATATTGGGGTATTTTGGTTGATCGGTATGAAGAAATGATTGAGAATTACCATCCAGGTCTTGGTGATCACCGGTGGCCACTTGTGACTCACTTTGTGGGTTGCAAACCCTGTGGAAAATTTGGGGATTACCCGGTTGAGAGGTGCTTGAGACAGATGGACCGAGCCTACAATTTTGGTGACAACCAGATTTTGCAAATGTATGGCTTTACCCACAAGTCACTTGGTAGTCGCAAGGTAAAGAGAGTGAGAAATGAAACCAGCAATCCGCTCGATGTGAAGGATGAGCTTGGATTGCTGCATCCATCTTTCAAAGCCATCAAGTCGCCCACTTCTTCGTGATGGTTTCCGAAGAGATAGTGATCAGCTTCCCGAACAAGTATTGCTTCCCACCGTCTGTCTGCTGCTATACTCTGTTTATTTTGCAATTAAGGATGATAGATTTCAATATGTAATATGTTGGAGCACTCACGATAGTGTTGAAAATTGTAATCTCTATTTATTTTCTTTCACCAATCATTGTTTTAGTATTCTGAGTGATATTGATTTTTGGAAAGAACAAATAGCTTCCTCATCTGTGTCTGTCCTGTATTCAATAGCCATCTTGATGCCGTCGATTAGTCTGCTGTATAATTGGAAGGAATAGTTGCATCATAGCCACTTTTATATGTATAAATTCCTTTATTTGTTGATTACCATTCGTATTTTGCTCGTACTTGATGAAAGTGTGATAGAAATTCCAGCAGTGTGAGTTCTTCTGGATCAAAATCATGCCTTTCTGAGGCTGTTTGATGTTTGAACGATTAGGGCCCCCCCTTTCCCTAGAGTAATGATGTTTGAACGATTGGGCAGCGTCGTTGGTGTATATGAAGACGATACAGATAGGGAAACTGGGTTGAAGAGTATCGTATTGGTATAAGATTTTACTGAGCCTGTAATCCTGCCGGAGCCGTTACATGTAGGCAGGGAAAATTTTAGTAGTGATGTTTGACCAGAATTAAATTTGTCGTGCAGAATCACGCATGAGTAAATGTGATTAGAGAAGCTTGTGAGGGGAGGCATTGGATCTGAATCTGCGACCATCATCGTCACATCATACAAAGGGATGATAAGTCATGTAATCGTCAGATAATTCAGAACAGTTGTGAAGTGTAAGCTGAAACAACTTAAGGCAACATGTGTTGCTAATCAAATTGTTTGACCTACAGCCTCATTATCTAGTTTAGTTGTTTCGTGTGCAAATTGAACGGAACATTATTAGTAGTTGGTATCTTTCCCAGTTAAAGCAATGGACAGAGCAGGCTTTGGGTAATTTCTAAACATAACCACATGGTGAGGCTGGCTGCTCGTTTTCAATATAAAACCATTTGAGCGGCAGTTATGCTGCAGCAAAGCACATGGCCAATGGCTACTAATATGTCAAACTGAGTTAAGAGCCATGTTAAATTACAGGGCATTTTTGTAATATACATTTTTGTTTCGATCGAAGAATGCTAGCTCCTACGAATAGCTAGTCACAATTACATATTTTATATAGCCTTTAATCTAAGTTCTGCTATATGTAGGACGAGAATGTTTTGAGCATGACGAGGGAAGTGTTGAAGGGTAAGACAGAATTATGATAGCTTACTTTTAAGGAATCAAACCAGATAGAGCTTTTCCTTTTCCTTTTTCTTTTCGTGTATTTAGCTAGAGAGCTTTATTAACTTCATCTAAAACTTCCCTAATTTAATGCGAGACCTTATTTTTTATCCAACAGGTTTTTTTTAGTTAAAATCGAACTTGTCTTTTTTTTTTTTTCCGGTAAGAACCACCCCGAAAAAAAAATTAACTTTTATCCTAGCGGCCTAGATCAGCTCAAAAGTTCTAAAATTAAAATATAAATTTGAGCCAAAAAAAGTATGTATCGTTGTTTTTAACTTCTTTCCCCTCAATTTATGATTGGGAAAATAATATTTATTAAAAATGGAGGATGGCTTTTTTCTCCTGTAAAATTTAGATCGGACAAAGAACTAAAATTTTATGGAAAGATCGAAGGATCTTCTTTTTTAGTTAGGAAATCAAACTGCCCTAGTTAATTATTGCTCTTGATTTACTGGTGCAGATGGGTGATTCTCCCTCTATTCTTCCTTCGGAGTAGTGTTTTACTCCTACCATTTCTTCCTCCGGCCACTGGTCCTCTGCCTACTCCAAAGAACCAAATCTAGAAGCCACTACATTTAATATAAGACTTATTTAACTAATTTGATTAGATTAAGAGAATTAGGTAAGTTAGTTAATCATAAAAAATATGATATGTTTTTCCTAAAATACCATAAATCATCTTTCTTAATATTCTTACTCCATCTTCTACTTGATTATGGTTGAGGGAGTATCTATAGGGATAATATAAACAAATGACAAATATGAGAAATATGTCTTATATTTAGGATTAAAATCAGCTCAATAATTAGATCATATATTAAGGATCATAGGAGTAAGTATTATCTTTCTTAAAATATTTTTTAATAACGTATATTAAAATGAAAATATTTTAATATATGTAATTATCATAAGAATTACTTAAAACAAATAAATAAATACAAAAGACAAAATAAATTAAAATATTATATTTAGAATCAAATTAAATTTTTAACTAAGTTTTATATTTAGATACAGAGTTACTGTCCGTAAACACAAAAACCTTTCCGTTACGATTAATTCTCCAAGATTAGCAAATTTCTGGAATTAATATTTCATGAAGTTATCGTTGAAACAATTTATCTAATTTGATGCCCCAAAAAATTGTTCTTCTGTTTTCTATCCTCCACGATTTTTATCGCAGATGCTCTGGACAACGTCAGGTTTCGCCCGGGGAAGCACACCGCCGTTACTGCAGTCTTTGTCTCCGGTCTTCCTCTAATGATTAAACCAATTTGATAAAAAGAAAAGAAAAGATAATTAATTAATTTTTATTTTAGTTTATTGTTCTCAAAAAAAAAAAATCATACAATAATAAGGAAGATTGTTTTGCATAAAAATTTTTCCACACACTTGGAAGAATCCTATTAGATTCTCAGATACCCATTTCAAAAGCCTATTACCTCGTCCCTCTCCCTCCCTGTGAGTATTCTTCGAAGTTAGCTTTTCTGTTAAGCTGATAATAGTTCGAACAGTGGAAAGTGGGTTATATTCTAATATTGATCATTTGAGCCTAATCATGTACGTTTCCCGAAAGAACGTCTGAATCATCTCCAACTGGCAGAGAATATTGGTTGAGCAGGAAACTGCATCAAAGATGACAATGGATGGCTTAGCGATGAAGAGTGGTTTTGGTTCTGCAAGAAAAGATGCCTCCACTGACCAAGAAGTGCTTGAGGTCCTGTAGTAAAAGACACTTCACATAGTATCTTAAGCGATATGCACAAAGCTAATAGTTGGCTCCTCCATTCAAGTCCACTCGCGAGCAAAAATTCCCCATCTTTATTCTTTTCACATAATGGATGATTCTCAACAAGGGAAACTGGACACATGAAACTTGAATTTCCCTGGCACACGTCACCCGCTGCTCGGCCTATCAATTGTTGAACAAGGTTTGCTTTTTGAGCAACGAATGCCTCATAGCTTAAGGGGAATCCTGATGGATCGTCCCCAGGAGAAGCAGCAGCATGGGTCAGAGTAAGAATGGCACGTTGCCAAATTGATTTATTGAGAGAACTTGTGATGGATTTTAATACCGGCAAGTCATTGAAATCCCAGGATAGGGAATCTAGTCGATCGACATAGAGAATGACATCAAAAGGGAATTTTTTCATATACCTCTTTATAGATGCCAATATCTTTCGGTTGAACGCTTGCTCCTTCATCGGGGGCCTAAGACCAGGTGTGTCAAGGATTCTGATCTTGATCCCTTGTATAGTACCAGCAACCTCATTTACAGAGGCTGTGCCAGGTTCGAATGCACTTGTCATGACCTTTGTCTCACCAAAAATAGAATTGATGGTTGCACTCTTTCCCACTCCGCTTCTCCCAAGAACTAGAATGTTCAGAGAAAAGTCTAAATCATCGTCATGTTTTTCTTCAAGCTTCTTAGCCAGAATTTTAGCTGATTCAATGACAAAATCCTGAGTAGAAAGTCTTCCAATATCTGCAACTAATCTGCATAAAATTTTCGAAACAAAGGGATCTTCGAGAGATAGATTGATTCGTTGGATAAGCCTCAGGAACTTCACACTTAAGGGCTGTATCTTCTTAACCTTTTCCTTTTCTTTAGCACTTACGTTGTGCTTGGATCCATTCTGACTTTCAAAATCTAGCAAGGCAGTGAGATTAGGAAGATCTTTCTCAATGATAACGTTTGATTCATCAGCAGAGGTGAATGTAAGTCTGTTGCAATTTAACTCACCATTACTAATTGCATATAGGAAAAATTCATCATCTTTCAGCAAGTTTAATCTCTCGCGTGAGATTTGGCCCGGCTGCTCTTGTTGACAGTTCTTATCAGAAGGACCCTCTGAACCCAAAAGAACAGAAAGAGCTGAAATTTGTTCCATAAACTGCTCATGGCCAGCTGAAATCAAGCCTTCTGCATCCCCAACTAGAGAAGAACCAGATCTCTTTGATTCGTGGCTCATTGCACTTAACTCAACAGTAGGCTGTCTTTTTACAGTCTCCCCCAAATTGGGACCTCTTTCTACATGGCCATGCGAATGGCAATCACTACACAGCTTATCTTCTGAATCATTTTCCAAATATACAGTCTGTTGAATTAGTCCTGGCTCTGAAAATTTAGCAGACTCAGCAGTAGGAATATTCTTACATTTGCAAGCATCATTGATACTGAATTCGAAACTAGCAGAAGCGTCATTCAAATTGATTTTTGAATTAATTGTAGATTTGTATGTGCTTCTCAGCTTCTCATTCTCACATTTTATGTCAAGATTGGATCCTCGACTACCAGTAGCTGCAGCTTCTAGAGTTGGGAGGCAAGATCCACTTCCTGTACATTCCATACTATTGGCATCTAAAACTAGTTCAATCTGTGTTTCAGGGTTCTGTTCTCGCAGAACATGGGCAGAAGTATCCGTTTTCAGACATTTGCTTTTCTTTAGATCCTCAATATTGGAAATTAACAGGCCGAAGTCACCAATCATAACTGAAGTTCCTTCTCCCATTTCAGTTGCTTCTTTGGCCTCCGCCTCTAACTTTCTTTGTGGTATGGATTTCACTCTTACTGCATCAACCTCTATAATATTTAGGGTGTCTCCTGCCAACCTATGCGTGTCATCTAGTTTGAAGTCTTCTTCATTCTCTAGCTCATCTGATGCTATCTTTACTTTGCCAAGTTGCTCAGTATTCAAACTGATTCGTGAATCCTGTAATATAATACATGTATCAGTCGCCATCGAATATTCTTCTTGAGCTACTCTATTTTCTACAACTTTGTCAAGAGTCTGCTCGTATTCTACATCGGCCAATCTCTTATCTGCCATGAAACTCTCATGTCCGTTTTCATCTTCGATCAAATTACCAGAGCTCAAGTCGCCAGCAAATGTCAAATCCTTTGCATTATATGATTGATCAAAGGTTGGAAATTCCCTTAACATCAACATTTCCATATCCTCTTCTTCAGCATTCAATACCTTAATTTTGGGCAAACCAATAAAGGTCTCAGGCACGTCAAAATCATCATGTTCAATAAAATTGACAGAACTCCTATAATCAGCAACTGTCAACTCATTTGCAGCAAAAGAATGCTGAACAGTTCTTGACATCAAAGTTTCATTCTCTTCTTCCTCAACATTCACTGCCTTAATTCTGGGCAAACCAACAAAGTTCTCGGACATATCAGCGCTTAACTGTTCAATAAAATTATCAGAACTCAAATGATTCGCAACTGTCCACTCGTTTGTGATAAAGGCTTGGTTCACAGTTGAAGAGTCCCTCCACGTTGAAGTTTCCAGCTCATCAGCATCCACATCCGCTGCCTTAATTCTGGGCAAATTAACAAAATTCTCTGGCATATCAATGCTTGGCACCCTCACAGCATTAAAATTTTCATCACCTTCAATTTCATACGCCGCTTCTTCCTCATCGTGATCATCATAACCAGACAAATGGGCAAAAGGCATAACCCGCAAACTCGTATCCCCCTCAACACTCTCTTCTTCCTCTTCGCATGAATTACCTGTTGGGTATGCTTCTGGATCAACAATTAAAGGCCTTGTCGACACCATTCCGAACTCGTCACCACTCACAAAGCCCTCGGACTCAGACCCACTATTTGTATAAGTACCATTGCTGGAAGCATCAAATTCAGAATCATCAAGAGTAAGAGGAGCTCGGATAGGAAGAAAACCTGAAAAGGACGGCTTTTCCGGCAGCATTGGCGGGGCAGAATGGGAGAAGCGAGTTTTTGAAGGCATGGCAGGATGGTAAGGCGCTGCTGTAGGTTGCCGCCAACAAGAGGAGACAACCGTAGAAGCTGAAAGCGTAAGTTTCAACTTTAGGATTTTGGCGTCAATGGGCGCCCTGATTTAATATTTAGATCTAGTTGGCGGAAAAACGTATCTGGATGTAGACTTCGCTGATTCTTTTTCTTTTTTTCTTTCTTTCTTTTCAATTAAAATACTTCCTCCAGTTGTAATTATAAAAACTAATTGATTAATTTAAAAAAATTTAAAAATAAATTAAATTAGTTATTTGTAATAAATAGATATTATCTTTTTTAAAATATTCTTACTAATCAAATGTGTTTGCTAAAATTATCATTATTAGAAGGACTACCTTAAAAAAAAGTATAAATATTAGAGACAAAGTGGATTGGGGTCTTATAATAGGGTTTTATATTAAGAACTGAAGGTAGCATTAAAGGGGTGATATTTCATAATTTTATCCGCATTAACTACAGTAATTTCATCCTCATATTATCTTTACTCCAATATATAGTTTTCAATCATTGGCAAAAATACATAGTTTTTAATATAAGGTATGTATAACGTAATTAATGTTCCAATAAACACACAGAATGATTCATAGAAAAAACTTAGTTAATGCATAATTTCAGATTTCATTATCATCTTCCAAAAATCACAAAATTGGTTTGGGGTATTTCATTATTATCTTCCAAAAATTACAAAATTGGTTGGGGTCTCCGTTCGGTTGGGTAAGAGTTAGTAAATGTTTGGCTGGCCAACCACCCCCCATGAATAATGGAATATTGAAATGCGACTGTTAGCAAAAACACAGGGAAAGTTTAAAAATAAAAGTGCGATTCATACGCACACTCAATTTGTTTCAACTCACGTACTTTATAAAGCCAGATTTTATTTAAAGTGGGACTTTCCCAATTAAGGCACCGTTTGGATGTACTTGCAAACTATGGTTTGGAAACCCAAATCATGGTTTGCACAAAATGCTATCCAAACCCCCCCTCAAAAATCAAAACCATGGTTTTTCAACTTATATAAATATATATACATGTATTATTAATTATGTTAATAAAAATTATATTATTAACAATTTGGCTCCAAAACCATTATCATATTAACTTAAATTTGTATATACAAATGCTTCTGATAACAAAATTTCTCCAGAATTTGAAGTCTGTTCACAGTCGAGTATGAGATTAATTAAGGGAAGCGTGTATCCGAGTCCTTTTAGGATCCATGTATCTTTTAATAATTCGATTTTCTTGAAAGTGAGACTTTCCTATATTAAGTCAAAAGTCCCCCACGGAAAGAAAAATAAAAATCTACTCACACTTACACACATATAATGAAATTGAGAGTTGTTGAGTTGTTGTGCGTGCGTGCGTGCGTGTGTTTTTTTTTAACCAGTGTCCCTATGCCAAATCAATCATAATAACGAGAAAAATACATAAATGGACTTAATTTATGGATCTTTTATTAAACCCTAATTGTACTTTTTTTTTTGTTATTGTCCATAATATCCTCCCACCTAATGGTAAGAGACTAATCTCTCAGGTACTGTCAAACGCGTAGCGAAGACCCTTCCCAATAGTATTTTTTTCATACACACCATCCAAAAATCGAACCCAGGATATGATGTCTAAGATATCCAAATTCTTCTATTGGACTAACACTTATTGGTAACCCTAATTATACCTAATGTAAGACCATTGTGGTCAACGGAAAGTTCTCAAGGCTCGGAGCATATAAGTGGGCTTGGTTCATGGGCCCACCATGGTCAAGTTAAATCCAATATTGTGGTTCGGCGGAAGGATGTCACAGCAGCTTCGCAGAACAAGATTTGAATCCCCACCTAAAAAAAAAAAAAATCTCCAATCGTGCTTATGAAAAAAAAATTATTGCGTGTGAGAGAGAAATATCACTTAACATTCCGGGAAGGAAATTACAACCTAGACTAACAAATAGAGCCCTCATGGGAAACATGAGACCACAATTTGGCTAATGCTTTGAACATGACTAGAAACTTAAGTTTAGTAGAAGAACGGCACTATCCTCGGATTCTTCTAAGGACTAACTGTCTTGAAAACTGACAGAGCATGAATGGGTGGTAATTTTGACTGGCAGAAGTTCTGCCACGCCTCGAGCTTCTGTTCCTCGTCTTTAGTAAGCGCCTCGTACATAGAAGTTGCAATGCTTCTTGCAGCTTCTCTCGCCTCCGGCAGCCTATCATTCAGCAGATCAGCCGCACTCTGATCATCTCTCCCATCCCAAACTCTTCCATTTCTTCGAGCCCCTGATGGTAAGGTCATGTCATGTACTTTGAACATTAATAACTGCACTGTGTAATAATAAACCCCAGAAAACAAGCAGCTTAGCTCAATTGTACATCAAATTTACCATATTGGAGACGCTGTTGGAGAGAGGTACAGCAAGGACTAACTGTCTTGAAAACTGACAGAGCATGAATGGGTGGTAATTTTGACTGGCAGAAGTTCTGCCACGCCTCGAGCTTCTGTTCCTCGTCTTTAGTAAGCGCCTCGTACATAGAAGTTGCAATGCTTCTTGCAGCTTCTCTCGCCTCCGGCAGCCTATCATTCAGCAGATCAGCCGCGACTCTGATCATCTCTCCCATCCCAAACTCTTCCATTTCTTCGAGCCCCTGATGGTAGGTCATGTCATGTACTTTGAACATTAATAACTGCACTGTAATAAAAAACCCAGAAAACAAGCAGCTTAGCTCAATTGTACATCAAATTTACCATATTGGAGACGCTGTTGGAGAGAGGTACAGCAGCCTTAGCCCTGACTCTGAGGTTGCTATGGCTAACATATGCCCGCAATTTTTGGAGTAGAGGAAGAGGGGCTATTGAAGCCACCATTGAGTTCAGAGCCTTATCTGCTTCTTCACACACAAACCGTTTGTCCTGAGACGCTTTTAGCAGCAGCTGCAGAAGCTGTTAAGATTCGACCCTTCAGTTAACCCCAATCCATCCATTCACAATATCAATAAACGGAAGCAAGATCATGGGAAAGGAAAGGGAGTCACACCAGGCTATCAAATGCATCAGAGGTGGAGGGATCCAGCAATTTATCACCAAAGGATTTGAAAATATCAGAAGCAGCCATAATAGAGGTTTTGCACAGAGCACTTCGAGGATTTTTCATTGTCTTGGCCACCACCGACGCAACTTTCCCCCTGTTTCACAATTTCACATCATATATTTCCAGAAACCCAAATGTGCATGCCTATACTAAAATGGACAACGTGCGCTGCAAAAAACTGTCAATGCACGACCCAGATCAGAACAGGTTACTTACAATTCTGGGAATAGAAGAGAGGAGTGGTACAAAGCGAAGCGCCTAACATCGTTCAGAGCCTCGCAGACATTGAGCCAATTTTTTGAGCCCAGATCTTCGATTAAACCCTAGATTTTCAAAGAACTCAAATTTAGCGCTAATTTTGATGACAGAATTAGTGGCAAAAACAAAATTGATGTGGGTTATTTCTGGGGCAACTCAAATCAAGAACTTACTCGAATCCTTGCTTCAGGATCGGATATAGGTTTAAGATCCTCAGAGGAGATATAATCAACGGTAGCATCCCCGGATGACTGCATCAGAATCTGGTTTTCGTCATTCAGAGGACGTTCAGATTGTTTGGTGGCTGGAAGAACAACTTTCGATTGCTTTCTAGGCCTCTCGGTTGCCGTGGGAAGAGCGTTATCAATTGGTCTGAGAGGCATGGTTGTAGACGATGAAGACTGAAGTAGGAATACCAACAGAGTAAAAGCGGAAGATCAGTATAAAACTTGTGGGGCTGGCTTGATTCTGATGAGGAATCAAATAGCATTCGCCTTTGATGTATAAAACTCACTTCAAAATTTGAAAAAGGGCAAGAGACGTTGATGCGTTCGCGTAACGGTAACATTTCAAAAGCTGGATGGATGGGTAACGGATCAGACTTAGGAATTCAGAATTAATTAGCCAGCATCCGGAATATGTCGGGATAGTATGGTATTGTCGTAAATTGGCGGGCCGGGCCACCGCTGAGCTTTTTTGGGCCAAAATTGTCCAATGGGTTTTTTTGCCAACTGTCCAATGGGTCCGTCATGATATTGGAATGTAATTAAAAAGGAAATATAACTAAAAAATGTTTGTACCAAAAAAACAAACTAAAAAAAAAAAAGTGATTTAAAGATATAGTTGTTTTGTATATTGTCTGCTAAAAAAACCCATAAAAGCCAATATTGTTGGTTGATAAAAATAGGAACACAATAATAATATTATATATATCTAAATTATTGTATAGTGAACAATACTCAAGTAACCGCCGCGTTGAACTTGTGGCGAAAATTAATTTTGAAGCTCTCCGAATCCAGATGACAATAACATCAAACCTATGAGGAAAAAATTAACTTGCTTTATAATGAAAAAATTAACTTGTATGTGTGTATTAATAGTAAATGGGAAACAATTATCATTATATTTTAATAGCATATATATATTTTTTAATAAAGGTGAGTGGATAATTTGTTGAGGATTTGAATAGCTTTTGTCTCAAAAAATTGTCCTGAATACTTCACACGATTTTCAATTATAATAACAAATTAAAATGTGTTAAAAGAAATAAGAACTCCAGCGAGTGAGAGAGAGAGAGAGAGACGAAACACATCACATATCCAAAAAGTATAAACATATTCCCACAAAAGAAAGCCTAGTTATGGATGAAAGTTTCTTCCAGCAGCGCATGATGCCCTTTTCTTCCCGCGATCCATTAATCACGGTCGAACGCGCTGTTTTTGTTTCGGTGGTCCTGGGGCTTATGTTACGCACTTGTTAGTGACAAGCAACCAACTGAAGCAAAGTGAGCGTGCGAGGGTGTGTTATTGTCATCTTACTTGAATCGAGGACGACGGTGATCATGATGATGCCTTTGATCTCTTGCATTCTCTGACACTCTGCCTCAGGAATCCCTTCTCGCATTTATTTCATGCGCATGGACCCGCAATACCCTAAACCTCGATCCTATGCACCACAGATGGAGATGACGATTCCCCCCTCCCAGCTTTCCGACAATGATCGGAGCAGCTCCGAATTGCGAGCTCTCGATTGTAACCTCACTTCGCTTTGCGAGCACATCCAGATGGAAGGCTTCAATTCCGGCTCATTCTCCGACATTGTGCTCCATGCAATGGGTTCCACTTATCACCTCCATCGCCTTATCCTTTCTCGGAGTTCTTACTTCAGGTGACGATAATATAAATTTCCAGTGAAATTTCGTTTTTTTTTTTTTTCCTTTTACGCCCTCTTATCCATTTCATTCATTAAGTTGTTCTTTTTCCTCTCCTTTCGTTTTGTTTCTTAAATTTTGCATCCTTATTGAGTCAACTCCTTTTACTTGTTTATTTTTTTATTTTTGTTTTTTACAAATGATCGCTGTTACTGAATTCGTTGATGCTATAACTATTTTGGTTCTATCTGCATCCCCATCGCACTCTGGAAATTACAGTGATGATGATGATGATTAAACTGTTATGACATAATAGGCCGTTGTGCTGATACATTTATCATTACTATTGAAAAATGGCTAGACTTTTCGAGAATTTAGATGATCAGGCGGATATAGAATCTAGAAATAGTTGTGAGAGACATCATCTAAACTGAGGAAGTGTCCATGTTGTAGAGGACCATCTGTGTGGAGCACCCCAACAAGTTTTTAAGAAAGGAGATGCCTAATTCTTTTTAAAGTATTAAGTATTACTGCATTTGTGCCTTTTAATTTTTTGTGTTAAACTGGAGAATGATACCTACTATCTATCATGAAGCGTTTTTAACCCCAACAGGTTTTACCTTTTATGAATTTTAAGATGTAGATGACAACAGTTAAATGTTTCTTCTCTTCCTGAACATATTTCTATGCCTGAATCTCCATTATCTTTATGTTTATAATGATAAATTAAAGTTCCTTGTTTGTTGGTTTGAAAAAATCAGTGTTTATTGTCTAATGTGTCTGTCAGGAATATGCTTCATGGTCCCTGGAAAGAAGCCAGTGCTCCTATTGTGACCCTGCATGTTGATGATAAGAATGTTAATGATGAGGCAATCACAATGGCCTTGGCATATCTCTATGGGCACCACCCTAAGCTTAGTGATAGCAATGCATTTCGGGTTCTTGCTGCCGCATCCTTTCTTGACCTCCAGGTATCATGTTTGCATAATGACTTAAAAGTCATGTTTTATCTTCAAAATTTATGATTCCGGCCAAAAAAAAAAAAAAAACTTCAAAATTTATGATATTTTAAGTCATGCCAGACTTCTCTTTTATCTACGGTTTTTCTACTATTGGTTCTTGTTTAGTTACATTCTTAAAGTTGTTAAAGGTTTTTTTTTTTTTTTTTTTTTGTGACAAAAGTTGTTAAAGGTTTTGTTTTGACAAATCTATATATCCGTGCAGGACTTATGTGCTATATGTACAGACTTCATTATATCTGAGCTGTGGACTTCAAATTTCTTGGCTTATCAGGTTCTAGATGCTTGTATACATCTTTGGGAAATGCCTGTTTGCTATATAAGTTTCTGGGTTAATAGTTGGTGTCATATGATTGTGCACTAGGTATTTGCAGAAAACCAAGACTATGGCATTCACGGGGAGCGTGTTAGAAATGCTTGTTGGGGCTACCTCTGTCAAAGCGGTGGCATGGAGTTGAAAGAGGTAATGAGGAAGATAGGTTCACCTACTTGCACCTGGTAGCTGGGTCAGTCGTTTTTGATGTGATATGAAGATTAGGTTCCCTTAAACATCATTCGAAAGGAGCAGTGCTTATCTCATATGCTTGCTGCTGCTGATTAATAACATAAGATCTGAAGTTGAGTTTTAATTAATTTTGGTGATTACTTCCCTTGTAGTCTGTAATATATTGGTTGAGAAGATTTTTTCCATGTCCTCTGGCTGATCTAACTTTTAAACTTAGGATATTGTTGTTGAATAATGCCATTTTCATTTGTTTGTTTTTTCAAAGGAAAGGAAATGGGAGGGGATGGGTAATGATTCTTAATTATGCTGGCAATTCAGGTTCTTGTATTATTGCTTGTTCCAGGTGCTTCCGAAACTTTCTTCTCAAACGGTACATGCACTACTGACCTCTGATGAACTGTGGATACCAAGTGAAGAGAAACGGTGAGTAGTTTCTGAGCCTCTAGTTGGATTTTGTGGTTAGCCGGTTGAATTTATGATTCACATAACATTTGCTCTGTTTTTGTAAAAGGTTTGGATTGGCATTAGACACATTCCTGGCAAAAAATGCTCACTGGAAAGCTGAGCATCCTGAGCAAGGAAGTTCTGGTTCTGAGTCTGCAACTAATAGTCATTCTGATTCTGATAATATCAAGGGAAAAAGTGGACCTGATAGCAGCACAAGTGATAGGTTGGGAAATGATCTAGGGCGTCTGAATATTAAAAGTGATGTAAAGGACACCATTGATCATAATCAGCAAGTCGAGCCTGCAGACAGTGTGACACGCTTCAACAAGGAGGATTCTGATTCTAATGAACTGGCACAAACAACATCATTTTCTGGTTCATCAAATTTGGAACCTAGATATGCTTGCAACATGGAAGGGCCTTCGTCAATCAGTAATTTGTTGTCGGAAAAAGATGGGATCAGAACATCATGTTCTTATGTTGAGATGCCTGTCAATGTTGGAGCGACTGGAGTATCTATTGAAGGGCCATCTGAGGAAGGTTCAAATTCTTCCTGCAATGGCCTCACATCCGGTGAATGGGGAAGATACAGCATGCCTCTTTTTCCATGGGGTGGCCGGGTAGTTGGTGGAAGACGACTTAAAGCTCACTCCAAAGGAAAGTATGGAATTCATGGGGATGAACATGAAGCTTTTGTAAATATCTTTGAAGGAGGTTCTCTTTTATACTGTAATATGTCTTTTGAGGCACTTCTGAGTGTCAGAAAGCAACTTGAAGAATTAGGCTTCCCTTGCAAAGCTGTAAATGACGGCCTTTGGCTGCAGGTTTGACAGAATTATTTGATTATTAGCTTAGCACTGTACTTAAGACTTGAAGCTTGTATCAAGTTACCATTTTGAGTGTGGAAATTATTGCTATAAAAAATGCTTTTGACTCTTTTTTTCCTCCTATTTTCCTTTCAAACAGATGCTTCTTAGTCAGAGGGTGCAAGAAATTGCTGCTGATACATGCAAAGCTTGTTCTCTCGTGAGTGCAGCATGCACCTGCCGGCAGCCATTTGCATTTTCTCAGGGAGTTACCACTCCTAGTTACTACATGCAAGAACACAACCAGAATAATAATTCTGGGAACATGGGAAACATATATGTTGCTGAGTCTACTCAAAGTGAAGGAACTGGCATATTTAGACCTGTACGAGTACATGTTAGAGGTGCTATTGATGGGCTTGCAGGTATTGGCCGAGGAACTACCTTTGTGCCAACATCTGCTTCACCTCCTACACGTTTTGTCTTCTCTCGCGTGCCATTTGGTGTTGGCAACAGAAACTACCCGCAATCTGCGGCTAATGATGATTCAGAGACACAAGCTGACCACAATGGAGACATGTCTGGAGATGGGTTGACAGCTTTGGTTGGGCTAAGTCAGGGAGGGAGTAGTGGAACCAATGCACATGGAGAGATGTCACAAAAGGGATGTGAGACTGGCATGCGAAGCAGAATCTCTGGAACTGCTGCTGGAGGCCCGAGCACTGGTGGCATTCCCATGCAAATGTTAGAGGCACCAGAACATGCCATAGGAATAGAATGGGAGAATACTAGCAGTTCTTCTATATCATTGGATTTGAAGACACCTTTAAGTCATTTTCCTCCATTTCGTTTTGGGTGAGTTAGGTTCTGTGCAACTATTAAACTGTAAGGATAAAGTAGCTTATGTGTTGAAATCTGTTTTGTAGGTTAGTTCGATGCCTAGTTCTAGTTTTTTCCTGGATGTTAGATATAGTTACTTCTAGTTCTCCTGGGTCATGCTTTGCAATATTAGTATCTATAATATTAGTTCTAGTTCTCCTCACTGTTGATGCTGTTAGTAGTGTGAGATTGACCAAACTTTTGTTGGACCATCAGTCCCATATTCTATTTCCTCTCACTCACTTGTGTCTCTACTATATGGTGTGGCTGCATGGGCTCATGGAGTCCCATCACCCATCATTGACCTTCTTAGTATGATCCCTGATGTCTCTATCAAATAGGATATGATCTTTTGAAATTTTTGGTCATCCAAGAGGGCTTTTAGGGGCCTTTTGCAATTTGTTATTTTATTTTGTTTTTAGTGCTCTTGTTGTTGTTGTATTTTTTTTTAATATTTCATTTGCAATTGTTTTATGAAATGACAAATTCATATGCTTTTGTTTGAGCTGCTTTTGTTCATTTTATTTTGTTTTGTCTTCTCCTTTTCTTTTTTAAATATTTGGGCATGAGTTGCATAAATTTCTCAAATTACTGTAAATTCCTTGCTGATTTTACAGGGTGCAATTTGAGGATGTGCACAGGCTTGGTGATGGTCAGGTGAAGCATTCTCCAGAAGTGTTCTATGCTGGTTCTCTATGGAAGGTACTAGAAATTCAATTAAATGTCATATTCATGCAAGCCTGAGTTCACGTGTCCTGGTAAAATAAATTCATTGGATTGAATTTTCAGGTCAGTGTACAGGCTTTTAATGATGAAGACCCCCAGGGACGGAGAACTCTTGGTAATGTTTTTATGATTCAAATTGATGTTCATATGGAAGTAGAGAAAATCTGCCGTCTATCGGGCAACTAATTATCAATATTATTACAGGATTGTTTCTTCACCGTCGGAAAGCAGAAATTGCTGATTTACATAGAAAGGTTAGCAAGATCTTTTTGTATTTAAATAATTAGGCATTGAAGAATGTTTAGGGTTGTATACAGCTTTTAATAGATGAAATGCTTTATACTATAAGTGAAAGGGTCGGTAGCAGTCACTTGGATCACTTCAAGGAGGATGCCATTTGCCTCTTATGGTGTGATGGGCTACCAAACGAACCTGATGATTGATTTTCAGGGATCTTGGCTGAACATTTTTAGCCAAAACCGCAAACAATAATTTTAATTTTTAACTAGAACTCAACCCAGTTTCATGGTTTACTTTTTTAAAAATGATTTTTAGGTGCACATGTATGTGGATTCCCGTGAAAAGGTGACTGCTCGCTATCAGGTAATATTTGTAGTGAATTTACGGCTTTTATCATTGTAGTCTATTGAGGGTAATAGATCTGAATAATAATTCGGGCCTTGAAATTCAGTTGATTTGCCCATCAAAAAGGGAAGTGATGGTGTTCGGAAGCTTTAAACAAACGGGCACTCTTCTACCTAAAGCTCCCAAGGGATGGGGTTGGCGAACTGCTCTGCTATTCGATGAGCTTGCTGATCTTCTGCAGAACGGGGCCCTTCGAATAATTGCTGTAGTGCAGCTCGTTTAAATTAAGGGGGCGGAATTTTCTACTGCATAGTAAGCTGTCGATGCTTTATGTGATTCTGTGAACGTCAGATAGCTAAATTCTCTTGCCTTTGTAGAGAAATATCATTCTTTTCCTTGTCAGAGAAATGATATAGAGGAGATGAACCACAGTCAAATAGCGCATGCATCTCTATGACTAGTATGCCAAGATGCAACATAAATTGTATAGATGTTACCTGACTTGTTGGCAATAATTCTAACTCTTGTCCAGCAGAAAAAATATTTAGTTTTTATTTCGAGCGTATGTAGCTCATAATGGGCGTGTGATCATGGTATGTTGTTCAGTTGTTGATTCTCATTTAGCAAGACATTCTACTACGTGCGTGCGATAGAGAGAATACTATATAATAACACAAATGCTTCTAACCTATATGATGATGAGCCGCAATTCTTGATCATGCATGCGGCCTGCAATTTTTCCAAATGGTTTTTTTATTTATTTTATTTTATTTTTTATTTTTATGGGGCCATCACTGGAAATTGGGGTTCTCATGAGTGGAATAGGGGCCCTTCCCACTTGCGTACAAAGTTTGGACAGAATCAAGTTGGTTGGTCATCCTTGACAAGGCAGTATGAAATGTGGAGCGCCAAAGACTTGTAAGCTAGTGACATTGATGCTCTTAGTGAGTAGGAGGTTCACAGGTTTAATCCGGCCCCTTTAATTGAAAAAAAAAAAGTATGAAATGTGGATCTGTAGCCCGAGGGTCAAGTCAATCAAATTACTCTTGGAAAAGATGTGTTTTTCAAAGAAAAAGTTATTTGTAAGAGTGATAATTATCAAGTTCGAATCCTAAAACTTCTAAATGATTAAAAAACATAAAAAAGCTCTTTTCTTAAAACAATGATTACTTTTAAAAAGCTTGAATAGACAATTAAAGACAAATAAATTCCTCGTACCTAACTTAATATTTTCTTGGCTTAAATAAGCAGCTTTAAAGATAACAAACACATATTCTGAGCTGACCCTGAGAGTAACATAATAGTGTGATTATGATATTCAAATATTCAATAGTTTAAAAGCCTCGAAAAGCAAGGCCGAAAAAAAGAAGAACTTTAGAAAAATAAATATTGCACGACTTCCTCGCTTCTTCTCCGCCTTCATTTGATCTTATTTATTCCTTTGATTTTCTCAGTTTTTTTTCTAAACTTCGACTAGGTACGACCAGTCTAATTTAGAAAAATAACTTTATTCCTTATACTTTTATTTTTTAAAACAATAAGGAAACAGTAAAAAAAAAAAGAAATATAAGGAAACCAACGTATTGTTGTGGGTGACAGCGTTGACGCATGTTTATACTCGTTTGGATTGACTGAAAGCTTTTTATCTGCTCTAACTCATGGGTGTGGTTCACTTACAAATCTTTATTTATTTTCTTTTGGTGTGGAGCTTCCAAGACGCATATAATTGAACTAAATATTATGTAATTACTTCTTTTTTGGTACAGAATATTATGTAATTACTTAATTCAGCGTGCTGAATGCTCGCCCATATTATTTTAAGTGCAACGACAATCCCACACAATTTGCATGCAAACTGCGCAGAAACAAAAGTTTGTATGTTTGCGATAATCCTTAAAAAAACAAAACGAGAAAATCAAAGTATTGTAGGGTTTGATGCCACCCCTAGAGAAGTTTTAATATCTATTCTACCTCAAAAAAAAGCTATCATCTTGGCTATACGGACTCACAGAATGCTTTTTCAAGAGTTTTTGGGATAATATACATTCCTGATTTTTTTTCCCCCTTCAATTATTAATTCACCATTATTGGAAGATAACAATACAAGTTACCCACAAAAGTATCCAACAGAAAAAAAAAAAAAGGTGCAATTCCTGCAGTATCTAGTCATTCTTCTCTCAAATTTGTGCAACCACCGAAACTTTTAGTCGTACGTTATAAATTTAAATAATTTTGTAGTGGGTTTGATATGTTAATTACTTTGTTGCAGTCGCATCGCTCCTACGCCTTGACCTTGACTTGAGTAAATACTAAAGGCGCTGAGTTTTGACCTCCAGACCATTAAATATATATATATATATATATAGTATCTTATATGCGTGCACACAAATCGTGTCTCGCATGGCATTTTTTAAGTTTTCCAATGTCACATCATTCATCTTCATCGCCTCACACGACCACATCCAATCACAGACGTTATTATAACAGTCCATTCTGCAACTCCGGCGGAGAAGTTCCCGCACTGTGCATTATTCATTCACTCATTCATCATTTTGCTGCCTTTTATTTCATGTTTTGGATGTGTGCTCTTGTACGCTCCAATCCCTCATTGCATGAAATCCGACAGTGATTCCTTTGCTGTAGGACCCCAGAGCTAGAGAGGAAGACAGAAATTTTCACATCTTTCACCATGCCTTCTCCTTCATGGCTCACAAGCCTTACTTGTTCATCTTCCTCCATGGAATTCTCTTCCTCTTCACAACTCTTACATTGGTTCTCCTTCATCCTCCTATCTCCATGTCCTCAACGAGTGTTGTTTTCCTCGGTTGATCTCTTCTTCTTGCTGATTCTTTTAGTCTTCTCCCTTCGGAAATTCTGTTATCGACCCACTTCTTCTGCTGACACCAGCTCATCCATAGCTAGACCCCTTCTGTTTGAAAAGGACTTAAACCACAAAGTTACTTCCTTTTTCCATTTTCCTCTTTTTCTAATCATTCTGTTGGCAATTGCTTACGTGGTCTTAAGCGTCTTAACCTTCACTCACACCTCTCAGACTTCATGGAAACTGATCGAAGCTCTGTTCCGGGGTTCTCAAGCAATAACCAACGTAGTGGTTGTCCTTGTGATGGTGAAAGAGAAGAAGGTTAAAGATACTAAACACCCTTTGTCACTCAGAATCTACTGGGCAGCAAATTTTGTTATTTCTTGCTTATTCGTTGCTTCGGCCATTTATCGATTGGCAAACATCGGTGCAGCAAACTTGGAGTTCAATTTGAAAATTGACGATATACTCTCGATTGTAAGTCTTCCCTTGGCTGTTTATCTATCAATAGTAGCTGTTAAAGGGTCATCGGGGATTCATGTAGTCAAAAGACCAGATTTTGATTCGAGGTCAGCAGAACCATTGTGCCAGAGGCTTCTAACGGAAGAGAATTTGAGTCCTTACGCTTATGCTTCCTTGTTCTCCAAAATGGTGTGGCTGTGGATGAACCCTCTGCTCCAAAAAGGCTACAAGTCACCTCTTAAACTTGATGATGTGCCTTCACTTCCTCCTGAGTTTCGAGCTGAAAAAATGTCAGAGCTTTTTGCGACGAATTGGCCGAAGCCAGAGGAAAGTTGCAAACATCCAGTAGGTATCACACTAGTCAGATGCTTTTGGAAACAAGTAGTTTTCACTGGCGGTCTGGCTGTCATTCGACTTGCGGTTTCCTTTGTGGGGCCAGTGCTTATTCAAAAATTTGTTGATTACACCTCATTGAAAGGAAGCCCTGCCTCCCATGGACTTGGTTTGGTATTGATCCTGCTTCTGGCTAAATCAGTTGAAGTCCTCAGTACCCACCAGTTCAATTTTCACTCTCAGAAACTGGGTATGCTAATTCGTTCCAGCCTCATCACTTCTTTATACAAAAAAGGCTTGAGATTGTCAAGCTCTGCGAGGCAGGCTCATGGGGCTGGACAGATTGTGAATTACATGGCTGTGGATGCTCAGCAGTTAACTGATATGATGTCGCAGCTGCATTGTATTTGGTTGACGCCTTTACAAATTGCAGCTGCTTTGGTTTTGATCTACTGCTATCTTGGCTTGTCCACATTTGCGGCCATGCTTGGGACCATTGCAATGTTTGCTTACGTACTACTGGGTTCAAAAAGGAACAATACTTTCTCGTACAGTATAATGGTGAATCGTGATTCCAGGATGAAGGCCATGACTAATATGCTTAATAATGTGCGTGTCATCAAGTTCCAAGCATGGGAGGAGCATTTTGGCAGCAAGATACGAAATTTTCGTGAGTTGGAGTATCATTGGATTGGGAAGTTCATGTATGCTTTTGCTACCAACATTGGGGTTCTCTGGGTTTCTCCTACTATGATAGCAGTTCTTACCTTTGGAGCAGCAATTCTTCTGGGATTTCATCTTGATGCTGGCACTGTGTTTACAGTAATGTCAGTGATCAAAATACTGCAAGAACCAGTTAGGATGTTCCCTCAAGCTCTTGTTTCCATCTCACAAGCAATCGTCTCCCTTGGGAGGTTGGATGAGTACATTAAAAGTGGGGAGTTGGATGAAAGTTCGGTAGAGAGAGTAGAAGACAATAACAGTAACGTAGCTGTGGAAATAAAAGAAGGGTCTTTCTCATGGGATGATGAAGGAGAGAAGGTGGCTCTGGAAGTTTCAGAGCTGGAAATAAAGAATGGGGCTCTCGCTGCAGTTGTTGGAACTGTTGGATCAGGAAAGTCTTCACTATTGGCTTCGGTGTTAGGGGAAATGCACAAGATCTCAGGACAGGTTTGTTTGCGCTCAATTTTACTCTCCCATTGTTGCATGCCTGACTTATGGAAGATTCCGTGGCATCATTGGTGTCCATGTTATATAAGAATCCAAATTAGGAGCAGATATAAAATTTTGTCCCTCGGAAGGCCTAAAGCCTTGTCCTTCGGGAAAAAAAAAAAAAAATCTGTAGACTAAAGCATAAAATTACGTCATTACTCTCCTAGTTTCTACTTCATTACACATTTACAAAGAAACTAGTTATTGTGTTTTTCAGATGCCATAAAAGGAATTTTATTTACATGTATCAAATTCTTATAGGTCAGAGTAGGTGGGAAAACAGCTTATGTAGCACAGACTGCGTGGATCCGGAATGCGACGATTGAAGAGAACATATTGTTTGAATTACCGATGGATAGGGAGAAATACCGGGAAACCATCAGAGTGTGTTGCCTGGAAAAGGATCTTGAGATGTTAGAACATGGAGACCAGACTGAGATTGGAGAAAGGGGTATAAACCTCAGCGGTGGCCAAAAGCAACGCGTACAACTTGCTAGAGCTGTGTATCAGGACTGTGACATCTATCTCCTTGACGATATATTTAGTGCCGTTGATGCTCAAACTGGAACCTTTATCTTTAAGGTCAGCTAGGCTTCAGCTCAACTTTCCTCAAATATTTCTATCGCTTCTTTGGCGCACACGCTTTCAATATCTTAGAGCTGTATATCATGCTCTTTTATGTTGGTTACGTACTGCTGGTCCTATAAAATGTGACGTCCGTTCGCGTAATGAATAGTCGTAACTGAGGTTCCACAATCTGGGTCAATCCAAATGATGGATCTTTTTTTGGTGTTCCTAATATAATGCTGTTTTATGAAACAACGATATGAGGTATGAAGCCCCATATAGCAGAGAGTGGGATTATATGGTGCTTAAACTTTCTAATTTATTTATTTTTCCTGACACTCAACATACGTTTTTCCTTATAAGAAATCTGGTAACGAAGGCCTATTAATAAAAAATGAAAAAAAAAAAACCTGACAACAAATACATGAAACTCAAAGTTGGGTTCATGCATAAACTGTTGGTGCCACCAATACGATGACAAATAATGAAAGGTATTGATCGGTCTAATTTGTTGCAGGAATGTGTTATGGGAGCTCTCAAGGACAAGGCAATTATCCTTGTAACCCACCAAGTTGACTTCTTGCATAATGTGGACCTCATAGCAGTACGTATACCCTCGCAAGTCTCTCAAATCTATATCTTCAACTTTTCAGCATAGTTTATTTCCACAAAAGTCATCTTACTGATGACTAGAAAACTCACGACGCAGTAGTTGTTTATGGAAAGATGCATTACTTGTATTCCATCAAAATCATCCCTTGGTATGATAACATTAATTTTCTTGAATTAAGCACGAACTAAAAATATTATGAAATAACCGACCTTATACTCAAGTTGTTTCAACTGCTAAACTTGAACTTGCGTGGTGCCAACAAAAAGGTCATGCGAGATGGGAAGATCGTGCAACGCGGAAAGTACAAAGAACTTCTGGAATCTGGCCTGGATTTTGGCGCACTTGTGGCTGCTCACGAAGCCTCTATGGAACTTGTAGAAAGGACTGACACATCTGGTTGCGCTTCTGGTCCACCTTCAAAACAAGGGGAAAGCAGTGAGAAAATAAACTCCCAAGAGGAAGACAAGTCTGATTCTGATAAGGGAACATCAAAGCTCATTGAAGATGAGGAGAAAGAAACCGGCCGAGTCAATTTCCAAGTATACAAACAATATTGCACCGAAGCATATGGATGGTGGGGAGTAGCAGTAGTCCTGCTAATGACTCTAATTTGGACTGCAGCTATGATGGCTGGAGACTACTGGCTGGCATTTGAAACTTCAAAAGATCGCTCCTTTAATCCCACTCTATTCATTGGCGTGTACGCCGGTATTGGAGTTATTTCATGCATAATGGTCATAATCAGATCGTACGTAGTAACACATTGGGGTCTAAAGACAGCTCAGAGCTTCTTCACTGGAATGCTTCAAAGTATTCTCCACGCACCAATGTCATTCTTTGATACCACTCCTTCTGGCAGAATTCTTAGTCGTGTGAGTCTACAACTTCCTTCAACTTCTAATATTTGCTAGGAAACAAGATGAGCTTGCATTCTCCATAATAAAAATGCTGTTGGACTTACTATCTTTTGTCTTGGGCTTGTGTAGATGTCTGCGGATCAACTCTTTATCGATATAGTAATTCCGATGTTCATCGGCATGGTCATGATGACGTACCTCTCATTACTTAGCATCTTCTTCGTCACTTGCCAAAATGCTTGGGAGATTGTCTTCCTTATTCTTCCATTGATTTGGCTCAACAACTGGTACCGGGTAGGATACATGAACTGACCTGTTGATTTATTTGTGCAGAATTTGCCGAGGTACTACAGAATTTTTAAGTTTATTCAACCCGTGAACTTGATTTTGTACTTTGCAGAAATATTACCTTGCATCTTCTCGGGAATTGACTCGGCTTGATTCTATTGCAAAAGCTCCTGTGATTCATCAATTTTCAGAGACCATTTCTGGTGTCATGACAATCCGTGGCTTTAGGAAACAAGGCGCATTTTGTGAGGAAAATATAAATAGGGTGAATGCAAACTTGAGGATGGAATTCCACAACAATGGATCATATGAATGGCTTGCTTTCCGCTTAGACCTGCTTGGAGTGGTTTTCCTTTGCATTGCCACAATGCTTATGATCTTTTTGCCAAGTGCTATCATGAAGCCAGGTACATCCTCAGGGCTCATCTTCTTTTTTTTTTTTTAAGTTCTTTTTTAAGCTGAAGGCCTCATCATGGTTAAGATGCAAGAATTTTTATTGGCAACAACAATGGTCTCTCAGCGAAGTGATGCCATTTTGGTATTGCAGAATATGTTGGTTTGTCTCTATCCTATGGCCTGACTCTGAGTGGTGTTATGGCAATTTCCGTAACTTTGACTTGCCAAGTTGAGAACAAAATGGTTTCAGTCGAAAGAATAAAGCAGTTCTCCAATATTACACCAGAATCTCCATGGAGAATCCCTGATGGCCTTCCACCGCACAATTGGCCCACTCATGGCTGCATCAAGTTACAGGATTTGCAGGTAAACTCCACCCAAATCAGTTTGGACTTGGGAGCCATTTGAAACCTTTATATGACACTTGCCTGTTACACTATCTGTACAATATTACTATTGTATAGACATCAATTAAGATTAGAGTAAACTATAGCATCTCCAGTTATGTGTAAATATGGCGAGCAGGTTCGGTATCGGCCAAATACACCGCTCATTCTGAAGGGAATCACGCTAAGCATTCAAGGAGGAGAGAAGATTGGGATAGTAGGGCGTACTGGGAGTGGGAAATCAACGCTAGTGCAGGTGTTATTCAGACTGGTTGAGCCTTCGTATGGGAAAATAGTGATCGATGGCATCAACATTTGCACCCTGGGACTTCATGATCTCAGGTCTCGCTTTGGTATCATTCCACAAGAGCCTGTTCTCTTTGAAGGAACTGTAAGAAGCAACATAGACCCAAATGAATTGTATTCCGATGAAGAAATCTGGAAGGTATTAATCACACCCAGCATAATTTAATATGTTCTTATGACATTCTTCATTGCATGACATGTTCGAGCTTTGTTGAAGCAGAGCCTCGAGCGGTGCCAACTGAAGGACGTAGTGGCTGCAAAGACCGAGAAACTGGATGCTTCAGGTCTCGATCCTCTCAGCAATTAATCTTAATTCAATGTGATTGTATTATTTAGTTGAGAGGTAGATGATGATGATGATGGTAGTAGTAATTATAATAATAGCATGGGGATGAATTTTGCAGTGGTGGATGGCGGAGACAATTGGAGTGTGGGGCAGAGGCAGCTGTTATGTTTGGGAAGGGTAATGCTGAAACGCAGCCAAATACTATTCATGGATGAGGCAACAGCATCAGTTGATTCCCAAACTGATGCTGTAATTCAGAAGATCATCCGGGAGGACTTTAAAAAATGTACCATTCTCAGTGTTGCTCACAGAATACCCACTGTTATGGATTGTGATAGGGTTCTGGTTATAGATGCAGGTAATCATCTGGCACTGCTGTCTACTGCAACAGTTTTGTTCAGTCATATAAGCATAAACTAATCGCGTCTGTATCTTGACAGGATATGCAAAGGAATTTGATAGGCCGGAGAGATTGCTGGAAAGGCCCTCACTTTTTGGTGCATTGGTCCAGGAGTACTCTAACAGATCATGTTAGTTATGAATCCTCTTTAATCATTATGCATGCTTTGACTCTGCCAGCGCGCCACATTCATGTTTCTTTGAATAAGCTGCCAATGTCGGAGACATCATCAGTCTGCAGTTTTGCTAGGACGATGGTATTCAGGGATCCAAATTATCGCCCAAGGTGTTAAGTTTCTTACAATTCATTAACCGGCAGAACTAAAGAAAGATGAAATGTAAGACAAACTTTTGTTACAGTCTCCTAGGATGGGGCCACTAACTTTCAACCTGTCAGGCAAAGGACCGCCCTTGTTATCCATGCTTCTTCTTATCCCATGTCTTGTGCCGCATTATTACTCGCAGAATGTTTTGGTTCTGAATCCCATTCGGTGTTTAACCTTTTTACATAGTCACGAGAGGCTGATGTGACGTATAACACTCTACAGACAGTAAATAAAATCACTACTTACAGCGTCGAAGTTATCTAGAAGACATGCAACGATTTTGAGTGACAAGTAACTGGCTACCTACAATTTTCAAACTAAAATTACGTGACGAAAAACAGGTAAGATGAACCCCAGTGTATGTTTGTGGTGTGTGAAAGCTTAAAGCGAGGGTTGTATGCTTGAAACAATATAACTCACTCTTGACAAAAATAGTTTTCGTTGGCACAAAAAAAAAAAGGCACCGCTCGAGAAAGAGGAGGAGGAGGAGGAGAAGAAAAGAAAGAGAGGAAGAAACAAGTGGATGTTATATTTCTGTAGTTTCATTTTTCCTGTGCCGCCCTCAAACTAACGTCACAGGGGCGCACATTCATACATTGCTTCAACTTGGCAACTGCATGGGGACCACCATCATATCACTAGCGACAAATTTACATGTAAGGCAATTTACTTTGAATATCCGACAAATGATTTGTTTATTATTTTAAAAAAAAATCGCTAACAAGCATGTGAAAAATTACATTTGATGACATACAACTCGGTGTTGAATAACAGAAACCGAGTCTCTTAGCGAGGTACTCTTTTTCTACTTAGTATCTCCTGTTCCTTTAGTCGGTGTTGGAATCTCGCAAGACGAGCTTGAAGACTAACCAGACTAGCTGCTTTGCGAGAGAGCACAAAGCTCAGTTGGGCTACGTAGTTATCAATAAGGCTTCCTGGTTGGTCCACTTCTGCCAATAGCTTCATTTCCTGAGAAACCAGAAGGAATAATTAGATAAGCACCAACATCAGCAGGACACAGCAGCCAGTAATAACATGCCAAGGTAAACCAACACCCCCCCCCGGGGGGGTGGGGGGCCCCAAAAAAAAAAAGTAATATTTTGAAAATGCCATGCCAATTTAGTAATTTCTCAGAGATGTTCAACAAGGTATTAATAATAGGGGAGATTTTCTAGTATGAGAATCCAAGGGAAAAGGCACGGAGCAGCATTCATTAAGAATCCTGCAGCATTTCAAAAGGTTCTCCACTGGTTTGATGTGCCTGTCTAATACTATATAAAGACGAGACGGATGCATAACTTTCGAAAACTGTTGGCAATAGCTTAAGACGAGAGGAATTATACGCCTTTAACTTTTCTATTTGATGATACATGACAAGCAATTACTACAGACTCATCTGGTTATAAGAAAAAGCAACCACTTACTTCGCGAACAATCTCCATCGTGTCCTCTATTTCTTTCCTATGAGCAGCAATCAATGCCTCTTCCTCCTGCAAAATTAAATTAAGATTTTAACAGAAAGCATGGATGAGTTTTGCATTCAACCGAACATTGGCAAAGAAAGAGTAATTCCACTTAGTTGAACCTCAAGTATTGCATTGATATTCCCATCAGGAGATAATTCCATTTCAGATTGCCTAGATCCAATAGTAGTTGTGCTATAATTCCCAGTGGTCTGCTGCTTGGAGTTTGCTGTCGAGAGATCAGGACCATTAGCATCCCTTTTCAGCCAGTTTGTAGATCTTTCTGGCTTCTCTTTAGGTTTTCTACGAGGAGGAGATACTTTCTGAACTTTGTCATCTATATCAATTGTGGTTTGAGAATAAGAGTTCATCTTCTGATTGCTGATAGCATCACTAACAGAATTCTTCACTTCAGACCTTTCCCTCTCCATTGAAGCAGAAGCCACGCCTTTCTCCTCTCGCCCATTGAACATATAACTAGATGGAAGATTTGAAGGCTGTTTGTCAACGTCAGCAGCAGAGCTGTATAAACGAACTTCCTTGTCCACCAATCTTCTGCCTATATCCATTGTTTTCACCTCTTGACGCTGATCATTGACGTCCTCTGAACAAGCACTTGCTGGAACTGATATGGAAGAAACCTCCTTATATGTTTGTGGTACAGGATTTGAGGCCAGATCCTTCCTGGGATTTCCACTTTTTGATAGACTTTTAACCCTGCTCATATTTAATGACCAATCACTTAAAAAATACAGACAAGAACAATGTAGGGAACTGCCCAGTCATTAACTTGTTGCAGTCAATACTATGGGGAAGTACATACCGATCTGCATATCTTAATGTATTGAGTGTGTGTTCACAAGATCCAGCATTTGGAGATATACAAGATATCATAACAGTCTTGGAATTGCCAACAAATGAGTCACGAAGCACCTCTGTGAGTTTGCTTCCACGAAATGGAATATGAATCTGGTCATTATCCAGGGCACGAATGCACTCCTTCAGAGCCAAAAGGCTCTTGTTGATTTCTGCCCCCTCGATCCTGAAGAGTAAATAATGCATAACGTTGTATCATGAAGAGATTTGTTACTATATAAAGCAAGTGGAAACAGACAGGAAGTAATGCCTATCCTTGTTTACACCAATTGCAAGAAAACGGCGTTAATTTTTTCTTTTTGCTTTTTTTTGGGGGGGGGGGGGGACATATGCAAATCAATTCCATATAGCAACGCTAGTGGTAGTTGCTTTTTTGACAAAAGGGAAAAATTAATCAGATATTTTTGTTAAAAGTAGAAAAAGTACCGAGTTTGACGGTCATTGTCAGTGGTGTCAGCACCTCTTTCACTTCCAGCAAGATCAATAAACGAAATTTTCCCCACAACCTTCCCAATTTTTGCCTCATTTCCATCATTGTTCCGTTTACTCTCTTTCACCTCACTGTGCTTCTTCACAGCCAATTGTAAGATAGCATGTGACCTGGAGGACTCTTCATTAGCACCAGTGGATCCTGTACTTCTGGCAGCATTCCCTTTCTCAATGAATTCTTTGACAATTTGTACATCAGAAACTTCAAATTCTTGCAACCCTACAATGCAAACTTGTTGTCGTCCATCTTCTCTCATGCAAAGTTTTCTATTCAAAGAAAAACAAAAAAAATCATGCAACAATTCATTAACAGTTTATAGCCAAAAGTGCGCACAGCTTACAGATCAATGCATTCTAAAAGAAAAGGATAAATGTCTATGCATTTTGGCTGACGAAAATGGATATTGATTCATGAACACGCACATAAACAAGAAATAGAAAAATGCACGCTTATGCTAGATATTGAAGTGATTAAAGTGACTTGGGTAAATAGGTTGACACCTTGGTTCAAAAGTTAAAAACGTCATATTCTAATTAATTTCCTCATCACAAAACTGAAGTGGTCATTTCGATACAAGATCTTAAAGGCACCCTGAATGCTTGAATACAAGCTGTAATATCACCTTCATCAAAATTATCTGTGTATTTAATCAAGTACAGCAAGTGTGTTAATATGAACAATCGAATCATAATAAAATATTTCAAAAAACGATACATAAGAAATACTCACTTTCTGTCACTCAGAAGATCAAAGAGTTTTCCACCATATATCTCAAAGTAGCTAAGCCACAATTTAAACCTCTGGTTTTGGTAAACAGGCTGATGCAACAGTCTAACAAGGTCTTCCACAGCTCGGAGTGGTAACGGTTGCATTGTGTAGGTTTTACCACTTCCTGAAAGAAGAACACTAAGAATTACATGCATAAATGAAACTTTGAGAAACAAAGAACATCAGTTGAAAGGGATGACAAGTTTATATAGTTCCAACCGTTACAAATTCCTTTTTAAAAAGTGCATAATCTGTTTGAAAGTCAGATTGACAGTTCGCACCATGCATCACGTGTAACCGCATCTACCATCAAATACAATCACCTCCTCAGTTTAGGTAAAGGCTATTAATAGCCTTCCAACGGGTTACGTCATTTATGAAAATCTAAAATGTTAAATAAATTGGTCCACATAAAACACACTTGTCAGAAACACAATTGAGCGAGCCTCCTTGCTTTCTGTTTCCACTGAGGCTCAATGCAAATTGCTCAGTTACTGAACACATCTATAACCAGTAACGACTCCTTAGATGCATAACATGCCACCAGGACATAACAAGAATTGGGGGGATAGTCATGCATGGATAGATAATACTGCAGAGTTACAATGATTTCAATGCAAAATCAGATACCAATGGCAATTATAATGGGCTGTATTTAGTATACGAAGAGGACTTAAGAGATTCTTCACCTGTCTGACCATAAGCAAAACACGTTGCCTTGGTACGCTGAAAGATTGTAGGAATAATTGGCTCCACTGTTTCCCGATACACCTGTTTTGGTGCAAAGCATGCAAATTGTGATTCAATCTAACTAACCAAAACCAAGAAGACAAGGAGAAGCAATGGATTGTAAATGCAGTAAATGCCAGCAACAGTTATCAAGACAAATGACAATCAAGAAGACCATATTATAATGACAGTAAACTAAATCTTTGGCAACAGCTTCCTTACCTCATCATTCGTAACATGCTCATCAAGAACAGCATCAAAACAAAACTCATGCTTCTCTACATAAGCTGTCAAATCAACCTTACAGGACAGAGAAACAATCTAATCTTAGAACAGCAGAAGAATTAAAATATCACCCAAAAAAAAAAACATTACTATTTTCTGTGTCAAGCAATTATCATCTAGCTGCATGGTTTTGATAGTTTGCTTCACAAAATCAAACCTTTAGTTTGGGCTCATGGACAGTCAAATATGCTTTGTCATACACAGTTACAATATCATCCTCCTTCTTAGCAAGCTCCTTCTTGTTTAAAGGTCTTTTGCGGACCTAAAACAAACATTAAGAACATATATTTCAAAA